GTTCCCCTCTCTTGCACAACATTTGTTGCACTTATCCTTTTCTCTCTAAAATCTAATGTTCACGAGTAGAAATTTACATCATGATTAATTGTGTATATTGCTCAAAATCTAAACGTCTTCGTTCAACTTAAATTCGTTTTCAGTATCCACTACTTCTCGTAAAAGCAACGACAAATTCTTTATTGGACTCGACCACACCAAATCCCACTACACTTTCAAGTAAGCATGTTCTCTCTCTCTCTCTCTCTTTCCATCCATCTCCCATTACATATCTCTTTCTCTCTCTCTCTCTCTATATATATATATATATCTCACTTTCTTTATCTCCCTCTCTCTTTCTCTCTCTCTCTCTCTCTCTCTTTCCATCCATCTCCCATTCCATCTCCCCCCCCCTCTCTCTCTCTCTCTCTCAATCTATCTATCTTTCAATTAAATTTGGATGTTTATGAGATAGAACGTATTTTACCCCCAAATCGAATCATCATTATGTTTATATCATTTTTGTATTATCCAGAATCAACTTCAACACAAGACACCACAACCATGTCTACGACGGGCTCAACCGCCTCACGTACTATAACAGCTACTCGTAAGAAAATTTCAGTATTACCCCCATCCCCCCATCCCCCCTTCTCTCTGTATAAAGCAACCCCGCCCCCCCCCCCCCCCCCACCACCACCACTCCGAGAACGGGGGGACCGCATTGCGTGTTGCCCGGTAAATGTCCGGTAAAGGGGTACTTTTCGTGCGACAAAGTCCGGCCCGAGAATCGTAAAAAAAGGGGTGTATTTGACTTTTCACCCGGAGATTTCTTTAAAAGGGGGGTGTTTTTTCTTTTTTTCTCTAATCTCTTTGGACTCCTGAGAAATAATTCCGAATTAAGGGGGTACATTGAGCATTTTTTCTGGATTTAGGGGGGGTCTCCAAGGCAGGAAAAGCCCGCGAAAGAGGGGTTCGGAAATGTTGGCACTCCTCAGATAGGGGGTGCTTTCAAAAAGAGGGAAAAAGCATACGCATACCCTAAATAACACTGAGTGGGGGGGGGCCCCGGGAATGCAACTCTCTGCCTCTCTCTCTCTCTCTCATTCATTCTCTGTCACCATGCTCACCACTTACGTTTATAATTTTCTCAATTTTTTAATTCTCACTCACTTTCTCTCTCTCTCTCTCTTTCTCTCTCTCTCTCTCTCTCTTCCCCTTCCTGTTCCCTTTTCTTGCACAACACGTGTTGCAAAATCTAAAATCTAATGTTCGAGAGTAGAAATTTACATCATTAATTGTTTATTGCTCCAAATCTAAACGTCTTCATTTTCAGCATCCGCTACTTCTCGTGAAGCAACAACCAATTCTATATTGGACTCGACCACACCAAATCCCACTACAACTACAAGTAAGCATGTTACGTTTATCTCTCTCTCTCTCTCAATGCCTCCCTATCTTTCAAGTGTATACAATATGCTACACCGTGATGCAACATCTTGTTCTCGGCAGCCGCTCAAGGGTCAAAAATTAGGAATTGAATTTCATATGATGATTATGTCCAGTAAGATTTGTTAAATTAAGGTAAATATGAATTTAATTCATCTTGCCCCAGGTTATATCATCAGGTGTTAATATCATATTTATTCTTCAGAAACAACTACTCCTTCTCAAGACACCACAACGATGATTCCGTTAGAACCAACCACCTCACACCCTACCACTACTACTCGTAAGAAAACTACATTTTAACAATCTTTTCTCTCTCTCTCTCTCTCTCCCTCTTTCCCTTCCTGTTCCCCTCTCTTGCACAACATTTGTTGCACCTATCCTTTTCTCTCTAAAATCTAATGTTCACGAGTAGAAATTTACATCATGATTAATTGTGTATATTGCTCAAAATCTAAACGTCTTCGTTCAACTTAAATTGCGTGTTGTCCGGTAAATGTCCGGTAAAGGGGTACTTTTCAGCATCCACTACTTCTCGTGAAGCAGCGACAAATTCTTTATCGGACTCGACCACACCAAATCCCACTACACCTACAAGTAAGCATGTTCTCTCTCTCTCTCTCTCTTTCCATCCATCTCCCATTACATCTCTTTTTTTCTCTCTCTCTCTATATATAATATCTCTCTCACTTTCTTTGTCTCCCTCTCTCTTTTTCTCTCTCTCTCTCTCTTTCCATCCATCTCCCATTCCATCTCCCCCTCTCTCTCTCTCTCTCTCTCTCAATCTATCTATCTATCTTTCAATTAAATTTGGATGTTTATGAGATAGAACGTATTTTACCCCCAAATCGAATCATCATTATGTTTATATCATTTTTGTATTATCCAGAATCAACTTCAACACAAGACACCACAACCATGTCTACGACGGGCTCAACCGCCTCACGTACTATAACAGCTACTCGTAAGAAAATTTCAGTATTACCCCCATCCCCCCATCCCCCCTTCTCTCTGTATAAAGCAACCCCGCCCCCCCCCCCCCCCACCACCACCACTCCGAGAACGGGGGGACCGCATTGCGTGTTGCCCGGTAAATGTCCGGTAAAGGGGTACTTTTCGTGCGACAAAGTCCGGCCCGAGAATCGTAAAAAAAGGGGTGTATTTGACTTTTCACCCGGAGATTTCTTTAAAAGGGGGTGTTTTTTCTTTTTTTCTCTAATCTCTTTGGACTCCTGAGAAATAATTCCGAATTAAGGGGGTACATTGAGCATTTTTCTGGATTTAGGGGGGGTCTCCAAGGCAGGAAAAGCCCGCGAAAGAGGGGTTCGGAAATGTTGGCACTCCTCAGATAGGGGGTGCTTTCAAAAAGAGGGAAAAAGCATACGCATACCCTAAATAACACTGAGTGGGGGGGGGCCCCGGGAATGCAACTCTCTGCCTCTCTCTCTCTCTCTCATTCATTCTCTGTCACCATGCTCACCACTTACGTTTATAATTTTCTCAATTTTTAATTCTCACTCACTTTCTCTCTCTCTCTCTTTCTCTCTCTCTCTTCTCTCTCTCTCTCTCTCTCTCTCTTCCCCTTCCTGTTCCCTTTTCTTGCACAACACGTGTTGCAAAATCTAAAATCTAATGTTCGAGAGTAGAAATTTACATCATTAATTGTTTATTGCTCCAAATCTAAACGTCTTCATTTTCAGCATCCGCTACTTCTCGTGAAGCAACAACCAATTCTATATTGGACTCGACCACACCAAATCCCACTACAACTACAAGTAAGCATGTTACGTTTATCTCTCTCTCTCTCTCAATGCCTCCCTATCTTTCAAGTGTATACAATATGCTACACCGTGATGCAACATCTTGTTCTCGGCAGCCGCTCAAGGGTCAAAAATTAGGAATTGAATTTCATATGATGATTATGTCCAGTAAGATTTGTTAAATTAAGGTAAATATGAATTTAAGTCATCTTGCCCCAGGTTATATCATCAGGTGTTAATATCATATTTATTCTTCAGAAACAACTACTCCTTCTCAAGACACCACAACGATGATTCCGTTAGAACCAACCACCTCACACCCTACCACTACTACTCGTAAGAAAACTACATTTTAACAATCTTTTCTCTCTCTCTCTCTCTCTCTCTCTTTCCCTTCCTGTTCCCCTCTCTTGCACAACATTTGTTGCACCTATCCTTTTCTCTCTAAAATCTAATGTTCACGAGTAGAAATTTACATCATGATTAATTGTGTATATTGCTCAAAATCTAAACGTCTTCGTTCAACTTAAATTGCGTGTTGTCCGGTAAATGTCCGGTAAAGGGGTACTTTTCAGCATCCACTACTTCTCGTGAAGCAGCGACAAATTCTTTATCGGACTCGACCACACCAAATCCCACTACACCTACAAGTAAGCATGTTCTCTCTCTCTCTCTCTCTCTTTCCATCCATCTCCCATTACATCTCTTTTTTTCTCTCTCTCTCTATATATAATATCTCTCTCACTTTCTTTGTCTCCCTCTCTCTTTTTCTCTCTCTCTCTCTCTTTCCATCCATCTCCCATTCCATCTCCCCCTCTCTCTCTCTCTCTCTCTCTCTCTCAATCTATCTATCTATCTTTCAATTAAATTTGGATGTTTATGAGATAGAACGTATTTTACCCCCAAATCGAATCATCATTATGTTTATATCATTTTTGTATTATCCAGAATCAACTTCAACACAAGACACCACAACCATGTCTACGACGGGCTCAACCGCCTCACGTACTATAACAGCTACTCGTAAGAAAATTTCAGTATTACCCCCATCCCCCCATCCCCCCTTCTCTCTGTATAAAGCAACCCCGCCCCCCCCCCCCCACCACCACCACCACTCCGAGAACGGGGGGACCGCATTGCGTGTTGCCCGGTAAATGTCCGGTAAAGGGGTACTTTTCGTGCGACAAAGTCCGGCCCGAGAATCGTAAAAAAAGGGGTGTATTTGACTTTTCACCCGGAGATTTCTTTAAAAGGGGGGTGTTTTTTCTTTTTTTCTCTAATCTCTTTGGACTCCTGATAAATAATTCCGAATTAAGGGGGGTACATTGAGCATTTTTCTGGATTTAGGGGGTCTCCAAGGCAGGAAAAGCCCGCGAAAGAGGGGTTCGGAAATGTTGGCAGTCCTCAGATAGGGGGTGCTTTCAAAAAGAGGGAAAAAGCATACGCATACCCTAAATAACACTGAGTGGGGGGGGGGGGGGCCCAGGAATGCAACTCTCTGCCTCTCTCTCTCTCTCTCTCATTCATTCTCTGTCACCATGCTCACCACTTACGTTTATAATTTTCTCAATTTTTTAATTCTCACTCACTTTCTCTCTCTCTTTCTCTCTCCCTCTGCCTCTCTGCCTCTCTCTCTCTCTCTCTCTTTCTCTCTCTCTCTTCTCTCTCTCTCTCTCTCTCTCTCTCTCTCTTTTCCCCTTCCTGTTCCCCTTTCTTGCACAACACGTGTTGCAAAATCTAAAATCTAATGTTCGCGAGTAGAAATTTACATCATTAATTGTTTTTTGCTCCAAATCTAAACGTCTTCATTTTCAGCATCCGCTACTTCCCGTGAAGCAACAACCAATTCTATATTGGACTCGACCACACCAAATCCCACTACAACTACAAGTAAGCATGTTACGTTTATATCTCTCTCTCTCAATGCCTCCCTCTCTTTCAAGTGTATACAATATGCTACACCGTGATGCAACATCTTGTTCTCGGCAGCCGCTCAGGCGTCAAAAGCTAGGAATTGAATTTCATATGATGATTATGTCCAGTAAGATTTGTTAAATTAAGGTAAATATGAATTTAATTCATCTTGCCCCAGGTTATATCATCAGGTGTTAATATCATATTTATTCTTCAGAAACAACTACTCCTTCTCAAGACACCACAACGATGATTCCGTTAGAACCAACCACCTCACACCCTACCACTACTACTCGTAAGAAAACTACATTTTAACAATCTCTCTCTCTCTCTCTTTTCCCTTCCTGTTCCCCTTTCTTGCACAACACGTGTTGCACCTATCCTTTTCTCTCAAAAATCTAATGTTCACGAGTAGAAATTTACATCATGATTAATTGTGTATATTGCTCAAAATCTAAACGTCTTCGTTCAACTTAAATTCGTTTTCAGCATCCACTACTTCTCGTGAAGCAACGACAAATTCTTTATTGGACTCGACCACACCAAATCCCACTACACCTACAAGTAAGCATGTTCTCTCTCTCTCTCTCTCTCTTTCCATCCATCTCCCATTACATATCTCTTTCTCTCTCTCTCTATATATATATATATCTCACTTTCTTCGTCTCCCTCTCTCTTTCTCTCTCTCTCTCTCTCTCTCTCAATCTATCTATCTTTCAATTAAATTTGGATGTTTATGAGATGGAACGTATTTTACCCCCAAATCGAATCATCATAATATTATGTTTATATCATTTTTGTATTATCCAGAATCAACTTCAACACAATACACCACAACCATGTCTACGGCGGGCTCAACCGCCTCACGTACTATAACAGCTACTCGTAAGAAAATTTCAGTATTACCCCCATCCCCCATCCCCCCTTTTCTCTGTATAATACAACCCCGCCCCCCCCCCTCCCCCACTCCGAGAACGGAGGGACCGCTCCTTCTCTTTCCCTCTGCCTCTCTCTCCCCTCTCTCTCTCTCTCTCTCTTTCTCTCTCTCTCTCTTTCTCTCTCTCTCTCTCTCTCTCTTTCCATCCATCTCCCATTACATCTCTTTTTTTCTCTCTCTCTCTATATATATATCTCTCTCACTTTCTTTGTCTCCCTCTCTCTTTTTCTCTCTCTCTCTCTCTTTCCATCCATCTCCCATTCCATCTCCCCCTCTCTCTCTCTCTCTCTCTCTCTCTCAATCTATCTATCTATCTTTCAATTAAATTTGGATGTTTATGAGATAGAACGTATTTTACCCCCAAATCGAATCATCATTATGTTTATATCATTTTTGTATTATCCAGAATCAACTTCAACACAAGACACCACAACCATGTCTACGACGGGCTCAACCGCCTCACGTACTATAACAGCTACTCGTAAGAAAATTTCAGTATTACCCCCATCCCCCCATCCCCCCTTCTCTCTGTATAAAGCAACCCCGCCCCCCCCCCCCCACCACCACCACCACTCCGAGAACGGGGGGACCGCATTGCGTGTTGCCCGGTAAATGTCCGGTAAAGGGGTACTTTTCGTGCGACAAAGTCCGGCCCGAGAATCGTAAAAAAAGGGGTGTATTTGACTTTTCACCCGGAGATTTCTTTAAAAGGGGGTGTTTTTTCTTTTTTTCTCTAATCTCTTTGGACTCCTGATAAATAATTCCGAATTAAGGGGGGTACATTGAGCATTTTTCTGGATTTAGGGGGTCTCCAAGGCAGGAAAAGCCCGCGAAAGAGGGGTTCGGAAATGTTGGCAGTCCTCAGATAGGGGGTGCTTTCAAAAAGAGGGAAAAAGCATACGCATACCCTAAATAACACTGAGTGGGGGGGGGGGGGCCCAGGAATGCAACTCTCTGCCTCTCTCTCTCTCTCTCTCATTCATTCTCTGTCACCATGCTCACCACTTACGTTTATAATTTTCTCAATTTTTTAATTCTCACTCACTTTCTCTCTCTCTTTCTCTCTCCCTCTGCCTCTCTGCCTCTCTCTCTCTCTCTCTCTTTCTCTCTCTCTCTTCTCTCTCTCTCTCTCTCTCTCTCTCTTTTCCCCTTCCTGTTCCCCTTTCTTGCACAACACGTGTTGCAAAATCTAAAATCTAATGTTCGCGAGTAGAAATTTACATCATTAATTGTTTTTTGCTCCAAATCTAAACGTCTTCATTTTCAGCATCCGCTACTTCCCGTGAAGCAACAACCAATTCTATATTGGACTCGACCACACCAAATCCCACTACAACTACAAGTAAGCATGTTACGTTTATATCTCTCTCTCTCAATGCCTCCCTCTCTTTCAAGTGTATACAATATGCTACACCGTGATGCAACATCTTGTTCTCGGCAGCCGCTCAGGCGTCAAAAGCTAGGAATTGAATTTCATATGATGATTATGTCCAGTAAGATTTGTTAAATTAAGGTAAATATGAATTTAATTCATCTTGCCCCAGGTTATATCATCAGGTGTTAATATCATATTTATTCTTCAGAAACAACTACTCCTTCTCAAGACACCACAACGATGATTCCGTTAGAACCAACCACCTCACACCCTACCACTACTACTCGTAAGAAAACTACATTTTAACAATCTCTCTCTCTCTCTCTTTTCCCTTCCTGTTCCCCTTTCTTGCACAACACGTGTTGCACCTATCCTTTTCTCTCAAAAATCTAATGTTCACGAGTAGAAATTTACATCATGATTAATTGTGTATATTGCTCAAAATCTAAACGTCTTCGTTCAACTTAAATTCGTTTTCAGCATCCACTACTTCTCGTGAAGCAACGACAAATTCTTTATTGGACTCGACCACACCAAATCCCACTACACCTACAAGTAAGCATGTTCTCTCTCTCTCTCTCTCTCTTTCCATCCATCTCCCATTACATATCTCTTTCTCTCTCTCTCTATATATATATATATCTCACTTTCTTCGTCTCCCTCTCTCTTTCTCTCTCTCTCTCTCTCTCTCTCAATCTATCTATCTTTCAATTAAATTTGGATGTTTATGAGATGGAACGTATTTTACCCCCAAATCGAATCATCATAATATTATGTTTATATCATTTTTGTATTATCCAGAATCAACTTCAACACAATACACCACAACCATGTCTACGGCGGGCTCAACCGCCTCACGTACTATAACAGCTACTCGTAAGAAAATTTCAGTATTACCCCCATCCCCCATCCCCCCTTTTCTCTGTATAATACAACCCCGCCCCCCCCCCCCTCCCCCACTCCGAGAACGGAGGGACCGCTCCTTCTCTTTCCCTCTGCCTCTCTCTCCCTCTCTCTCTCTCTCTCTCTCTTTCTCTCTCTCTCTTTCTCTCTCTCTCTCTCTCTCTCTCTCTTTTCCCCTTCCTGTTCCCCTTTCTTGCACACAAGTGTTGCAAAATCTAAAATCTAATGTTCGCGAGTAGAAATTTACATCATTAATTGTTTATTGCTCCAAATCTAAACGTCTTCATTTTCAGCATCCGCTACTTCTCGTGAAGCAACAACCAATTCTATATTGGACTCGGCCACACCAAATCCCACTACAACTACAAGTAAGCATGTTACGTTTATCTCTCTCTCTCTCAATGCCTCCCTCTCTTTCAAGTGTATACAATATGCTACACCGTGATGCAACATCTTGTTCTCGGCAGCCGCTCAAGGGTCAAAAATTAGGAATTGAATTTCATATGATGATTATGTCCAGTAAGATTTGTTAAATTAAGGTAAATATGAATTTAATTCATCTTGCCCCAGGTTATATCATCAGGTGTTAATATCATATTTATTCTTCAGAAACAACTACTCCTTCTCAAGACACCACAACGATGATTCCGTTAGAACCAACCACCTCACACCCTACCACTACTACTCGTAAGAAAACTACATTTTAACAATCTTTTCTCTCTCTCTCTCTCTCTCTTTCCCTTCCTGTTCCCCTCTCTTGCACAACATTTGTTGCACCTATCCTTTTCTCTCTAAAATCTAATGTTCACGAGTAGAAATTTACATCATGATTAATTGTGTATATTGCTCAAAATCTAAACGTCTTCGTTCAACTTAAATTGCGTGTTGTCGGTAAATGTCCGGTAAAGGGGTACTTTTCAGCATCCACTACTTCTCGTGAAGCAGCGACAAATTCTTTATCGGACTCGACCACACCAAATCCCACTACACCTACAAGTAAGCATGTTCTCTCTCTCTCTCTCTCTTTCCATCCATCTCCCATTACATCTCTCTTTCTCTCTCTCTCTCTATATATAATATCTCTCTCACTTTCTTTGTCTCCCTCTCTCTTTTTCTCTCTCTCTCTCTCTTTCCATCCATCTCCCATTCCATCTCCCCCTCTCTCTCTCTCTCTCTCTCTCAATCTATCTATCTATCTTTCAATTAAATTTGGATGTTTATGAGATAGAACGTATTTTACCCCCAAATCGAATCATCATTATGTTTATATCATTTTTGTATTATCCAGAATCAACTTCAACACAAGACACCACAACCATGTCTACGACGGGCTCAACCGCCTCACGTACTATAACAGCTACTCGTAAGAAAATTTCAGTATTACCCCCATCCCCCCATCCCCCCTTCTCTCTGTATAAAGCAACCCCGCCCCCCCCCCCCCACCACCACCACTCCGAGAACGGGGGGACCGCATTGCGTGTTGCCCGGTAAATGTCCGGTAAAGGGGTACTTTTCGTGCGACAAAGTCCGGCCCGAGAATCGTAAAAAAAGGGGTGTATTTGACTTTTCACCCGGAGATTTCTTTAAAAGGGGGGTGTTTTTTCTTTTTTTCTCTAATCTCTTTGGACTCCTGATAAATAATTCCGAATTAAGGGGGGTACATTGAGCATTTTTCTGGATTTAGGGGGTCTCCAAGGCAGGAAAAGCCCGCGAAAGAGGGGTTCGGAAATGTTGGCAGTCCTCAGATAGGGGGTGCTTTCAAAAAGAGGGAAAAAGCATACGCATACCCTAAATAACACTGAGTGGGGGGGGGGCCCAGGAATGCAACTCTCTGCCTCTCTCTCTCTCTCTCATTCATTCTCTGTCACCATGCTCACCACTTACGTTTATAATTTTCTCAATTTGTTAATTCTCACTCACTTTCTCTCTCTCTTTCTCTCTCCCTCTGCCTCTCTGCCTCTCTCTCTCTCTCTCTCTCTTTCTCTCTCTCTCTTTCTCTCTCTCTCTCTCTCTCTCTCTCTCTTTTCCCCTTCCTGTTCCCCTTTCTTGCACAACACGTGTTGCAAAATCTAAAATCTAATGTTCGCGAGTAGAAATTTACATCATTAATTGTTTTTTGCTCCAAATCTAAACGTCTTCATTTTCAGCATCCGCTACTTCCCGTGAAGCAACAACCAATTCTATATTGGACTCGACCACACCAAATCCCACTACAACTACAAGTAAGCATGTTACGTTTATATATCTCTCTCTCTCAATGCCTCCCTCTCTTTCAAGTGTATACAATATGCTACACCGTGATGCAACATCTTGTTCTCGGCAGCCGCTCAGGCGTCAAAAGCTAGGAATTGAATTTCATATGATGATTATGTCCAGTAAGATTTGTTAAATTAAGGTAAATATGAATTTAATTCATCTTGCCCCAGGTTATATCATCAGGTGTTAATATCATATTTATTCTTCAGAAACAACTACTCCTTCTCAAGACACCACAACGATGATTCCGTTAGAACCAACCACCTCACACCCTACCACTACTACTCGTAAGAAAACTACATTTTAACAATCTCTCTCTCTCTCTCTTTCCCTTCCTGTTCCCCTTTCTTGCACAACACGTGTTGCACCTATCCTTTTCTCTCAAAAATCTAATGTTCACGAGTAGAAATTTACATCATGATTAATTGTGTATATTGCTCAAAATCTAAACGTCTTCGTTCAACTTAAATTCGTTTTCAGCATCCACTACTTCTCGTGAAGCAACGACAAATTCTTTATTGGACTCGACCACACCAAATCCCACTACACCTACAAGTAAGCATGTTCTCTCTCTCTATCTCTCTCTCTCTTTCCATCCATCTCCCATTACATATCTCTTTCTCTCTCTATATATATATATATATATCTCACTTTCTTCGTCTCCCTCTCTCTTTCTCTCTCTCTCTCTCTCTCTCTCTTTCCATCCATCTCCCATTCCATCTCCCCCTCTCTCTCTCTCTCTCTCTCTCAATCTATCTATCTTTCAATTAAATTTGGATGTTTATGAGATGGAACGTATTTTACCCCCAAATCGAATCATCATAATATTATGTTTATATCATTTTTGTATTATCCAGAATCAACTTCAACACAATACACCACAACCATGTCTACGGCGGGCTCAACCGCCTCACGTACTATAACAGCTACTCGTAAGAAAATTTCAGTATTACCCCCATCCCCCATCCCCCCTTTTCTCTGTATAATACAACCCCGCCCCCCCCCCCCTCCCCCACTCCGAGAACGGAGGGACCGCTCCTTCTCTTTCCCTCTGCCTCTCTCTCCCTCTCTCTCTCTCTCTCTTTCTCTCTCTCTCTTTCTCTCTCTCTCTCTCTCTCTTTTCCCCTTCCTGTTCCCCTTTCTTGCACACAAGTGTTGCAAAATCTAAAATCTAATGTTCGCGAGTAGAAATTTACATCATTAATTGTTTTTTGCTCCAAATCTAAACGTCTTCATTTTCAGCATCCGCTACTTCTCGTGAAGCAACAACCAATTCTATATTGGACTCGGCCACACCAAATCGCACTACAACTACAAGTAAGCATGTTACGTTTATCTCTCTCTCTCTCTCTCAATGCCTCCCTCTCTTTCAAGTGTATACAATATGCTACACCGTGATGCAACATCTTGTTCTCGGCAGCCGCTCAGGCGTCAAAAATTAGGAATTGAATTTCATATGATGATTATGTCCAGTAAGATTTGTTAAATTAAGGTAAATATGAATTTAATTCATTTTTCCCAAGGTTATATCATCAGGTGTTAATATCATATTTATTCTTCAGAAACAACTACTCCTTCTCAAGACACCACAACGATGATTCCGTTAGAACCAACCACCTCACACCCTACCACTACTACTCATAAGAAAACTACATTTTAACAATCTTTTCTCTCCCTCTCTCTCTCTTTCCCTTCCTGTTCCCCTTTCTTGCACAACACGTGTTGCAAAATCTAAAATCTAATGTTCACGAGTAGAAATTTACAACATTAATAGTTTATTGCTCAAAATCTAAACGTCTTCGTTTTCAGCATCCGCTACTTCTCGTGAAGCAACAACCAATTCTATATTGGACTCGACCACACCAAATCCCACTACAACCCAGTATAAAAATCGTGTCGATCAGCTTTATTAATGCCCTTTTGTGAGGCATTAATCCTCATTACTGTCAATTATGATTTGAGGACGTAGGTTCCCTAGCTGATTAGAATAGTAGCACACATATGATTTAGCAGTCACGCAAAACAAACATTCGCAAATTAATATTCAATAAAATCTGAGAATGTATGCCATTATCTAGATCAATTAGAAATAAATAATTTTTTTCAATCCTTCCCTAAACTGGGGTAAAAATAATTATTCCACCATTATGAATAACAGTGTATATTGGACTCGACCACACCAAATCCCACTACAACTACAAGTAAGCATGTTACCTGTATCTCTCTCTCTCTTTCTTTCTCTCTCCCTCTCTCTTTCTCTCTCTCTCTCTCTCTCTCTTTCTCCCTTCCTGTTCCACTCTCTTGCACAACATTTGTTGCACCTATCCTTTTCTCTATAAAAAAATCTAATGTTCACGAGTAGAAATTTACATCATGATTAATTGTGTATATTGCTCAAAATCTAAACGTCTTCGTTCAACTTAAATTCGTTTTCAGCATCCACTACTTCTCGTGAAGCAACGACAAATTCCTTATTGGACTCGACCACACCAAATCCCACTACACCTACAAATAAGCATGTTCTCTCTCTCTCTCTCTTTCCATCCATCTCCCATTACATCTCTCTTTCTCTCTCTCTCTCTCTCTCCCTCTTTCTCCCTTTCCCTCTCTCTCTCTCAATCTATCTATCATTCACTCAGTGTTAACATTTATTAGACATATTTCTCTTTTCTTAACATTCATTTTTTTTCGTTCGGTGCTTCCTTTGAAAGAGGCTATCATCTTCTGTTATTTCAAACTTTCTGTAGTTGCTGCTACAGCTGTTGTTGTTGTTGATTATTGTTTGCTTTGTTATCAAAATATTTTGGTCACATCATCACTTAAATGAATTAATAGGCTTTCTTCCTTTAACAAAATCGATAGCATGTACTGTAAGTCTTTTCGATGTGTTCTCCGCAAATCCAACGACAGGTACAACTCTCCCGTTTTAGTTTTTTTGGTAATGGCATGTTTCTAATCTATAAACTTTCGGATTACAGGTATGCAGGTATTTATTCTGTGTAAAAGGTTCTGTCAAATTACACTTTTTAAGTTGTTTTTTCCTTTCAGCCATATATATATATTTTTAATTGTACCAGGAAAAAATATTTCATTCGTTAAATTCGCATAGTCATAAAAATTAAGTCTATTTTACGCGAATGAAAACCACATGATGAGAAAAGGTTTGCTGTATGTAAATATATATATATAAATAATATAATTACTCACTTCAAAAGATGCATGACACAAATTCACGAAGTTTACGAACGTCAAAATCTGTCTATTGTAGTACTTGTACATTGAAGTATTCATAATCATTCGATCCCTCTGTGACGCAAAATAGTTTTTAAATCGAGAATTGGCATAAACTGCCAACGCTTCGTTAAGGTATTGTATACAGTATAGCATTAACATAGATGGAATGAGACTCTAGGATGTACCTTTAATCGATTATCTCTTTACCAGCCCTCAAGAACGAAGAACGACAGATATTCATTTGTGCATTAGTATTGTTATTCACAATTGAAGGGGCACATATTTGTAATTTTTATTCCGACCACAAATCACTAAAGTGCTGGTCATTGCCTATGAATACAGTATGCATAGTCATATAATTAATGAAATCTCAATTCTCAGAATCACAGTGACGTCAGACTAGAACTGCGATTGTCTACGATTTGAAGCCGGTTTGGCCTTTATTCTGACGAGAATGCTTAAATGCACCAACGTTCCTGTTGTTATCATCATTTGAACCTAAATCAGAAACATGATGTATGTTAAAATTGCCATATGTAATACATGTATAATTGTCTTTTTCGAAATTTTAACGCTGGATGATCTTAAAATGCGCGGTGGCCTTTACCCTTTTGAATTTGAATTTTAAAGTACAAGCAAGACCGAGAATTAGCCTAAAACAGGCAGACACCGTTAACAAGTCTAAATGATAACATTGAAAGAAACACTAACGCTTCTACTAACATAGATCTTATAGACCTCGTGAAAGAACAGAACCATTATGTTACTGGTTCTTAATAGAGCAATCTTAAAGGTAATAGGCCTACAAAGTTTTGGTATGGGGTCATGAATTTGGTTCAAATGAACATATTGGAAGCATTATGCGATCCTACAATATTCAATGATCGTTGTTGTGGTTGAAATTGAGGCTAAAGTGATGAAATTGTGAATAATGAACTCTCTATTTTGGTTGTGGGTATTATAGATGACCAGCACAAAATTTTGATTTCAAGTATTTAGTGTCATATTTCTGTTTCAGCTGTTTCATATACGTACAAGGAAAAACTTTGTGGAATAAAGTTACCTTCTTAATATGATTTCATCCATTTATTTCAGAATCGACTGCAAAGATCTTTGTGACAGGTGAAAATGGGATTTTTGTTGCAGACCTACGAGATGACCTAGACTTCACTGATATACTACATAACACTGCTGAAAAACCCCGATATATTACCTATGACTCCGTGAAGAAGAAGGTCTACTGGACTGACAACGATACAAAACAAGTTTATCGTGCTGATGCGGATGGTGGAAACAGGGAGGAGGTCACTTTTGAAGGCAGTGATGGTATGATGTAATCACGTATAATAAATATGAATCTTGATTGGATGCATTTTGCGAGGAATGATATGGATCGGAATTTGATATTGTTTGTATTTACAATCCAAACATTTGTACTCACGTGGCTAAGTTATTCTTATTACATAAATCATGTTGTAAATAGAGCCAATGGTTGCCAGATTTTCAAAATAACAAAGGAAAAGATACACACCTCATGTAAAGAGAAAGTATATAAACACTTTTATGTACCATCAGGTTGAGGATTGTTGAAACTGTTGATTGTGATTCATTGAAAGGAACCAGACAATATATTGATTAAAGACCTCAATGCTATTATGGGGGTAAATATGATCTCCTTATTTATTCTAATTATTTTTTTATTATTTCATGTGTTATGAGGTCCCGCCTTCTTTGTTCCAACAAAGTTTTTTCATTTTTTATTAAATCGCAGATCTACGAGGTATTGCTATTGCCGAGAAATCTCGCACTCTCTACATCGCGAATAAAAGTCAGAAGAAAATAACGTCGGTATCAATTGCACAAGGAATCTCGGATGAGAGCGAGACGGACTTTACATCCGGGTTATCTAAAGAATTATATTCCTTAGAAGTGGATGAAGAGAAAGGGTGAGTCTATCATGGTGTATCCAGGATTTACCATGTCCATTTTCCTTCATACCGGAAAAATAATGGAGGTATTGACTTATTTGATTTATTTACTAACAACAAAACAGTAATACATGTCATACAATGATATTTACACATACAAGAAGAGAAACTATTGGTTGGTAAAAGGGGCTAGATAATAGCACATTATAGTCGCGTCTAATCCCTTATACAGTAAACAAAGTATGTCGGTACCAGTAGGTTCAGAAAATGAAATGAAACAAAAATAATAAATTTACAATTACAATTCAGGATCTTATTTTATCATGTTTATGTAAGATCATTTCCCACCACCCGTCCCCATCATATGGAAGTATTATCAATTTTTCAATAGAGCGGAAGTCAATAAAACAAACACCATTGGGAGAACAACATTTTGAATCAGAAATGTATAGGTTTAGAACTGTATTCATGTTACGTTAATTGTCAATCACGTTAAAATATGATTTTGATCTTACCGCTGATACAGGTCATGACATCAAAATATCTTAGTTATTTCGGATGCAAAATTGCTCGGTGTTTTGGTAATTATTAATTTCGATGAAGTACGAATAGATGTGCATTTGAAGACCAACGACCAGTCGAGCTGAATCGTTTAAACATCCACCAGCAGCAATGGAACCCCGGAGGAAGGACATGCCCCCACTAATTTATTAAAAACCCAAAAAAGTGCCCGTCCAGCTACCAAAGTGTGCCCCATCAAAATGAACATATGCACCTGTGTACCCCTAGTATAAACCCATTCATGACAAAGCAGGTTCCCTGGAGGCAGGGGCGGCGATTTCTTTTCATGACCATATCGGCGGGGAGAGAAGTAAGCAAAATTTTGATAATAAAAAACAGGGTAAATATCGTGCATGTGCTTTTTGTCCTTACAATTTTCTGCTGCGATCTTGCATTTATTAGGCCTTAAGTTAATGAATAATTACCGAAATTATAACAGGAACATGGAGATATTAGAAGATAATATACATGTATCAATATTCACATGTGTATAGGGCCACTTGACGAATTAGATAACTTTTTGAGAAGGCAACGGGACTAACTTGGATGCTGGTGTGAAGAAATAAGATACTTAGGGTGAAAATAGGAAATTTATATTATCAATATAAAGAAAATGATTAGTGGATAGTGAGGACCATACGTCACAAATTCATGAGTGAGTTGCCAATTTGTGTAGTGATTTTTCAATTTATTTCATGTCATTAAAAATTCATAACTTTGTTATTAGTTATCCGATTTTGCTCAAACTTTTTTTTCGATTGGTTTGTCCGATTTCTCTGGTTCTATTGAAAGTAAGTTATTTTTGAAGTGGACTTGTCCGGGGGACTTGTGCTTTAAGACCAAAGAAGCACATGCATGGTTATGACTTGATCCACATTAATTCCATTAGCCCAAAATTGGTACAAGGCGATTTTGACAAGACTTTTTCAAGACTCTGTTGCCTAGTCACCCGTGTCTGAAATATTATGAATAGCGTATCGTTGGACAGAAACCAAGTTACTCTTTGTGATGAAATAGATTTCAAAGTCATATTCGTTATGACTTTTTAATCAGGCGCTACCATAGTTAGGCAAACCTTTTTATATACGCACTGTATACTTGTAGGATTTTTTTTAAACATCAAGTCATGAAAAAGATAATGAATTAAATAAATATGGAGTCTTATAAAACATCCGCATGACGGCATCAATCTTTTACGTAAGGTTTTTGTAGAAGTATACCTTTTCCAAAAATGTGCCCTTTTTTGGCGACCCGCTTTGAAAAATATGTTAATGTCTTATTATCATGTTGATATTAAATGACAAGACACATTTTTTACTTTTCAGATTCTTATATTGGTCAATGAAGGGAGAGATCCTACGCAAACCTCTCAATGGATCTGGAAGCACGGAGACTATATACCTTAACGAAGAACTATCCGAAATCACCGGATTGAGCATTGATCTCAGCAGTACGTATTGAATATTTAGACGGGTTTAGTAAAATTAGGCCATTAACAAAAATAAACATGTTTAGCGTCCCCGCCCGCTTCCTTTTTGGGGGCCGCCTCCTATTTTTTTTTTTTTTTAAGAAGGAAAACACTGCTAAAATGGATCTATTTCTGATTTTTTTTTAATTTTAATGTCGGCGGCCATCTTGAAAAATAGCCCGACCTGTCATGGAAAATGTACCGAGCGGCCATTTTGAGCGGCCATTTTGAGCGGCCATTTTGAAAAAAAGAAAAGGGCCTCCTCTTTCCTATTTTTCTAAAAAAAACAGGACGCTAAACATGTTTTTTTTAATATTTTGATTTGGCCTTACATGTCATTTCAGATAAATGAATGGACATTTAACAAGACAGTTTATCTTCATGGCTCCTTTCCACCCAGGTGTTAATGGGTGCAGGGATATGTGAGTTTAAACTCACATATCCCTGATGGGTGCCTGAAATAATCATTGTATAATACGCCACGTATATACCACACACATTCAGTATCTTCAAGATGTACGCAATCTTGTCTTGACTTCTCAGATTTACATTTTTAATTGATATTGATTGTTGTTTTTGTTTTTTCTATTACATTTTATTAAATTATATATTAAATTATTCAGGAAAATATGTTTTCTTGTATTCTTGTAAGATTAATGATTTTCATTGTCTTGGCAGGAGATCCACGACGCATATTATTCTTTGACTCTGTTAATAAACGACTTTTCGACAAGGGCGTAAACCAATCTTCAACAATTGCTCGCGAGCGCACCAATGGTAATGAGGAGCGAGAAAAATTTCGAGATCTCAGGTACTTCCATGGCACCCGCTACTGGCTTAAAGAGGGCAGTCCTATCCGTGTCATGACCACTGACCTCTACACAGTGGTCACCGTCATGACGTACGATCGTTATAACAGCCGATCAATCACCATCAAAAAAACCAACGTGATTCAGAAACCCTTTCAATTGCTCATCATTAATGTAAATCCATGATCAATATTTGACAGAAAAGAGCCCGCTTGTCCAATGTTTATTTGATTTAGCGTGGCCCCCTCCCCCTTTGGGATGCCAAGTGAAAATGTGATGTGCATAGAAAAATGCTATCATGTGTCCAGACCTACATAGTATTAGTAGATGTCAATAGATGCCAGGAACGAATCACTAACGGGGGTTCAAAAAATCACCCCAAAAAAAAAATCGCCTCACCGCTACGCGGCTCGTGGACGATGCTCCACATCGTATTTGGGTCCCCCTCACCCTTAGCAATGAGCTAGATCCGCTTTTGTGTTTTGGAAGGATATGGTAAAGACTAAAAGTAAAGAAAGAATGTAAATAAGGTTGCTCAGAATAATGAGGAGGAAATTATGTGCAGAACGGGAAGAAATGCAAAGAATGTCATCACGGGGATAAAAGTCAATAACAGCCAGCCCTGATAACAGCTATGTATCAAGTAAATTTCTAAGAGGGAAAATGCCGACTTAATAAATGATAATGATAAAATACCAAGAAGTTTCATGGGTACCAATTCAATGGAAATGTGTATTAACATAAGAGCCCCCGTGAGCCTTCTCACGGGGGCTCTTTTTTTTGGAAGAGCCCCCGTGGACAAAAAATTAATTTGAGCCCTGCTTACTTGTATAACATACATCTGCCAGGAGTACAAACAACCTCCGGAAGTTCCTATAGTGATCACTATAGGAACTTCCAGAGGTTGTTCAGCACCCAGGTGTTCCATCCCAAGACGAAAATCCAATTGAATCCCCATTGAATGTCCCCATTGAATCCCAATTCCCAATTTGGAGTAAATGGAAAGTGAAACAATGGGTACCCACTGTTTCACTTTCCATGTTAGAAGAACCAGGGATAAATTACTGATACTTTATAATCGATATTGGCAACTGTCCACCAATTTGGTAAATTCCAATCTCATTTGCATTAACTTCATCACATAGATCATTTGAAGTGAATTCAAGAGTTACATTTACAGTGACACAGGCTCGTACACTAAATATGCATGTTGTTTATTGGTTAGTAATAATATAATCAATATATCTATTGCTAAAACGTGAATGTAATTGTAACATGATCAGACAAAATAATCTATTGGTTAATAATTGCCGAAGGAAAATAGAAATCACAAAATTGATGTGCATTGTCATAATTTGCTTAACAAATCATGATAAATTTATTTTTCTGTGACACGTGTAAAGTGATAATGAATATTCATGAGATGCCTAGATTTGGTTTCTATCGGTTTCTGTTGGTTTCTATTGGTCCTATTGGTCCTATTGTATTTTATTGGTCTTATTGGTCCTAATGGTTTCTATGGTGTTGGTCCAATTGGTTTCTATTTAGCATTGGTCCTATTGGTTTCTATTGATTTCAATTGGCCCTATTAGACTTTAATGGAATTTCAATTGGTTTCAATTGGACCAATTGGGGGGGGGGGGGGGGGGGGGGGTAAGAGGACACTTTTTTTTTTTTGGTATCGAAATTTGAAAAATTTGACATTTTGCTCCGTTGGGGGGGGGGGGGGTAAGGTCATCTTTTTGAGGTCAGCCATGGGAATTTTTTTTTTTTTTTTATTGAAAAAAAAAAAAAAAAATCCAAAAGGGGGGGGGGGTGTAGGGAAATTTAGGGTGGGTTTACACACAAAAAAATACCAAAGGGGGGGGGGGGGTTAACCCCCCAAAACCCCCCCCCCCCCCCCCCCCCCTGTGTACGTGCCTGCACTGAACTCTCATTTGCTACCCAAACTTCACATATAACTAAGATTGTATTCTTGGCCCCCCCCCCCAAAAAAAAGCATTAAACATTATTATAATCCAATGTCATATTGTACGGAATCTGAATGCAATCTCGTAAAATTTTGGGAATGCATAAATACCGATTAGAGACACTAATCGCTCACACTATATATCAATAGTTTGGTAATCATATTCAATACATGTACATAATATTTCAGTATATTTATAACTTATTTTCTTCAAATTTATTGTACAAAGGTGTTAGTGACGATGACGAAGATCTATTCTTCTGATGTAGTTTACTGTGTGAACATAAATATGCCTCCAGCCGTGTATTTAATGTTTTGAGTGGGATTCTTGTATACTTCTTTTTAGCATTTTATATTTATATAGGCCTATATATATATATATATATATATATATATATATATATATACGTATCCTCTAGAGTGCAAAAATGTATCTGTATTATTTTGAAATATTTATTTAATCACAATGAACAGGGATGTATGCTTAGTCTTCTGATAGTACAGATAATTGGTTATGTTATATCGTGGTTATACTATAGGCCTTTATGTGCTCAGTATATTGGTCAGACTCCATTTCATTTAGAAATATGACTTTTTCGGATTTTAAATATTTGCATTTTGTTGCAAAAGGTTACATGATAGCTATTACTCCTACTTTGCTGTTGCTTGCTGTGAGATGAAATTAAAATGCACGTGATACACTTTAAAAAGAGAGAATTCATTGTGATGAGTGTGCATATTATGTTTCGAAACCAAATAATGCCATGCGGTTGGAAAAAGCTTAGCAAAGAGAAACGATTTCCAAACAAAAGTTTGTTCTGTTTGTTTATGGGTTCGTGGCTGAATAATATATTCGATTATCTTTTAATGTCTTTCTGTAAAACGCCTCGGGGCAATAGCACAATTCTAACCTTTCCTTGAGCGTATAAAAACAACTATTTCTCTCAAAGCAGTCATTAATACTATACTATGTTGCTACCCCAAATGATATAATTATATAATTGTATTATATAATTATTTAAATGATTATAGATCAAGACAAGAAAATGAAATCATTTAATATGACAATGGAATATTTACGCTTACGTATTTAGACCAGTAAAGAAAATATGACAATACATACATATTCTGAACACTATGCTTAATTGAAGAAAAAAAATAGGTAAACATTTGAGATTTAAGGATAAAATATAACGTGATAAAAATAGTACCTTTAAAGCCCCTCTAAAGCGTTGGAAGCCTCGAATTCGCAGAAAATTGGATCGCAAAATTTCAACCCAATTTTATACTGATGTAAAAGAGGATGCCATTAAACACACCTTTCTGCAAAGATCCCCCCCCCAATAAACTTGTTTGAAGCCGAATATTGATAAAAGAAAACAAAAGTTTTCCTCAATATTCGTCTTCAAACACATTTGTTTTGAAAATCTTCGTAGAAGTGTGTCTTAAATGACATCCTTGTTCACATTATTATACAATTTAAGTGAAATTTTGCCAAACAAGTTTTAGTGCTCCCAACACTTTAGAGGGGCTTTAATAAATAACATAATGTTAACTGGAACTCAGGTACAAAAGGGAAGAGAAGATGTACTTTTTAGGGACTGCTTAAAATCGGTGTTGGAGGTTGCATCTCGGAGCTGGAGAAGAAGCACATTCCAAAACGAGAGTGCTATGGTTGCTGAAGGCACGTTCCCCCTAGTATCTGGAACTCACTCTGTGAGTTTGGAGGAGCTTCATAGCGATGGACCGTAGGTTCTTAACTGGGATGTATAATCAGAGGATGTCCCATATAAGCACGAAGGGGCAGTACCGTTAAGAACCCGTTATTGTATTTTGAAATGGTCGATGATATTACAGATGAGAGGATATCCTACAGTGTTTTCGTGGTAATAATCAACATGCCTTTATGTATAACACCTAAAAAGAGAGAATCCAATTTGATAATTTTGCTTTAAGTTTTGAAACCAAATAATGCTAAGCGGTTGGAAAATTAGCATAGAGATTTCCAAACAAAAATCTTAAAAATTGAAATGTCATATCAAAGTATTGCGGTTTTAATACTTTCCTATGAATCCACTATCGTGCACAAAAAATATGATTTAATTTTTGCTAACAGATAACCCCGCCCATCCGAAAGAAAGAAAAAAACAAATTTTTCCCTAAACCACCAAAATGAAATTGTTATTTTCATTATTTTATAAAATAAAGAAAATAAGTGTACAAAACACTACCTCATGTACATTTTATATGATATTTGTTACAGCCAAGAAATCTAAAAGTGATAACTATCTTCACAATTAGAAATTAGCACACCCTCTTTCATGCAACCCCTAAACATTGCTAAAGAGTTAGTCCAAAAGGATGCATTTTCATTTTATTCCTATCTATCTCTCTCTCTCTCTCCTCTGATCACTCTCCTCCTCTCTTCCCTCACTTCTCTCTCCCTCCCTCTCTCTCTCTTTCTCTCTCCCTCCCTCTCTCTCTCTCTCTCTTTCTCTTCTCTTCTCTCTCTCTCACTCTCCCTCTGTATCTCTTCAGACTATGAATTAATGCTATAAGAAATTGTCAAAAGCGGCAGAGTTAAAATAAAATTGTAATTTAAATATAAATAGCAATAGTAATATACAAAGTTCATAATTTCAGGAAAATATAAAAGAGAATAATCTAGATAAATGTAAGCCAAAATTCCTTTGACTAAATACTTGGAGCATAAATAAAACCAATTCTACATGGCAACTATCTTTGTTGCATCTATCAGATTGGTGGAAATGGGCTAACAAGAGGAGGGGCATATTTTAATGACGCACAATGTATTTGAGCACTGAGTGAGCTTTCAGAATAGTTTTGGAGGTCTTTAAATGCTCAATTAACTTGAGAACTTAAGAGGAAAGTTAAAAGAAAAGTTAAATGAGCTTTCAGAATACCGCCCTATTATCCGAGTATAACTTTTTGGGATATGCAGGTGGACCACTACTCCAGGGTTTTCCCATATTCTTTTACAAAGAGTTCGGTGGGTTCTTAATATGCAAAAGTGGGGATCGACTCTCCTCCTCTTGAGGGACAGAGTATTTCCTAGTGCAAACCTAGCAAAATTCTATGGAACAGGGGAGGAGCACATTGTACCGGTAGGTTTCAGTCATCAACCTGGGCTAGATTTGAATACATGATCAACAAGCAGACACTTAACATACCGAGCTAATCACCCCTTCATTGTATTCTGTTAACAATGTATATGTAAAGGAGACACATATTCTGTGTCTTTTCCCCTTATACCAGTAGTAGGTAATATAGATCTTACATCACTATACAGTGAAACCTGTATATAAAGACCGCTCAATGAAGACAAGAAAAGTGGTCTTTATGGACAGTCAGTCTTTATGTACAGGTTCCTTTAGTAAATGTTAGTAAAACAATTTATGAACTTTTCCCTATCTTTGATGTTAATGCAAAGAGTATCATAGAAAAAAAGGACAGCTCTTCAATAACCCTCATATTCAAAATATGACAAGTAACCACTTTTAAGGTGGACCACAAATTTCTTGCCACATGTTTGTATAGTCCCATATACACATTTTGGTGTAAAGTGCATGTAACCTTTAGCCAAACTGGGCTTATTTCTTATCATTTTGATGGTTCCCAAACCTCACAGTATACATACACCAAATCCTATGGGCTGCATGATTGACATTTTCCAATTGCTTCCACAGTTTCTTTCACAATGCAACCACATAACCAGAATAATAAAAATTCATCCATGATACATCAGTTTGAAAGCACATTTTGGCAAGACTTTGATCTACATTTGCCAGCACACTCCACCCAGGTGAGGTAAATGGGTACCCTGTAGGAATAAATTCCTTGAAAGCTTGAGCGCCTTTTCAAGGTAGCTCGGCTAAAGCCGGGGTAATAATATGATTGCACGGCGCTAAGGGAGAACAGTATTGGTACTGATGGTGCTACCCTGGGTAAAAAAAGACATATTATTACTATCCTAATCTTTATTATTATTATACACTGTATTTGCTTGAATTTATAATGATGATCCGTTTCAGGAATTAACAACTGGTGATTATTGTTAAAACAAACTTGTTTTCTTTACTTAACAACTCCCAAACCACAGGGTGTACATTCACTACACCACACAGAAGGGGTCTAATTCTTAACTCCTCTCTCTGTATTTTGTCTGTTTTAATGTTTACTAGAAATAATTGCATAAAACTGTAAAAGCTAGCCTTCTCCTTTCGCTCAGCATTTAGGGAAAATATGGGCCATAATTCAATTCCATACTTATTTTTAATTAGAAATACATGTATTTTACTAAATTTTCAGCTTAGATATAAAACTTAGCCAAATTTGGTATCCAGTCGAAGTTTTTTGGCTAAGTATTTTACCCTCAGTTTAAGACAGCTCTCAATCAGACTAAAGCCAAAATTATTTTTGAGGCCTTGATTGGCAGGTATATGGTAATCATACACAGTTATTTAAAGCTGCGCACAATTATAAGAGCGCACATTTAATGAGACACGTTAATTGAACATAATTTTGGATTGACCATGTGAAGTCACACAATGCAAGTTTGTTGCCTTAAAGTCGACTTGCTTAAGTAAGGATCTGAAAACGAGTTACACCAAATTACTTAGCAAAGTAAAACTCTTAAGTATTACGGTACATGTATATCAGCTTAATCTGCGTACTGAATTGAATACGACCCCTCAACCCAGGAACAGTGATGTTATACACCTTCTCCACACAGTGAACATTCAGTGCTTCCAATGTAATGTTTATTCAGATGTGCATCCTACATAGCACAAGCTTTGTCACTGTCTTAACCTACAGGAGCTGGAGGCTGTGAGTGAAGACTCTAAAGATCCCTGAGCTTCGTAGACAATACACAACGGTTCCGAGTATTCAGTACCACAAGATGTGAGTTGGTATTGTGGTGCATCGTCAAGTCTCTGTTTTCGCCTACAAACCGACTCTGATGGACACCGATATGAAAACGAGTCCCTGTCTTGTCAATATCTTAACCTACAGGAGCTGAACGCTGTGAGGGATAGGTGCAGACATAGTGAAAACTCCTAAAGATCCCGGAGCTTCGTAGACACTACACAACGATTCCTAGTTTTCAGTACCACAAGATGTGAGTTGGTCATGTGGCACCGTCAAATCTCTATTTTCACCTTCAAAGTGGCTCCGATGGACGCTGATACAAAAACGAGTCACTGTCTTGTCAATGTCTTAACCTACAGGAGCTGAACGCTGTGAGGGATAGCTACAGACATTGTGAAGGCTCTAAAGATCCCTGAGCTTCGTAGACACTACACAATGATTCAGAGTTTTCAGTACCACAAGATGTGAGTTGGTCTTGTGGCGCATCGTCAAGTCTCTGTTGTCACCTACAAACAAGCTCTGATGGACCTGATATGAAATCGAGTTGCGTAGTTCAGGGGGTGATGTTCAAGGGTGATCCCCAGGTGTAAATAATCATAATCTTTCTGTTACTGTCTGCACCTTCACCTGCTGTTAGAACACATCCCATCCCAGTATAGCTTGGAAAAGCTGCTTCAGGGATTACCTCATCAAGTATCAAGTATCTGATTTATACACATCTGTAAAAAACAAATTACACTGGTCCGCTGACATGATTTCTGGCTGCTCATGGACGGTTACTTTGTTGATAATTTTCTCAGAATTGCGACAGAACCGTTCCTTGTTCAAATGGGCTGAAATATTGCTCATGTTTAAGTTTGTAAGCACCAAAGTCAAGCACATAAACATCGTGAGATAAGGCAGCATAGAGGCAGTGTTTGTTGAACTGAAGGCTGTACACCGGTGATTTGACATTGCCTCCCACATAGATCGTCTACAAGAGAGGGAAGAGAGAGAGAGAGAATACATGAGCTAATAGAGTAACAAGCTGAAGAAAAAATATTTAGTATGATATAATTTTCTTATCCCAACCTCACTGGTGATTAGCCCTAAGGCCTTTGCTAGTCCCCCACATGTATTCAATTATCATGCTAAGTATGTATTGTTCTTTATTGCATCTTCATGTTACTATGTTAATATTCTATGTCTTTTTCTGCATTGTTGTACACATTTCACCTAGCTGTTTTAATGAGTTATGTGGAAATAAATGAATTGAATTTTAAAAAAGTATTGATATTTCCACAGATGACAGGGACACTTTCACAAGTTTCTCAAGTTTTTTTGTTGTTGTAATAATCAAAACATGCATTGCCAGCTTGTTTTTGTGTCCTGTTGAAACTCACGTAATAATAATCCATGTTATATAGCGCTGAATACATTAACGATGTCTCTAAGCACTTTACAGATATATCATTATCCCGGTCATAGGATTCAGGCTTGCCTGCACATCATCATGCATGCACATTCTCCACTCCCTGGGAGCATTCCAACCAGGAGCCATTTTACAGATGATCACAATGCTGATCAAACTATGTTAGCGTTCACATCCTACCGGGTACCCATTTAACACTTGGTTGGAAAGTGTTAAACTCAGTGTAGATTAAAGTCTTGCCAAAGGACTTTGAAATCGTACTTTGTGATCTACAGTCGGGTGACTTATCCACAAGATTTACTAAGAAACTGTACTCACCTGGATACATATATCACTCCTGCGTTTATCCCAGAATCTAACAATACCATGGCGACAGTATCCAGCAGCGATAAAGTAGTTGTTATCAGACGAGATACAATAAACAGCATTGTCGCTGGGTTCTTCAAACTCCATCACAGGCAATCTATGTTCAAGCATAAACAAAAACAAAAGAAAATGAACAAAGTGAATTGTTGAATATAATTTGTATTTGGCTGGTTCAGAGGCGTCTTAAAATTGAAAAAGGAGATAATTTCACACCTGTCAGAACAAGTATTATTATATGATGTGGGATTGTGTGTCCAAAAGCTTGACAAATTAAAGACTTCTCTTATGCCTTTGGATTATTGTTTTTAAAATATGCCTTAAATGACACTAATTATCACTCATATTTTTCTTTACAACATTGTCCAACATAAGTCTTAAAGATTTATGAAATATTATGCTTCTTTGAATTATTGTTTGAAATCATCTGTCTGGATTAAAGACCTGCCCGGACACACAAAGTGTGGGTTTACAACCTTCCATCTCCTTCCCCACACCAATCCACCAGCCCCTACCCCCTCCCTACCCCTTCCCTACCACTGCCACTTTGGGAGGTAAAAGGATGGATTACATTTGCCACATACAATCAACTTCCCAATACTTTTTGCAGGGGAGAAAATTAAATGGCCCTACTAACAAAAGTTGTACTTATAAAAGTTGTGAAAGGGGGGGGGGGGGTTCCAGATATATAATACTTTGTTCCTTATACTTTATTTTAAAATACTGGTACTTATTTTTGAAGAGATGTATCAAAAATACAAACATGAAATAAACCCAGAAACTGTACTCTATGAATTAATCCAAAGATTGGCTCACTTGCTTTAATTATTAGTTGAATATGATGCAGCCATTAAATCTAAAGTTTACCCCTCTTTGCAATGATGGCAATTACATGTATCAAATGAAAAGTTTAGAGTGCACTCACCTTGGTGTACGTATATCCCATTGCCTGACAAACGTGTCATAGCCGGCAGATAAGAGGGTATCAGAAGACTCAAAATGGAGGTCCAGAATGCCTTCCCCTTGCCTCTTATTTTCTCCACATACAGTGCTTTGGGTTCTGTAGATGACATCACAAACAAATATCATTTGATAAATTGTAAAGAAATTTCAGCTTTTGCCCAGTACTTAAAGACTGCATGATCTATCTTGTAATTAAAAACAACAAGAAAAGGCATTTTCAATAACAAGATCGTGCAAGTGATCTTTATTTACTAGCTGCAAGCCAAAATTACTTTACATATTGGAACTACTCCCAGGAAGCCTATTAACATTTCATGGGATTTTGTTTATTTTCTAGATCTTCCAGATCATGAAGGATCCTTACTGGTGTATTTCAAACTTCTTCACTCTTAAAAGGTACTATGTCCCATTTGCAGGTCAACAAAATGAAAAGGTTAAATTCCAACAGCATTTGAAAGACAATACTATGGCTTTTAGTGGGAAAATAATGACCATTAATTGTCAAATCGACATAAGTGATTGCAATCACTTAAGTAATGGCCTAATTTTCAGACCTAGTACCGAATGGTTGTACGTTTTGTGCTGCACAAAGATTCAATCACTTTAATTTTGGCCATTGCAAGTAGTGGGTTATTGATGTAGAAAAATGCTCATGTACCTGTTACAGCTCATTTTATGCGTTTTGTGACCAAAGAAACAAAGATGTCAGTCAGTCACTCAACAGTGTCTGACAGTGAAGTCTAGAAAGTAAACTGGTTGCCTTGCATAATTTGAATAACAGGACACTGCTAACGTTTAAATTTCACAGATAGGACATACGTGACATATACATAATTCCTGCAAAGTTCTACAGAATTTGATGTTGGCTGCAAATGGAACATAGTACTTTAACTATTGGAAAATGGAATTTAGAATACTTTTAGTTGTGTACATTTTGTTCCAGGAGATATGTACATTACATTGAGACTCAAGTATACCAATCACCTGAAGAAAAAAATTGTGTACATTTACATTGCAAAAAAATCAACCTAAAAAATTATCCAGTAATAATAATATAGAAAACACTGTGCTGCCAAAGAGTAGCCTACACAGAAGTCACTTTAATGTTAATTTAGATTGTAACTAAACTTGCAATATCTCTTTGTAGAAGTAAGAAAAACTCATATTTTGACTACAGAATAGCGACATGGAATTCCTAACACGCAGAGCAAACATTTTTGGTGATTGGGACATTTTAATTGCTCATGTCCTTTAGATGCTATAAAAATCCATATGTAGCTTAACATTTCAGAACAAATGAAATACGATGTTGTACAATTAAATGTTGCATTTAATACTCACGTTCCAATGTCCCAGACTTTGAGTGAATTATAGTCAGTGTTCCCCGATGTACCAGTGGCAAATAACCTAAAAACACACAGAATTCAAAATAGAGAGGCAAAAGGAACATATTAATTATCCTTGAGTTCTTCACACGCAGTGGTCTCGTAACTGGGAGGTCCTAGATTCAAAACCAAGCCAATGAGCTTGTGCCCTTTGGTAAGGCATTGATCCTCAGTACCAAGACCCTCAGAGAGGTGCCCTGGTCGCTAACTTACAAGTATACACATGCTTTCTTAGCAGTCAGGTAAAACTATCATCCAACATTTAATACACGAGGTAAATATGAAAACCTGGGTTTCAATTTAAAGATTACGACACATAAAGGATCACATATATTCAGAACTTTTTTTTTTTACTTCATTTTTTAATGAATGAATGGTGCTATAGCATACAAACTAATAATTTCCTGCCCACAAATTAGGATTTCCAAAGCCATCCTGAATTTAGAACGCAAAATAGTTTATGCTGCCTGTTCATGCAATCTGGCATGCCAATGTGGAACAATGTGAGAAATTGTGTTCATGAGAGTGGACAGATGCTACCAGTACTTTTTAAATATTCAACAATTTGTCACAACTTCATTTTGTTAAAATCTTTAAAAAAAGCACTCTGATATTATACCTTTGTGATGGGTCTACTGTGACAGACCACACCCGATCTCTGATGGGTACAGTGCGTACCTCTCTACCATCAGATTGGCTCCACACCTGCACCCCTCTGTTATTGGTACCTGCAATGATGAGCTCCCTTGTGGCATCGACGCTCGTAAGGCTGCAGAGGCTAGCCTGGAGGGATTGTATCGTTCTACCACTTGCCTTGTCCCACACCATCACTCTACCATCACTGGGATAGGAATAAGAAAACACTCCTTGAAAAATAATAACAATAGGCATTTCTATAGCGCCGTCTATCTAGAAATTATATTCCGAGGCGTACAAATTATTACTCGACTTTAGCCTAGCTGCCATTACAGTGCTCTATCATTTCAAGGAATTAATTCCTGCCAGGTACCCATTTACCTCACCTGGGTCGAGTGTGGAAAATGAAGATTAATGATTGCCAAATAACATTAGTGCCACGGGTTGGCGGGTTGTAATTGCACACTGCGCATACGCCAAAATCAGGAACTGCAATTTGTTTGTGTGCTGGCCTTTCCGTTGTGAATGATCACATCTGACACATCAGTCACTGAAAATCATTTCTGAATGTCGGAATTGGTTCTTTGTAGTAAACTTTACTTGGATTCTGATCATCGATAAAGTATTATCGGTATTTATGGATTATAACTTTATTTAGTCAAGCCAATTTATCTATTAGGCCTGTTAAGAGAAACACTATAAAACTGTCTATATATTCTTTGTGGTGCGAGTCCCCCTTGCGTGTTACGATAATCAAATTTCCCATAGGAGGGGACTTGCACAGTGGCGGATCCAGCCGGCGGCAAGAGGAGGGGGGGGGGGGGCCTAATTTGTGTGAAAATATTTAGGTGGGGGGGGGGGGGGGGGGGGTAAGAGCACTTTTTATTTATTGTTTTGATCCAATTTTTCAGGAAATATGTAGCGAGGACTCAGCCAGCCTGTGAATAAGCCAATTTTTTTTATTTTTTTATTTTTTGACAGGGGGGGGGGGGGGACCGGTCCCGTCTGCCCCCTCCCCGTGGATCCGTGCCTTAATTTAATGTAATAGATCATTGAGTTTAAATGGGGTCAAACTTGACTATAGTTTCATAACAATGTAAGAGAGAAAGAGAGTTTATCTCTAAAATGAATTGAAAGGACTCTTGAAAGTAAAATAGCCCTCTCATTTCATTTTAGAAATAAACTCTAATCCATCCCTTGATATTCAAATTGCACTGCTCCTACTTTGTGCTTTTTTCACACTGTCCCTGATCTATAAAGGGTGCTTTCTCTTTTGATCATCAATAGAAACAAATTTCTAGGACACAAAGTTTTTGAAGCATGACCAGATTCAAAGTATGCCTAAATGGGGGAATTGCTGTATGTAGAAAAACTGGATCAAGATCCCATTCAATGCTTCGAAATGTAAAAGAAGAATAAGAAAAATAAAGTTGAGATTCGACCTTTATGTCTAGACGTTGCATAATGCAAATCGTATTGGTATTATCTTCCATCTGAGAGTAATTTCAAAGGATAATACAGTTTAACCTGTCCGGGGTTATGAAGATAATGCTTCGAAACAAATCGCCCAAGCTGTTTATTTCTTTATTCATGGTCTGTTTCTACTGTTTATCTATTTTCATTGCCAACCCTCGAAAACGAATTTATTGTGCATTTCGGAGAGGAAAGTTTGCATAGGAGAACTATATATATATCTCTAGATATATGTATGTATATATATACAAATTATTTATTGGGCTGATTTTGCTTTCTAATGAGCCCTTGCCGGGGGTTCCGGGGCGGAACCCCAGGATGCTCTCAAGTTTATTTGACTTTCAAGAGATAGTGTCTCTAAGAAAGAAAAAAAGTTCGCTGTAGCCAACACGAGTTCTTGGACCAGAACAGTTGATGTATCTCACCATTTTGAGCTGACTTGTTTATGTTACTATACCATGCAGGGTTAGCATATTAAAAAAAACATTGAATAAGAGCAAAACGTCATTGAATAAAAGCAAAAATAGAGTATACGTCTTGTTTTTAGTTTTAAATCCATACAACTTTGATATCTGTACACAAATTTCCAACAGAATTCGCCTTTTTCCTCGTGATCCGAGTCCCCCTCTATGAGAAATTTGAGTGACGGTTTACAAATGTGTATCATCTATCGAAGGAGCCTCCACAATCCATTTCAACAACTGTTGTAGGAATTTTCAATGAATAAAAAGATAGAAAGCATGGCGAACAGCCAGTAAAACATACACTAAACAGTGAAGGACGAACACGCGCACAAATTTTCACGTAGCCCTATGTACATTACGCAGAGCGTAAGAGTGAACGGGCGAGTCTATGTTCATGTGACCTATGACACGTTGACGTCATACAACTCCAGTGGCTATTTACGAACTTGCTTATTGTGTATTAAGTTTGGTTTAGGATCAGGGGTTATATCGTCGCTGTTTTCACGAAGTGACGGTAGTGAAAAAAAATTGCATTCACTTTGTGTGACGATTTTCCTCACTACCGTCACTTCGTGAAAACAAGGACGATATGTAGGTAGAGTGTTGGGTCTAGCTGGGTGGAAGTTTGGAATTCAGTTAAATTATGAAGTTACAGCGCAACGATTGTCGCAGCATGTTTCATACAATCCTTTACATAATTGAATGGGGGTACAATAACAAGTTCTGTCTTTTTGTTGCTTGTTTCCTTGTATTGTTACCATATTGGCTGTCAGTGATTGTGATGTATGAATAAGTATAACATACATACATAGAGGTGAAACGAAGTCCATTCCTTCGCCCGCTTTAAATCTGAAAATATCAAGCCTTTCTGTTTTGGATGCAGGCTTGGGTTAAGGGGACTAGAACATTAACTGGCAGCCCTGTGTAGGAGAGTCACCCCTACCATAGGCTATGGTCATTAATACGCTACACTTCTCGTAAAGGGTAAGATGTAAACCCTGTGTTTAGTGTCCCTGCATACAACATCGGAAATTTTTCTACTGATCTTTGTGATAGGCTGCAAAGCCCTTTGAAGAAGCGTTGTGGTCTAGTGGATAAGTCACCCGACTAAAGATCCCAATGTAAAGGGTTCGAGTCCTGCCACGGCACTAATGTTCTTTGGCAAGACATTTATCTACATTTGCCACTCTCCACCCAGGTGTTAAATGGGTACCGGGTAGGATGCAAAAGTTAATGTGGTTGGATGAGCAAGTGGCGCTTGTAAAATAGCAACTAGTTGGAATGCTCCCCAGGGAGTGGAGAATGTGCATACATTGTGTGCGGGTAAGCCTGAATCTGATGACCGGGGTAATAATGTATATCTGTAAAGCGCATTGAGAGGGCCTGCAGTCCTGAAATGCGCTAAAAGGATGAACTATTATTATTGTTATTATTAACAGAAGAAGAAAAAGAAAGAGAAGATTTGTTTTAGATGTGACCCCATGTTTTTTCAGTGTCGGTTATCAATCCAGATTCCTTACCCTCCACTGCTGACGACATTATTCTCCTTGACCACAAACTTGGTGATGTCCTGCGAATGACCAGTGTACTTGACTTCTTTCTTGCTATGCTGCAAGGGGTGTAATCTGCCTCCTGGTTTCAACTTGTACCTGCATATCTTGTTCATTACGCTGATGTACAGATGATCATTGGTCAGCTGCAACCATGGTAACAAGCTAGAGAGAGAGAGAGAGAGAGAGAGAGAGAAAGAAGTGCATCACATGAGTATAATGAATAACATATAGTTGAAGAGTTCTAGCAAATGTGCAATTCATATATATCACAACAAAATTGAATATATGATCCTGATCAGCAGGAAACCAAGTCACATTTTTCTTCATACAAGATCTAACAAAGGAATATCCAAAGACGATGAGCATGAAATCTCATAAGACTGAATACATCTCCTACTATAAAAAGACGAGAAGAATTCAGATGGCTCAAAAATTAAGTGATACTTCAGGATGGTTAAGGTGCTTACACAATTTTAACACATTTTTTTTCTCAATTGAATTGAATTGAATTCATTTATCTTTCCTCTTTCAATTTTTCATATTTTCAATGATGTAATAATGTAATGATGTAAATGATGATATTAAGTAGTCTACACAAAGAGGGGTGCCTTCACAGACACACACACTAAACTAGTTCTGATTAACATCTGCAAACTTTTCATTGATCTGCATAACAATAAAAATGAATCTTATTACGTCATGAACCTAATACACTACCATTGTTTTACCTTCAAATTCAATCATTTAGCAACACAGTCCAACAATGCATGCTAGGGTGGATACTAAGACAACATCCAATCAACCAGCGCTCAAAATACACGGGGGCGGTGGGCGATTCGCCCCGTGAGCTACATAATCGCCCCGTCAGGTTGCTCACGGGGGCGATTGCAAAATTAAAAATCGCCCCTGTCGAATTATAAAATAAAGATTATCTTTTCTGTTATAACTTTAACACAATATTGAGTTTCAATTTTCAAACCTTAAACCAATGAAATAGAACTTAGATTAGCATGCAAGATTTCCCGTTCTATGAGTAGGCCTATTATTAACGATTCAGCTCGCAGTGCAGTGCCGCCGTCAGCAGTGGTTATAGGCCTACTGCGCCTTTAGTAATGGTACGTGTGCACGCTGCCGCGCCATGTCTGCTGGAGCTGGAGGCGATCGCGAAAGGGCAGAAACCCCGGCCCCCCACTCAGTGTTATTTAGGGTACGCATTATGCTTGTTCCCTCTTTTTGAAAGCACCCCCTATCTGAGGACTGCCAACATTTCCGAACCCCCCTTTCACGGGCTTTTCGCGGGCTTTTCCTGCCTTGGAAACCCCCTTATTCATGAAAAATGCTCAATGTACCCACCTAAATTCGGAATAATTTCTCAGGAGTCCAAAGAGATGAGAGAAAAAAAGAAAAAACACCCCCTTTTTAAAGAAATCTCCGGGTGAAAAGTTAAAACACCCCTTTTTTTTACAATTCTCGGGCCGGACTTTGTCGCACGAAAAGTACCCCTTTACCGGACATTTTGGTAACACGCATAACCCCCTCCCCCCCCCCCCCCCCCCCCCCCCCCCCCCCCCCCCCCCCCGGCCCCCTTGGGCTGCCAAGTGAAAATGTGATGTGCATAGAAAAACGTAGATGCCAGGAAAACAATACGGGGGTTAAAAATAGCAACAACAACAAAAATCGCCTCGCCGCTATGCGGCTCGTGGACGATGCTTGGCATGTAAGTAAATGCCAGGAAAACATCACTTACAGGGGTCCAAAATCAGGGGCGAACCAGCCGGCGGCAAGAGGGGGGGGGGGGGGGGGGCAAATCTTGAGAAAATATTTAGTGGCGATTCAGCCAGCCGGCGATCGGCGAATGAGCGGGGGGGGGGGCTGGATAAATGCACATATATTTGTTTAGAGGGGGTCCAGTTTTTTGGGAACATATTTGCGCCGACTCAGCCGGCTGGTGAATATTAAAGCGGGGGGGGGGGGGGGGGGATGCTGGACAGGAGGACCACTAATCTATTTTTTTTTTTCAGGGGGGGGGGGGGAGGTGAAGTGCCGTTTTAGCATGACTTTCTTTTTAACTCTTACTTTCACCTATCTCAGATAACCCTAAGTTTTTGGTTGCTGCTTTATATGTAGTTGATAATGCATGATTGAAATAAAGAGAGAGAGAGAGAGAGAGAACCACCATCATTTTGCAATGGTTCAGGGTTTGTGTAATGTACATTTGAAAACATTTCTTAGCGTCTCAACCCTAACAAAATAGCGAAACTATTTTTGAGGAAAAGCATTATACTGAACTGAATAAAGAATAATAGCTTTATATTGGCTCATACTAATACTAAAACGGGCTAAAGACAATGTGGTATTTGTAAAGAGGTATTCCAAAATGTCATTCTGATAATCAACATTTTGTTCTGGTATCATATGTATATACGCATAATACAACTGATCTTTATGATTTCTGAACGTGACATAGCTTTTCCCCCTGCAAACAAAAAAGAAAACAAGGTTATTTAATAAAAGGATCATGCGACAAATAATCATTGTGATTCAAATTGTGCAAGGATTTTTTTGAATAAGCAATGCTTTTCACCAGAATCTTCTTTGTAAAAACGACCTTTACAAATCTCAGCCATGCAAATCTGCCACTGTGTTGTAAGATCACTTTCAGATTAGGAGAAGTGTATTCTTTAATGAGTATTTTACATTGAATGGAACGTCTCAACTCAGTAAGCATGGCTGAGATTTGTAAAAGTTGTTTTTACAAAGAAGATTCGGGTGAATAGCAGTGCTTATTCAAACAAATATTCGCATCAATTTGAATCACAATCATTATTTGTCGCTTAATCCCTTTTAATGACCTTGTTTTCTTTCTCGTTTGCAAGGTGAGAAGAAGCTATGTCACGTTTAAGACATCATAAAGATCAGTGTTGTATGCGTATATATTATATACACAGGCCCCGCGGAACGTTTATCAAAGTGGGGGGGCTAAATTATTTACGATCAGGTAGAGGGTAGTGAGCGTAAATTGGTGTGGGGGGGGGTTCAGGGGTTTTAATGTAATTTAATGTAAAGGTTGCTCCGAATAATGAGGAGGAAATAATGTGCAGAACGGGAAAAAAATCGAGAGAATGTCATCACGGGATGAAAGTCAGTAACAGCTTTGTACATGTAGCTTGTAAATTTGTAAGAGGGAAAATGCTGATTAAAGTGATAATGATGAAATAGCAAATAATTGAGGAGTATCATAGGTACCAATTCAATGGATATTTGTATAAAAAAGAGCCCCCGTCAGTACTAAAAGAGCCCCCATGAGAAGGCTCACGGGGGCTCTTTTTTGGGGGGGAAGAGCCCCCGTGGACAAAAAATTAATTTGAGCCCTGCAATCAACACTAAACTTGAAACATATCTTTGTAAAGGTCTCATAAATGTATTTTTCTCTCGTGTCAATCTTGCTATTAGTATATTGCAAGGGTGGTAATCTGTCTCATTATTTCAACTTGTATTTGCAAATCTTGTTCATGGTCTGCTGTAACCATGGTAATCAATTTTTTCTTCAAATTTTAATACAATTTTAATGAACCAATATTGAGATTGATGATGCTCTTACCCAGTTTTAAATCTCGTATACAGATGTTCCGTGTGATAACCCGTGCTCCAATTATGTGCAATTCTACACTGCTCCTTAGAAGATAAACTTTTCCTGAAAAGAGTAGTAAATACATAACCATGAATAGTTCATAAGACTGTTATATACTTTTTCATTTTCAATGCATAATACGATCAAGAAAAGAGGAAGCTGTAGGAAATTATTTCATAACACTTTGATATATTGAAATTAATGATATTATTGTTATATTATGTATATTACATTATTCATTATTATAACCTTCAATTTATTTTTAACCAACTTCTTTTATGATAGCGAGATCAGTTACAATTCACTGTTTTACATCTTGGTCCTGGTTTAAAAAACATGAGCATATCAATATTGGTGTTTATAAGCATAATATTTATTGATACAACATTTATTGATAGTAGGTTTATCAGTTAGAATGCCCAAGATACATGTAGCATATTTGGATAGGGCAATTTGGTTATCTCATATCTAGTCAAAACCAGAAAAGAGAGGAAAGACAAGAGCACCCCTTCTATAAGAGTTGGGGATGGAAGGTAAAAAGGAAATAATAATTGTTTTCAAGAGTTAAATTATCTAATTCACTTACACATTTGTAATCAATGCTCTGCCAGACGAATTCTCAAAGTGTATGTATCCCTTTCCAAGTTTCTTCCAGATCATGAGCTGACTACAGACCTCCCTCAGGCGTCTGCAGGTCTCACACATTTGATTCAAGTCCCTGATTGGAAGATAGTCCAGTACTGCTATAATCAGTTCCGCCGGGAAATCAAGAAAGTGGGGCACTTTATCGTCCCTTGGTGCCATTTCTTCTTTATCCATATTTCTGTGTGGAATAAAAAGATGATATTAAATGGCGATACCCGTAATCAATATTTAATCAGCACCCCCCCCCCTTGTGCGTGGGCCATGGGTTATCGCCTGTGTATTGGGAAGGTTGAAAAATGTCAGCTTTATTAAAGAATTCCCTATACCAGATGTTTACTTCTGTCTACATGTACATGTAGAGTCTATGTCTGCCATGTCTGAGAAGAAAGTTGACTTCTTCTTCTTCTTCCCTTTGAGTATAGACCTCTTCACAGAGTATTATCGTACTATACTGGGGGTGTGTGCAGGTGGACCACTACACCAGGGTTTCCCCTACTCTTATACAAATAGTGCAGTGGGTTCTTATCGTGCAAAGGTAGTGACTCTTCTCTACACGGGGCCTCCATTTAACGTCCTATCCGAGGGATGGAGTGTTTTCCACTTGATATAACCTGCGTCTATGAACAAGGGAAGGGGCGACAGACTTGTTAGTCCATGAGACATGGGCAAGGGTCACATGATCATAAGCTAGAATGATCTGTCTTTGAGTTTGATATATTTTAAAGTTTGGGATTTAAAAATGACAAAAAGGGATAAAATTTTGATGATGCTGTCAGTCAGGTAGTCTATTCCAGTCTTGAAGCTTGAAGGCATATGTCCTGCAGATTACTTAAATATATTCAGGCGGACAGCCGGACACACACAGAGTTCGCTGAATTTAGGGAACTCTTTGGCTTTGGAGTTTGGTCTTCATCTGTAAAAACCCAATTACACACACACACACACAAGTCACATGTTTACATTTATTCATTTCAAAACTTTACCAGACACCTTGCTGCATGCACACACATTCACATCAACATTCACATCAACATCCAGCCATCGGTCCCCAACATGATTAAGACGAAAAAATCCTCAACGTTGGTGTTGCCATGCCGTAAACTTAACCCACATACCGGTATGTATACGGAAAAACAAAGCCGCTGCAGCTGCACTGCTTGTCTGGTTATCGTCGACCATATACACAAGCGCTCCCAGAACGGGCCGGGGCAGCCCAGGCTAAGCACACACCTACGAATACGAGAAAGCCCTTCCGCTAAAGCCCGGAATGTAAACAGATTGATGCTCGTCTGTGATTAGGTCAATATTCATTCGGATTGTTCAGACATATTTGAATTGAAATACTTACATTTACGAATTGTTTTCTGGATACCTGCCAAGTGTTCAACTTCAAGATGTTCAATTGCAAACAGCAAATTAAATTGCACTACCAAGCTTATTTATTACGCAACTCGAGTACCGGTACGTGACGTCATTATTATTTAGGTCAACACTACTCTATATGACCAGACGGATTTCGGGGGGGGGGGGGGGGCGCTGCTTGTGGCATATTCCAAGATTTATAAATTATTCAGTCTTGTATGCATTTATTTATTCATTCACATCTACTCGTCCATTCATTAATTTAGTGTGACTATTTGTTTATCTATTCATTCTTTTCTAGCTCGGAAACAACTCATATCAGTCTTAGTTACTTCTTATTTGATTGGACCCTGATTTTGGCCTACTATATTACACTCGATCACGATCGATCCTCATCAAATCCTGACGTCTTAATTGAGTACGGCCACGTAAGACCCTTCCATATAATATTTGATGCCATATGTTCCCCCTAAATCGGTCATTTCATGATTACCCAATTAGACGGTCAAACGAGTTTCACCTACCACTCTTTAGAACTTTATTAGCGAAGAAGTCTTTTATGTATGATCAGGGCTCAAATTAATCCACGGGGGCTCTCCCCCCAAAAAGAGCCCCGTGAGCCTTCTCACGGGGGCTCTTTTAGTACTGACGGGGGCTCTTTTTTATACAAATATCCATTGAATTGGTACCTATGATATTCCTCAATTATTTGCTATTTCATCATTATCACTTTAATCAGCATTTTCCCTCTTACAAATTTACAAGCTACATAGCTTTTACTGACTTTCATCCCGTGATGACATTCTCTCGATTTTTTCCCGTTCTGCACATTATTTCCTCCTCATTATTCGGTTTTTGTGTGTGTGCTATTTTGGACAGGCGCGGATCCATGGTCCGATTCTACCGCCCCCCGGCCCCTAGCCTCCCAAACCGGTAAAAAAAAAATAGGATAGTAACGTAAATTTTACCTTAAAATATTAAATAAAAAACGCCCCCCCCCCCCCCCTGACCTGCCAGTGACACAAATGCGGCATCAAAATATTTGTGCTTCTCTGACCGTAATTAAATGCCTAAAACCCCTGAACCCCCCCCCCCCACACCAATTTACGCTCACTACCCTCTACCTGATCGTAAATAATTTAGCCCCACCCCCCCCCCCCCCCCCCCCCCACTTTGATAAACTTTCCGCGGGGCCTGTGTATATACGCATACAACACTGATCTTTATGATGTCTTAAACGTGACATAGCTTCTTCTCACCTTGCAAACGAGAAAGAAAACAAGGTCATTGTGATTCAAATTGATGCGAATATTTGTTTGAATAAGCACTGCTATTCACCCGAATCTTCTTTGTAAAAACAACTTTTACAAATCTCAGCCATGCTTACTGAGTTGAGACGTTCCATTCAATGTGAAATACTCATTAAAGAATACACTTCTCCTAATCTGAAAGTGATCTTACAACACAGTGGCAGATTTGCATGGCTGAGATTTGTAAAGGTCGTTTTTACAAAGAAGATTCTGGTGAAAAGCATTGCTTATTCAAAAAAATCCTTGCACAATTTGAATCACAATGATTATTTGTCGCATGATCCTTTTATTAAATAACCTTGTTTTCTTTTTTGTTTGCAGGGGGAGAAGAAGCTATGTCACGTTCAGAAATCATAAAGATCAGTTGTATTATGCGTATATACATTATGATACCAGTCTACAGAACAAAATGTTGATTATCAGAATGACATTTTGGAATACCTCTTTACAAATACCACATTGTCTTTAGCCCGTATTAGTATTAGTATGAGCCAATATAAAGCTATTATTCTTTATTCAGTTCAGTATAATGCTTTTCCTCAAAAATAGTTTCGCTATTTTGTTAGGGTTGAGACGCTAAGAAATGGTTTCAAATGCACATTACACAAACCCTGAACCATTGCAAAATGATGGTGGTTCTCTCTCTCTCTCTCTCTCTTTATTTTAATCATGCATTATCAACTACATATAAAGCAGCAACCAAAAACTTAGGGTTATCTGAGATAGGTGAAAGTAAGAGTTAAAAAGAAAGTCATGCTAAAACGGCGCTTCACCTCCCCCCCCCCCCTCCCTGAAAAAAATATAATAGATTAGTGGTCCTCCTGTCCAGCATCCCCCTCCCGCTTTAATATTTACCGGCCGGCTGAGTCGGCGCAAATATGTTCCCAAAAAACTGGACCCCCCTAAACAAATATATGTGCATTTATCCAGCCCCCCCCCCCCCCGCTCATTCGCCGATCGCCGGCTGGCTGATTCGCCACTAAATATTTTCTCAAGATTTGCCCCCCCCCCCCCCCCCCCACTTGCCGCCGGCTGGTTCGCCCCTGATTTTGGACCCCCGTAAGTGATGTTTTCCTGGCATTTACTTAAAGGTACTGTGTCCCATTTGCATGCCAAAAATATGAAAAAGTTAAATTCCAACTGCATTTGAAAGATAATACTAATTTAGAACTTCCCTAAAAAAGGTGGGGCTTGAAAATGTCTTCAAGTGGGAAAATAACGACTATTAGTTATTGGGTTTTTACAGACGTGTATCAATCAGATATGATTATTTACGTCTGGGACCGACCTTTAAACGTCACCATCCGAAAGTCAAATCGACTTTAGGGCTATAGAGCCCAAAAGTAATAGTCTTGATTTTCAGACAATTGTATTGAATGGTCATACGTTTTATGCTGCGCAAAGATTCAATCAGTTTAATCTTGGCCATTACAAGAAGTGGGTTATTGATGTAGACAAATGCTCATGTACCCTTTACAACTCTTTTCATATAATTATTACCAAAGAAGAAAAAAAGCCAGTCAGTCACTCAATAGTGTCTGACAGTGAAGTCTAGCAAGTAAACGGGTTTCCTTGCATAATTTGAATATGAGGACACTGCTAACGTTTAAATTTCACAGATAGGACATACATGACATAATCATAATTCCTGCAAAGTTCTACAGCATTTGAGGTTGGCTGCAAAAGGGACATAGTACCTTTAATACATGCCAAGCATCGTCCACGAGCCGCATAGCGGCGAGGCCATTTTTGTTGTTGTTGCTATTTTTTAAAATTGTAAAAAAAAGGGGTGTTTTAACTTTTCACCCGGAGATTTCTCTAAAAAGGGTGTTTTTTCTTTTTTTTCTCTCATCTCTTTGGACTCCTAAGAAATTATTCCGAATTTAGGTGGGTACATTGAGCATTTTTCATGAATAGGGGGGTTTCCAAGGCAGGAAAAGCCCGCGAAAGGGGGGTTCGGAAATGTTGGCAGTCCTCAGATAGGGGGTGCTTTCAAAAAGAGGGAACAAGCATAATGCGTACCCTAAATAACACTGAGTGGGGGGCCGGGGTTTCTGCCCTTTCGCGATCGCCTCCAGCTCCAGCAGACATGGCCCGGCAGCCGCGGTGCACACGTACCGTTACTAAAGGCGCAGTAGGCCTATAACCACTGCTGACGGCGGCACTGCACTGTGAGCTGAATCGGTAATAATAGGCCTACTCATATAGAACGGGAAATCTTGCACGCTAATCTAAGTTCTATTTCATTGGTTTAAGTTATAACAGAAAAGATAATCTTTATTTTATGGAAGTTTAATTCCACTTGGGCGATTTTTAATTTTGCAATCGCCCCCGTGAGCAACCTGACGGGGGCGATTATGTAGCTCACGGGGGCGAATCGCCCACCGCCCCCGTTTATTTTGAGCGCTGAATTGGTCCTAGATATTGGAATTCTCTAAGTGAAGGTATTAAAAATAGTCCATCCCTAAATTTTTTCAAGAAAAATCTAAAAAACATATTTGCTCAAATCTTATAGTAATATACAAGAATAATCTGATAACAGTTGGTTATCATCTTAATTTTCATTTAGGCATTCATCATCTGCTCGATTAATTTAATATTTATTTGGTCTTATGATCTTACCTTCCCGAAATTAACATTATAACTACCTTTTTTTGGGTCAGGATTTGTCCTGCTTCTTCCTTCTTCCCCTTTTCCATCTTATCTGTTTTACTTCTCCTTGTTCGTTTCATGGTTGTCTGTTGTTTTGTAATATTGTCTTGTGTTTTTTAAGTCTTCGTAGGCACAATTTGAAACAATTTTTTTCCGGGGGATCCACAAACTACAAGCACTGCTTTTTAGTGGATCCCCCCATTTCCTCAGAAATTAAGAATTTCTTGTAATAAATTTATTATATGCAAAGTTTATTTGTATAGTTTCCTGAAAAAATGAATTATGTATGAAGAAAAAAAATGTAATATCTTTGTTTACCTTTCTGTTGGAAATATAATAAATATGAATATGAATATAACACTTTACTGATTATCCCCTGTGGTCCTGTGGTAGATCGATGTGCGTTGAAGGTTGATCTAAATCCCCTGGCCATGACATGATATAGGATACTCGAATCCGCAAAGGGGAACCGAAGGGGTGGCGCCATGCACACCCCCCCCCCCTATGAGAAAAATATGAAAAACAAGCATTGAAGGAATGCAAACTCTAAAGGCTTCACTTATTCCAATACCTTGGTGAATCCCTAGATACCTCAGGGAAATTTTAGCTGATCCGTAAGTTAGGCCTAAAAAAAAATCTGTATTGCCCTTTGCGACCGACCCAAAAAATCTTGAAATCTACGGTCGGCTTTTTAAAGGTAAAGACCAGTATTGGAAACGCCCCAATTTCAAAAAATGAAATGGAAGCTCTCATTACCAATCCTGTGAAAGAATATGTTTTGACTAATACATGATGATAAAAAATTTGCCGGGAAACCGCCTACTAATTCATATATTTGGTAAATTTGTTTCTCTCATGGTCTGTGAGAGATATAGGGTAGTCCCATATACATCTTTTTGTGTATAGTGCTTGTAACTTTACGAAGAATGGGCCACATTTCTTATCATTTTGATAATTCCAGAACCTTGTAGATGCTAGATGCTAGATGATCAACCTTTTCTGATCGATTCCACAACGTTTCTTTCACAATGCAATCGCATGACCATAACTGGTCTTTACCTTTAAAAAAGTTTTCAAAGCATTCAAACTGAGAAATATCAGCCCAAAGAGGGAGAAGAAGAAAAAAAAGGGATTTAATTTTTTTTTTTTTTTTAAAGGTTTCCGACCGACCGACCGACCCATGTTTTGGCACCTAAAGAGCAATACAAAATCTTTTTTTTAGGCCTAATGAAACACTACCGAAGGTTAGTTATATCTCAAAACAAGAGGGGGGGGGGGGCGGATTCTCAAAAACCTCAGGGAGTGTTTACTTTACTGTTAACGATTTTTTTTTTTTTTTTAAGTTTGCTCTTGATTTTGGAGGGAAGGTATATGGAAAATAAATAACATGTACAGTTAATAACTTGATCATTCATAGCCATTGTACGAATTTGATGTTGTTTGTGTTTTTCATAACTCAAGAGTGAAGGGTGCACTGGTTGAATGAGGACCGTTGTTGAATACTTTTAGATGTAAGCTCTAATATGTCACATTCTAAAGATATATCGAGACGTTTTGAGAACTGCATTACATAGGACTGCTTGTAAAAGGGAGAGAGCTTGAGATTTAAAATCTCAGGGTGCGTTATGAGGCAAAGATATTCTTCATTTTGAAAGAGAATGGATTTTGAAGAAACTGCATAGGCCTATATACATGTACACCAGCCGGTCTACATGGAAAATGCAGAAGTGTTCTTGCATGATTTTATATAAAGAAACTTACTGATCATTCCATAGCATATGAACAGGCTCATGCATTTGGTCTGGGAGAGGGAGTTCCAATCTCTGATTCCATTAAAAATTTGAGATTTTTATATTTCTATCATTGTAACTCTATTATGAGTAAAGTCCAACCCCCCCCCCCCCCCTAAAAGAAACGCAAAACCTGAAGTGGGTACTTGGGGGGCCGATTATCACCACCTCCGGAACCGTTTTCGTACCACCGAGAATGTCTTTTTTTTTCCTTCTTTTTTTGCATGGATACGCCATTGAATGTTCAAAAGAGTAGCTTATAAGCATTGTATATATGCGTACATTGACCTCCTTCTAATCAGACAACCCATATTTTGGGGTCATTGAAGATATAGGTCGACTAAAAATTTGCGCGCATAACAATGGATTAGCGCGTATCAAGCGCATCGTATTGTTGCCATTCACTTTTTGCATTGTTGATCACTTTTAGTGTGCGCGCACGCCCACTTTCCTTACATATATTATGCACCGTATTATAATGCGTGCAGCGGGCTCAGAGACAAAGTCAGAGCTTGATTTGATTTTGAAGTCTGGACTTATATTTTTGGAAGGAGTTATCTACCAAAGCTTGACTAAAATGTCAATTATCTAGTGTCAAGTTTGTCGCATGCCTCTTCGTAAAAATGAATCCCGTGTCACTTTCAACAAGCGAATCCTTGAAGTCCAAAATTTTGAGGAGAGTCAGGGAGGAAGAGAAGCAGCTATCACCAGAGATGATGGACACCAGCAGTGGCAGTGGACACAGAATGTCCATCAGGGGACAGAGTTCGTTGGGTGATACTCGACAAAAGAAAACTAGAAAGCCACGTCTTAAATCACGTTCCTTGAGATCAAGCTCCAGAACTCAACTGGAAATAGCACAAGAACCGAATTCAAAGACGTTGAAGACTCCCAAGAGGACTCAAGGAAACGGAGGCAGAGCCAGAGGCAGAGGCAGAGGAGCACAGAAATCCCAAATTAGGTAAGAACTAAGATTAAGAATAAGATTAAGAAGTACATGTAGATCTAGATTCTAGACCTAGATCTAGTCTATTCTAAGAAAGATGCCAGCCGAGGTGACTAAGATTCAGGCAATTTTATTATTATCATCGTTATTAATATTATGCAAGTGTGGAAGAACATCAGAGAGAAAATATTGCCTGAAAAGAATGTCTTTTCAAATACCTTCATATTCTGACAAGTTAGGCGCAAATCTAGATTCTAAAGTTAGAACTAGAAGTCTAGGTCTAGTACTGGCCAAAATACAGGTTTAAAAAACGTAAATTTTACCTTTTTAAAACAAAAATTAAAAATGCCCCCCCCCCCCTTGCTAAAAGTAAAAAAGAAAAGAAAAGAGTAGTCTAGCACTCTAGTCTAGGCCTAGGCCAAGCCAGGGGGGGGGGGGCCTAAAAGTGGCATTTGTGTGTGTGTGTGCAAAGGGGAGGGGAATGGATGTTGAGGGAAAAAAGGAGTGTTCCCCCCCCCCTTGCGCCACAAAACCACACAACAAAAATATGCCGCCGTATACCTGAAAAAGATACCCTTTCAATGCTTTTTCTGGATGCGGGTGCATATAGCCAGATCCCCTGGGCCCCAGGAAGGGGAAGGGGGGTTAAAATGAATTGGATGTTCAAAGTTTTATGGTATTGTGATGAAGAAAAATATTTAGCTATGATATTTGGGTCGTCATGTTTCGATATAAAGCTGTCTATAATCTGCAGTGCAGTAGATCTAGATGTAGATCTAGATATATTATTTCTTTCTAACATGCAAAATCTGCACGTTTGCTGTTGCTTTCTTTCAAATAGATCTAATTTTTGAAAAGAGAAGAGAGAACTATGTGAAAAAGTAAACAAATTAGATGGGTGGATTTCTGTATCTGTCCATGACGTACAATCACCAGCATCTGGTTGTTGCATACGTAGGGTTAGGGCCAAACGCCAAACACGACTAAATATTGAAGTGTGCTTCGGCTACAAGGTTTTTAATATCTAACAATTTTAGAGGGAAGTTGTCCAATACTTTTTGTTCAGCTCTGTTATCTTAATGATCTGTTGTAGATGTAGATATAGTGTATTTGGTATTTAGCAGATGGTTTGCAGTTTGCTCTGCTTTTTATTTTGGTCATAGTCTATATCAAGCTTTTAGAATCAGGAATTGGATATTGGTTAAAATTCATGATGGAAAGTGACTTAAGTATTAATTACCTTTGCAAGTTTTGGCTGCAGCAAGCTATGTAATCAAGGAGTTACAAATCTAAAGAACTAAATCAATGTACAGTACTTGTATGTTAGTGTCAATTCAACATTTCTGCATAATTTGTATAGCATTTAGAATTTGGCCCAAGTTTCTTTTTGTGTTGCAGTAAAGGATGAGTAAACAATAATTAACACATGTTTAGAGGTTGGCTCAACCTTTTTTTATATTTTACATTTTAACCAAATATGGCTAAAATAACTTCATGATCAAAATAAATGTACACGTATATGTTCATAAGTTTCAGGCAGTTACAAAAAAACAACAGACTAACAAGTCATTGTTTTGCGCTTTTCCTTCTTCTAGGTCATTCTAGGTCATAAATCCCTTTGTGTACTTTTTTTTTCTTCTTCTCATGTAGGGTAAAGGAACGTGTCTCTTCATGCAAGGAAAAAGTATTGCAGGGTTCCTCTCTTCTGGACTTTTCAGGTGTTTCCAGAGAAGCAAAACCCAGACCTGGCCTCATCAAGAGGCGTCTGCGATCATCAACCTCTCTTGTTTCTGCCCCTCCAGTCAAAGTTAGAAGAGCAGAAGATGATCGTAAGAAAGAAGGGACACCATCAAGGTCACCTTCACCAAGTTCTGCCAATATGAAGAATCCTTGGGTAGTAACTGAGAGTCCAGGCAGCCTCGTGATAGTGGAAACAAAGAAGCCTCCAGCACATCAAAAGAAGATATCGATCTGTGAATCGGCAGAGGCATTTTGTTCTTGCACAGATGGTACAAGTTGTACAGATGATACAACTTATTGTAATGCTGGATCTACTAAATCTGCGAGAAAGAAAAAGTCTAAGGTCTGTCTGACCAGACGAATGGGTGAATGTTGTCCAGAAAAGGAAGAGTTGAGTAGGAAAGGGCAACCAAAATCAAATTTCACCAGAAGAAAGGTCTCCAAACAAAAGAAGAAGACTACAGATGCTGATGTACGTTCAAAACGTCCTACACGTCGGAGCTCCAATGGCAAGGATGGAAAGATAAAACCCATAATAAATCTCCCAGGAACTGATGATCATCAGAACTATTTCCTTCACGATTCTGGGAAATCAGATGCAGTAGGAGTTCTTTCTGCAGTGATAAGCCAGACATCGCAAGGAATTGCCAAAAAAGAACATGGCAGTTGTGTTCGGGAGCTTATCCACAAGAGGATCAATGAGACTTTGGGGACTCAGAATGACTGCAAGAATGATACCACATCTTCCACAAAACCAAATGCTGATGACCTAACATCAGCAGGCATATCTGTGACAACAAAGCATCAACCAACAAGAAATGCCACTCAAAAACCACCACCTTCTGATATGGAATCAACCACTGATTGTACGACAGTGACAAAGATGGCAGCTGCGGAGGCGGCGAAAGCAGTAGGTGGGATATCGCTGATGCCTCTCTACAAATCAAGAAGCCCAGATTTTTTGCCAACAGTTTCGTCACCATGCACACCAACAATGACAGTTATGAAGGCATCGTCAGACCCGATTGTGTCATCTACAGTGTCGTCTGGATATGACTTGAAAGGTAGTACGATGAAACTGCCAAATAGTCCTGAGGCACCTCAATCGACTTCTGGCACTTCTGGAACATCGGACACAAGTGGCCTGAAAGCAGTGGCACAATGTAAATGTGTTGCCAGTGTATCAACAGTTCCGACGCCTTCCTTGATTGAAGTTGGAAATGTTGCGGCTGCAAGACATCCAATCTTCCTTCCTCCAGAGTCGTTTCAATTCCAGCCTGTTTCATATCCTGGAATGACTGGTGGTTATAATCTACTTGATATCAGCTCAGCTGTAACTCTCCCACAGTCATCTGAACCAAAGAAGAAGCGCAAGACTAAAAAAAAGTCTGTCGAAAAGGAAGCCCAGTCATCGGGTTCAAGCGATAATCCCTCATCATTGGCAACGGTCTCTGCAGCTTCATATCCACCAGACCCCGACGCTAAGCACCCTGATTTCAAGGATCCCTCACTGGATGAGAAGGGAGAAAAAATCAAACGACCGATGAATGCATTCATGATCTGGTCACGTCAGCAGCGTGCGGTACTGGCTCGTCAGAGGCCCAAGATGACAAATGCCGACATCAGCGTCAAGCTGGGTGTCATGTGGAATGATCTCGACTACGACGTTAAGCAGAACTACTTTGATGAGGCAATCCAACTCAAATTTCAACACCGAAAAGACCATCCTGGTGATTATAATCACATTCATCACTTTTTAAATTTACATCGTTGTACATATTTATTTAGAAAATTTTGAGAGTATCTTTAAACTTTGGGAGCATTGACATGCATGTCTGTTGATCATTCAGATAGAATGTAGTGCAGTGCTGAAATATTCTTGTATCAAGTGTCAGAACTTTGTCCAAAAAAAAAGCATGATGCATTGGGGATAGGTATACATATCTTCTATCAAAAATGCAGAAAAAGTTATTCAGTGATTTTATGTTTTAATCTTGTTATACAAAAAGCATTTTTTTAAATTTATCTGAGACAATGACACCCACCTTTCCTCATCTTTTATAATACAACTGATTAATGTGAATACTAAAACAGTAATTGCTGCCAGGGTGTCTTAAAATTGATACAATAACTTTCATGTAAATGTAATGTTTGTTTTAGAAAGTAAATAGAAGTCTTGATTTTATTTACTTGTAGATTGGGTATACCAGCCGCGACCTCACAAACGTCCAAGTCGTCGTCGCAAGCATCAACCTGTCCCATTCTATGAAGCAGGGGGGCAGCAGATGCCTTGCAGTCAGATGCTACTGATCATGCCCGATGGACGGCAGGTTCTATGCCCAGCGATACATGTGCAGAACAGCGAAAGGCCTGAATCCTGTAAGTTTGATTGGCTTCTGAGGACACTCTCATAAAAAGAAAACAGTTGTGATTAAAGATAAGATTAAGTTCTGGTCGAGTAAATACTACTGAGGAAGAATTAATTATTCCACTAAAACAATAAAATATGTAAATTAAACAAATAACAGTTAAATGTAAATCCTGAATAAAGTAACTAATTTTGTCCAGTTGAATCTGAAAAAAATTTGATATAAAAATGCTAAGTATGAATAAAAGATTTATTTTTCAATACTTGTAAGATCGACCTGAAAATTTTCCATATTTTCTGAACCACAGTGATGGCTAACGTTATGATGCCAGGACCACGAGAAAACATCAAAGATGCAAAAACACCAACTCAATCAAAGGTTCTAGTGCCTAAAGCTGGTAAGCCTCCAAACTTATGTTAGCTTTGTTAATTTCCAAATATCAAAATATGTATGTTTGCTGCATCAGGATGAAGAGAAAGTGTTATTTTCTGAAGATTATATGTGCAACCCACTAACTTAAGAATATAAACAGATGCACCATTATTCTCAAGAGCCTTTGATCAAAAGCAGTCTTTGCATGAAAAAACAAAATAACATGCATGGGCCATTTTGCAAACCGAGGAAACCCGAAACTTGTGTAAAAAGTCTCGTGTTGGTATAATGGAAATAAAAAGTCTCTACCAAACAGGGGTCATTCTGAGCACTATTTTATCGCTAAAATATTTCTATTTTTCTTTTAAAGTAACAGCTATTCTGAGACCATATTTTTATCTTAGATTTTATCTTTCATTTTATCTCAATCTTTTACTCCTCGCATGGCCATTTTTAGTTATGCCAATGCCCATCTTATTTTACGGGAAAGATGAAATAAATGTTAAAATAGGGTAGGTGTTTATATTTTACCTCTCGAATGAACAGTAGCTGCAATACTTCTTTTAAAGTATGCTGCTTGTTGTGTGATCAAAATAAAGAAAAAATACTTGGTACAGACTACATTTCTCAAGCAACATATTCGTAGGGTTATCATGTTTAATTTCAAGATCTTTGCTTACTAGTCATACTTGAAATGATGCTTGCAATGGTGTTCAAAATCTTCTGAAACTATCTGTCATTTTTCAAAGAAATCATAGCAAAAGTGTGTTTGCACTTTGAGGCACACGCAGTATAAATTGTAAAAAAAATACGCATTCACTCTCTGTTGCCCAAGAGTGAGTCCAGAGCTCTAGGCTGTGATTCTATTGGCTTAACACAAAGAGAGGGAAATCTAGCAGCATTTCTTATTGTTTGTCTCATTAGAAATGGGTGTGTCTTATCAGGAGAATATCTCGCTGAAATGATTCACAGAAAACCGATTTTAAAGAGATTTAAAGGGTATTTTATCTCACCAAGATATAATGTATCTCAGAATACTGCCCCAGGAGATTAAGCAAAGGTCATCCTAATAGTTTAGTATTTCAAATGCACCCTTCTGCCAGACATGCACATGTACTGTCAAGTGGGCTCAAGCTCACTATAAGGACCACTGTTCATAAGGACTGCTATCCATAATGCAAGAATAAATGAATAGCGGTCTTGTATAAATAGCTGGCCTTATAAATGGCGAGTAGACCCTGTCCAGTGAGTTCTGAAATCATTTCAACACATTTCCTTTAATACTCAGTGACGATTACAACTGATAGCCATGTCACGCCCAAGCCAACAGCAGAAGTCAAAGATGTGAAGAGGAGTGCAAATGAGCAGGCACAGTCTAATAAGGTAAGTCCTGTTGGAGTATGCTTATTTGTGCGAATCTCTGAAGAAAAATTTGAATCCATCATATTATATCTATGATTTTGGTTTGCAGTCATACTTGTCTTTATCCTTGTCTGCATGGTGTGCCTATGATATATTTTATTTTTACACACAAATTGTGAAATAATGCTAATTAAACATACCACCTGAGATTTTGAGTGATGTGTAATAGCCATGCAATTAAACCGGATTAATGAAAGCCATTGTTTTAGGGTCAAGCTAGCTATGCATAAGGACCACTATCCATAACGTGTGTCAAAATAAATAGCAATCCCCCATGAATAGCGGCCCTTATAAATAGCGAGCAAACCATAGACAATTTACCTGGCTATTCATAAGGACCGCCATACATAAGGACCACTATTCATAACGTAAGACTAAATGAAAAGCGGTCTTTTATAAATAGCGGTCCTTATAAATAACAAGCAGACCTCGTTTTAATGATATATATCTACTTTCTCTTGATTTCAGACGTTGGTGATTATACCTGACAAACAACAAGTCGCATGCCAAGCAAAACATCAGCAAAGCATCCAAGGAACTACAACTAGTAAGTTTGAAAGACTTGCAAAGTATTTGTGTGAAAAAGCAGACATTTCCCTTTTCTTTACGAATTTGCAACAAAAAAATAGAGAACTGAAGGGCAAATTAAGTGTTTGGGGCTGGTGTGATCACCATGCCATTGTTTAGTACAAGATTGTTTGGAACCAGCAACCTTAGCAGCTTGGCCAGTATGATGGCACACTTAGGTACTCTATGCTAAAAAAAATTTTTAAATTGACATATTGATAGCAGATAAATGTACAATACAGTGTATTCTGATTACTCTGTGAAATGGTGCATTATCCGATGAAATGAGAGTTAGCACTCTCCCATTCTCCTTCACAGAGACAGCTGATAGTACAAGCAACATAACTTCGGGACTCCGACTACCGGTAGGTGTCAAAGATGTGAGAAATACTTACCAGAGCAGCGATCAACCCAAGTCTCAGGTGGGTTTTGGTTATTGATGATTATGTTGTACATATATCTACTCAGTAACAGTTATCTACATCCACTATAATGAAGGCTATGTATAGCAGTGAGTCCATACTTTTTTGAAGTACCAGTAATATTTTTCTTCATCCGACAATATGATTGCTGTTTCATCATTTTCAAAAAACAAATTGTTTGTAGAGGAATATTTTATTTCAAGACTACCATTTACCTTTTCTTCAATGCTACACTGCCATTGAATCAGAACTGTATTCATGACAGCCAACACTTGTCATTTAAGACTTTACATATGTAAATACTTCAAAAACAGGATTTATGAAGTATCGTTTCCTTTACAACTATGTAGTCAGTTGCTGATAGCTAGCCTGTTATAACACATTGCTTGTTTTTTTTACAAATTTCTGATTTCCAGTTGCTACTTGTCCTGCCTGATGGGAAGCAGATCTTGTGTCCAGAGATGCCAAAAGCCTCAGCAGATGTCCAAGATATGAAAAAGATTGTCAATCAGCCGATAGTGACATCTGAGCAGTGTGGAAAATGTGGGGACAACAAAAGCATCATGGCACCGAAGTCGCAACCTGGTCTCCCTAATGCAATCAATATGGGCCCTGTGATACATGTTATCAAGGAAACAACAAAGTCGAACAACAAGACGGCAGCGCCTCCTGTCAACACCCCACAAGTGCCTGTGAGTACCGGTGGTAATTCAGGGCCGCAAAACACTGCACATGTCGAGAAGAAAATTGTCGTGTCCGTACAGATGGCAGCTGTCAAAAATAAGTCAGAGATGTCACAGAGCGTTAAAGCTCCGAAAGTCCAGTCTGATACTCCTGAAGTGATGGAGATAATTGCCATCTCCAAGCCCGAGGCAGTGCCTGTTCCTGTTGCCATTGCTACTATGTCAAAGGCCCAATCGTCGCACCAACAAGGAAATAATTGGTCCATTGCCAAATCATCTGACCTAGTAGAGCTTCAGTTGTCCAACCCGAATCAACAAAGTTCTTTTCAGCCTATTCAGCATGTTGGCAGTTCCCCAAGAATACACGCCGATGTCAAACTGGTTCCAGTTGGCCTTCAACAGCCAGTCAACAATCAAATGCCTGCTCAGCAAGTCAGCCATTCCTTCAAGGAGTCAGGATCACACCCTGATGTTACATTGATTCAACTTGGCCTTCAGGAGCCTGTCAATCAAATGCACATTCAGCAGGTTAGCAATTCCTTGAAGGAAACTACACATTCCTCAAGACCCCACCGTGATGTAACATTGATTCCACTGAACCCTCAGCAGCCTGCCGCAGGTTTACGATCAATCTGCAAGGACACTGGTGTCCAGACATTACAGGACTGGAGCTCCCGCTCAAGCAATGTTCCAACTAACCAGACACTGCCATCCCGATTTTCAAGTTCTGTACTGAAGAGCCAGCCGATTGACATGGTATGGAATACAAACACAAGGGTTCTTCAGGCCGCTAACATCTCTGACAAGGGCACGTCTACTTCGTCTCTGAACTATCCCTTTTACTTCACGCCCATCCAGCAAGTTCAGGGTGTCCACAATGCGTCTACTGCTTCACCGATGTGTCCACAACCTGTGCCTGCAACGGTAGAGAGTTGCATGGTGCCTCTGTCGACTGCAACCCTGACAGATAGCGTCCCTAGCAATGTCACCATGCCTGCCTCACAGTTTGCCGACAATCTACCCCTTTGTGAGATCAGTGAGCCGGATCGCCTGCTGGAGAGTCTGGCCATGAGTGGTGTGGAACTCAGTGAAGATGAGGCTGAAGAGACTGAAAACTTGTTTCAACGAGTAATGAACATGGTTTCAGATTAATATCATAAGGTCATGATATAGATTTCATCAATTGATACCAGTGTACAAATGTACCTGTGGCTGCCAACCACACCTATTTTTTAGGGATAATACCCTAGCTTGAGTATGGCTGCCATTAGGCCTAAACAAAAAAGATGTTGTATTGCCCTATAGGTGCCAGAATCTGGATCGGCCGGCCGGATTTCTTTTTTTTTTTCTCACCCCCCCCCCCCCCCAAAAAAAAAAAACGACCATAAATTTATGGGTCGGTCGCAAAGGGCAATACAAAATCCTTTTTTTTTGTGTACAAAACATTCTTACTGCTCCATTGTTTTTGTTGATGGATATTCAATTCATTTCTATCTTTTTTTAAAACGCCTGATGGTGCTCTAGCATATCAAGGAATTAATTCCCAACAGGTACCCAATTTACCTCATCTGAGTGGAGTTTGACAAATGTTGATCAATATCAATTGCAGTATTAGACAACTGAATGTCAAGGTAGAGGTGTTGTTTTCTGGTGGATGTTGTCCTGATACAGAATCAGTATTGTAATAGGAAGGTAAAGATGTTTATGTCTTAAATATTACCTTGACGAGTTGAAATTGTATTATATTAGATAAGAAAAACTGCATATTTGTATTGTTTGCCTTTTCAGTTATTCAAAAAATTATTTTACCCCCTTGTAAATTTGATGTTGGTGTTTTTTGTATTAAACTCAAGATTGAAAGGTGGACTGGTTGAATTGGAGCCTTTGTCAAATACTTTTTTTGCATACTTGAATTTTTGTTAAACTTTGTTAAGGTATGAATAGTATAGTTGTTAATTGTATCTTTTGTTCGTAAATTAATACATAACCACAAAGTGAAAACACTCCATCCAGTCTTTGGAAATGGTCAATACTGGTTTACCTTCATCTGTAAATATCTTTTAGCACTTAAAATTTTACAATACATGTATGTACTTTGATCAAAATATTGTAAATAATAACAAAGCTATATGATTGCTCTATAATTTTGTGATATTTATTGCACACTAATTTGATAAGAAAATACACACATATTTTAATACAAGGAAGTACATATGCATACAATTGATTAATTTCTTGATGTTTACATGTTTACACATGTATTTCAAATGTGTTATGTTTGTGTTCAATAAAATTGTCACTTACGACAAATTGATAGTTGAACTGGCATTGGATACTTTGAGACTTGCTTGGAGTTGCTTGATATAATTTAAGCTTTTTTTCTTATGCAAAACTGTCAACTCTTTAAAGGCACTTGATTTTAGTCATTTCAACAAAAATGTTGCAAATTAAAATGATAGAGAAGTAAATCGGTAGAGTTTTGGGGTTTAAAATCTTGAATTACAAACTTAATAAAAGTTAAAGTGCTCAGGGTCAACCATATCTCTACCAGCTATAGATGCATACAACAAGGCAAAGTTTCAGTAAATTCTAAAATTTATGTAGGCTCTCGACTTTCATTTATATATTCCAGTCACAAGCATCTTGGGAACAACCATCCAAAATGCTTGGAGTGATTTAATAATTTAACCTGATTGATAAGAAAGTTATTGGTAAACTATTTCTATAATATAATAAATCTACTATTTTTTTTCTTCAATTGCATGGGGTGTTTTCAGGAAGAAAGGTCTGTTTGATATTTACCTTTAATCAAACCAGTTGTAATGATACCAATTGGCAGTATATCCATATGCTCTGGCAGACTTCATTTCATAATAATTCTAAGCGACCTAAGAAGGCAACACTGTAGATTTTTACTAAACACAATATTTTCTCTAGGTTTTATTTTGTCAACGATATACAGGGCTGGAGTTACCATTAGCTTTTTGTGTTGGGTTTATGGTAAGGGTTAGGGGTAAAGTGTATGGTCCTGAGTTGAAGCCTTGATGCAAAGTAAACCATCTGAAAACTGTGTGAGTGCATGCCATCTACTTCAACCCCATGCTCTGCTTCTCATGATGATGATGATGATTACTAATATGGTGCCTGATTCCATTGTTGCTGGGCACTAATAGTAATGCACCAATGCAGATATCTAGATGCAATAAATGAATGTTCAATATGGCCTCCCTGATCTTTCTTTGACATGAGCCCGCTTGCGTTTGATGATCATCCGACATCGAGAAGGAAAATGTCATTACAGACGGGGCATTCATACTGCCAGCGTAGAGACTTGATGCCTCGATTCTGCATGCTTTGTGGAACAGCAAGTACAATGCAAACACACAAAACTCCAGATACCCTAACTGAATGTTCAGTGGGGTTTCTCTTTAAGGTGAGCCCGCTTGTGTTTGATGATCTCAGACGACGTGAAGGGGAACGTCTCCTTGCAGACGGGGCATTCGTACTGTCTGCGTAGAGACTCCGTGCCTTGATTCTGCATACTTCATAATTGAACAGTACAATGCACATGCAAATATTGAGATACCCTAACTGAATGTTCAGTCAGGTTTCCCGGGTTTCTCCTTAAGGTGAGCCCTCTTGTGTTTGATGATCTTAGACGTGAAGGAGAATGTCTCGTGACAGTCGGGGCATTCATACTGCCTGCGAAGGGACTCGGGGGGGCCTCGATTCTGCATGCTTTGTGGAACAGTACAATGCACACACAAAACTCCAGACACCCTAACTAAATGTTCAGTCAGGTTTCCCAGGTTTCTCCTTAAGGTGAGCCCTCTTGTGTTTGATGATCTCGGACGATGTGAAGGAGAACGTCTCATGACAGACGGGGCATTCATACTGCCTGCGTAGGGACTCCATACCCAGCTTCTGTGTAGGAGCGCCCAAGTCGACTGACTTGGTGGAATCTGGCAAGTACAAATATATAAATGGGATAGAGAGGAAATGATGGCTACAACTAAGGTAATCAATGTAATCAATACTTGAATAATTTTTTTTTTAAATACAAAAGCAGCAAACAACTAGCCAGTTCTTACATAAATTCAGGTCAGTGAAACCTTGAGCAAAAACTGATTAAAAATATATATTTTTTTTAAATTGAAGGTGCGATCAATCAAACACAAATCGGCAACTCTGTGACGTATCTCGAAAAGTTTCCTCTCATTTGCCTTGTACTTTAAAAACTACCAAAAATTTATATTTTCCCTAAAATAAATTTTAATCATATATGTATCCTAAATATAATTATTGCAAATATGTTTTTATACAATCCCTGTATGAATAAATCTATTCCATCAGCACTCGCTAAGAAAATGTAACTTTATAACATTTTCCGTACAGAGCAAACTGGAGAGGAGCTTGCAAGATTTGTCAGTGTTGCCAATTTATGTTTCACTGATGACACCTTCAAAAATTATTGACTTTCCTGATTTCAATCAGATATTACTTAAACTTCGACCAATTCGTTTCTCTCATTTCTCTGCTTCTATTAAAATCAAATTAATATCAGAGTGGACTTCCCCTTTAAATGTAAACTGTTTTCATTTCTCCAACATATTTTGTTCACATAATTTTAATACCCCATCATGTGTAAAAGGAGACCAGGGGGTGTTTCACAAAGATCTTAAGTTGAACTTCTCTTTAAGTTGGACTGAACAACTATGGAAAGCGGTTAGCATCTATGAAAATATGTTATAACTAGATGGAATTTTGACTGCGCGCAGTCGAAAATGATGCCTCCGCAATAGAGCAATTTAAACAAGTTTGGAGTTTAAATCTCCAGTGGTTCTTGAGATATCATGATAACAATCTCAATGTATGGAATTTCATAAGTTGACCTCTGTGACCCTTGACCTTTGACCTACGTGCTCCAAAATCTAATCAGATTGTCTTCCTATGGTGATACACACTATCATTAAGTTTGAAGTTTAAATCTCTAGTGGTTCTTGAGATATTATGATAACAATCTCAATGTATGGAATTTCATAAGTTGACCTCTGTGACCCTTGACCTTTGACCTACATGCTCCAAAATCTAATCAGATTGTTTTCCTATAGTGATACACACTATCACTAAGTTTGAAGTTTAAATCTCCAGTGGTTCTTGAGATATCATGATAACAATCTCAATGTATGGAATTTCATAAGTTGACCTCTGTGACCCTTGACCTTTGACATACGTGCTTCAAAATCTAATCAGATTGTTTTCCTATAGTGATACACACTATCACTAAGTTTGAAGTTTAAATCTCCAGTGGTTCTTGAGATATCATGATAACAATCTCAATGTATGGAATTTCATAAGTTGACCTCTGTGACCCTTGACCTTTGACATACGTGCTCCAAAATCTAATCAGATCGTCTTCCTATGGTGATACATACTATCCTTAAGTTTGAAGTTTAAATCTCAAATGGTTCTTGAGATATCGCGCTAACAAACTCAATACAAGGAATTTCATAAGTTGACCTCTGTGACCTGTGACCTTTGACCTACGTACTCCAAAATCTAATCAGATCGTCTTCCTATGGTGATAAATACTATTCCTGAGTTTTAAGTTTAAATCCTAAATGGTTCTTGAGATATTGTGATAACGGTCAAACGGGACGGACGGACGGACGTACGGACGGACGGACGGACGTACGGACGGACGTACGGACGTACGGACGGACGTACGGACGGACAACCCGAAAACATGATGCCTCCGGCACCACCTTCGGTGGCGGAGGCATAAAAATTATTATAAAAGACATAAAATGTTGATTCAAATCATTCATATCTTCTATTATCAAAGAGATTTCATGTTCTTGATGTGGAATTTATAAAAGGTCTAAAATACTTAAAATTTTGCTTTTGAATATATTTTATTTTGAGGCTACAAATGGCTCTCCATCAATTCTAAGTCAAACTTATAGTTAAGTTTGATTTAGGATCTTTGTGAAACACCCCCCTGATGCTGAATTTTTGCCTTATCATACCTTCATCAATACCGGCAGAGCATTCAGCTTCATGCTGAAGCCTCTCCATGAGAGTCACAACTAGACCTCGTTCACATGTAGGGCACGTCCAGTGTTTCCTCAGAACCGATGTATAGCTAGAATCCAGGTTTCCTGCATCTTCTATCAAGCTGAGGTATAAAGAAAATAGAATTGTGAAATTATTATTCACTGATGTCAGTATGGAAGCCACAATGTATTTAAATATATATATTCAAGGCTGAATCTAATTTTATCTTGACCAACTTTTATTACTTGTTTTGAATTCTTGTGCCAATTGACAGAAACGTGAGGCAAGGCTATTAACTGGAGAGGGTTTGGGGAGAGTTGTATTGTGTTACATGAATAGTTGCTTGTATATTGTTCTATTTTTAAAAGGATTGATTAAAAAAGATAAGTACATGCATTTTTACATCACAAGGAAGAATTTACTGCAACAAAAATTAAAAGATCAATTATTTCTTTCTTTCTCAAGAAACATTGCTGCCCTCTTCCTCCTGATTCTCTCCCCAAGAGATTTTATTTTCAATTAAATTTATTTATTTTCAATTCTAAACAATATGAGCACAAATGCAAAATACAGCAATAAAATTGGTGTATAAAATGGTAGGGTACCCTTCAAATCAAATTGCTTGTGAGCAGGGTCCTTTTTGTTGAAAAAAAGGAATTCTTGGATGTCTTACCAGCCATACGTCATGAAGTCGGTCACCTTCCACCCCCCTTTAGTTGGATGAGGCTCAGAATCCTTGCTGAAGGTACTGAAGAACTCGTCATCAGAACTCTTGAGCAGTCCACCTATAAGAAGTAATTCAGTTTCAGGTTTATTTTCATTCCCAACACAACAATCAATACGAACACTAATTATGACAAGAAATTAATCTCAGAAATCAATGTACATTAATATAATGCATTTTGCAAATCATTCATTAAATTACGAAGGAGAATTTATATATTTGCTGTTAGTTATGGGTGTTTTTCGTTATAGATAAAAACTGTGGAAATGGAGGGAACCATTGTACTAGTTGTGATCTTCAGGAAAGAATTAATCCCCAATTATCTAGTCTCTTGAATATTAGTTTAACATCACTCCTCCCCCCCTTTCCTCGCTCTCTTTCTTTCAGTTTTTTTTTTCTCTCTCTCTCTCTCTCTCTTGCTTTCTCTCTTTCTCTTTCTCTCTCTCTCTCTCTCTTGCTTTCTCTCTTTCTCTTTCTCTCTCTCTCTCTCCTCTCCTCTCCTCTCACCTCTCTCTCTCTCTCCTCCCCTCTCCCTCACCTCTCCTCTCACCTCTCTCTCCCTCACCTCTCCTCTCACCTCTCTCTCACCTCACCTCTCTCTCTCCTCTTCTCTCACCTCTCTCTCCCTCACCTCTCCTCTCACCTCTCTCTCACCTCACCTCTCTCTCTCCTCTTCTCTCACCTCTCTCTCTCCTCCCCTCTCCCTCACCTCTCCTCTCACCTCTCTCTCCCTCACCTCTCCTCTCACCTCTCTCCCACCTCACCTCTCTCTCTCCTCTTCTCTCTCCTCTTCTCTCACCTCTCTCTCTCCTCCCCTCTCCCTCACATCTCCTCTCACCTCTCTCTCTCCTCCCCTCTCCCTCAACTCTCCTCTCACCTCACCTCCTCTCCTCTCCTCTCCTCTTCTCTCCTCTCCTCTCCTCTCCTCTCCTCTCCTCTCCTCTCCTCTTTCTCCTTCTCTCTTCTTTCCTTCCTCTCAATCACACACTCCCTACGTCTTTCAACCCTTCTTGCTACCTCTGAACCCATCCATTCAAAAACACATGTACCTGGGGAGCCTATGTAGAGGTGTTGGAGATCAGTAGCACCGAGTTTTCTCATGGTATATTCGACATGGCTGGAGGGTGACACGACATTTGCTCCTGCGACAATTGCTCCGGGCTTTATTTCGTCTAAGATGTAGGGTTAGGGTTAGGGTTTCAATAGGGTTTTATGTTAGGTTTAGGGTTAGGTTTAGGGTAGGGTATAGTGTTGAATCCAGGGTTGAAGTTAGCCATTCGATTAGTGTATGAAATTTACAGCGGAGCAATTGTCGCCGGAGCAAATGTCATGGACTCGGCTGGAGAGGTATTCAGCCAGCTTCCTCCCCCTACCCCTCTCTCTCTCTCTCTCTCTCTCTTTCTCTCTTCTCTCCTCTCCTCTCCTCTCCTCTCCTCTCCTCTCCTCTCCTCTCCTCGCCTCGCCTCGCCTCGCCTCGCCTCGCCTCTCCTCTCCTCTCCTCCCCTCTCCTCTTTCTCTTTCCTCCTTCTCTCTACTTTTCTACCTATCAGTCACGCACTCCCTCCATCTTTCAACCCTTCTTGCTACCTTTGAACCCATCCATTCAAGAGCATGTACCAGCATCTTCTTAAGATCCCCAAGACATGCGTAGCCTGTGGTGAAAGGGCTTTTTCAGCTGCAGTACCTTCTCTTTGGAATAATTTAACATTTAATTTGAGAATCATAACTTCCTTAGAGTCCTTTAAATCCAAGCTGAAATCTTATCTTTTTTAACAATACCTGTACTTGGCACTATGACACTCATCCAAACTCTCTCATTCTTTATTTTTTTCTTGTGCACCTCGGAATAGAATTGTCTAGATAGACGGCGCTATATAAATGCCTATTATTATTATTATTATTACCTGAGGAGCCTATGTAGAGGTGTTGGAGATCAGTAGCACCGAGTTTTCTCATGGTATATTCGACATGGCTGGAAAGGTATTCAGCCAGCTTCCTGGCCAGCAGACGCTCTAGGTGGACGACTCTCAGATCCGCTGCTCCAAAGTTGAGACTCCTCTGAGATTCTGGAAGATACACAACAACAAAATTGTCATGGCTATCTAGTAATACACACACACAGAATGATTACCAAGTCCCTAGGAGAGTACTTAAAGCCATTGGTCCCCTGGTTGCTTACTTACAAGCATACAATACTTTCTTTAATAGCAGTTGTGTAAAACAAACAAACATCTATGCAACAATAAAACCATATATGCATATTATGGTGTATCCCTGACTCCCAGTAGACAAAAAACAACAACATCTGTATTAAAAAAGGAAGATGGAGTTCCTTGATCCCTTCTGTGGAAAGACAGTTTTTGAGCAATATCATAAATTACCCTGTCAAAAGACATTTTGAGGGTTTCAATTTTCACGAAACAAATACGAAATCATTTATTACACTGCTAAATTGGCACACAGAATATTCTTGGGCATAAAATCCACAATGCATTTTACTGCTACTCGTCACTGTTTTCACGAAGTGACGGCAGGGCGCGACAAACCCGCTTGCCCGACGTCCCGGGGCAACCAAATTGAGCCGTCGGGCAAGTAAATCAAATTATCACTTGCCCGATTCGGGCAAGTGATACTTTTACAGTAATTTCCTAGTGTCCAAGAACTCTACCATTCACCCGTCAACTTCTTACCCGTCGTCAAAATCCAGAAGCAAAAAAGCGATCGTTCCGATTTCGAAAAAACTTCACAGACAGCTATAGCCAGCTCAGCTAGCTCAGCGCGCATGCAACAGTGACACTTCAAGCCATGAATGCCGCTCCGCCTCCACGCACGGCCGGCCGTGAGCTAGCTAGAGACAGCTAGCGCGATCGTACCAGCTGCGAGCTTATTCGCGCTCTCTCTCTCTAGCTCTGCAGGCCGCACCGACAGGCCTTTGCTATTCTCTGATTGCCGATTGGTTGAATCACGCCAAATATGACGTCATTATTCTAGGGAAATGAACACGTGCGAATCGGAATGGAATAAACAACAGGGATTTTCTAGTAAGTACAAAAAGTCAAATGTTTGATATTTATTCATAATGACTGTTAATGATTGTGAACATATTATTTAAAACTCGCTGCTCATATAAATCAGATGAATGTTTTTGTCTCGTTTTCAATTTATTACTGCGGTCTCAAGATCCGACCGAGCGAGTCATTTTGATAATAGTATCGAGACCCCCAGAATATAAGCCGTTGTTGTTTTGTTTTCATGGTTTTAGCGACGTTGTTTAGTCTAGTTTTCGCATACTTATCCGAGATTTATCGTAAAATATCTTCAATATTATTATTTAGTAAGAATTTACAAATTTTGGCATGATATTTATAGCAGTGAATGATGAAATAAAAATGTCCGTACTTAATTGTATCATATTTTTTACAACAGGGTCATTATGCTTTTTTACATGACTGAATATTAAAAACTTAAACCTGCTTGAACCATTCTACCTTGCCGAGATTCATGTGAATCTGATTATTTATGGAGAATCAATAAAATGCGTTTTTTAAACCTTCAACCATCCTTTGTTGACCATTTTCTTTGACATATTAGGTTATTATTCAGTACAGTTACACTGTACATGTATGTGCATTAATTTGCTATCTAAAACACTAACTTATCATTACGAGATAATAAATGCTTTAACCTCGAGTCCTTTTTCGCTTTAAAGTTTTGGGCAAGTGGAAATATTGTTTGGGCAAGTAAATTGAAAACCCACTTGCCCGACAGGGCAAGTGGTGAAAAAAATTCTTGTAGCACCCTGGACGGTAGTGAAAAAAAAATTGCATTCACTTTGCGTTACGATTTTCCTCACTACCGTCACTTCGTGAAAACAAGGACGTACTGGTTAAGAAGGCAAAATCTTACAATTTTTAGTTCTAAATATGCTTTACAGCATCAAAATTTTGGGGATGGGATTGGCCCTCAACAGCATGGAAGGGGTTCGGATTTTGTATCTTTTGATTAAAAGATGTCTAGATAGAATTCATGAAGGAAACACTAAAGATGGGTTCTACAACACATGTCTTCTCATCGGGGAAGGGACATTAAAAGCGAACCCTATAACCAGTGTAACTCTACATTATAATCTCACAAAAACAATGAACAACAATATGAAAGAGGCTTTTTATCATTACCTTTCAGCCTCATCTCCAGGACTTTGATCCACGTAGCTCTCAGATGGAGGACGACCGGTAGAATGTCCTCTGCAGCCTCGGAATCAGCAAAGCAGAACTCTAACCATTCATCTACAATCAGCCTGATCAACAGAGTTAGAAAAAGATGTTTAAAGGCATCATTTAACAATGTTAAATCTGAGATGCATGGCCCAACGTGTTATCAGTGTCTGTGATTTGGTGTAATATTGAAGTCCTAAAAAAATTGCGCTTCAAAATGATCAAGAAGTGCCTCAAAAAAGTAAAAATCTTTGAGTGACCGGTTTTACCATACTCGTTTTCCCCAATAGACTATAGTGTTATGAAAACTGTTAGGAAAACAGATTTTTTAATTTCGATTTCCAATCATAAATATCTTGATATTCAGACAGGCAATCGGCTTGTAAAAGTCATGGGGTTCCTGACTGACCTAAAGGTTTAAAATTATCATTTCACATCAAGAACTATGCCCTAGTCTCTTGAAGAGTCTTTGGGTGAGGGGAATGTAAGATAATGATTTTACCATATTGGGGGGGGGGGGGGGGGGGGGGGGGAATGGGTGGAAAATGCAGAGCACCACATAAAGTCTTTTTGTCATAAAACTGAAGGCTAATCCAGGTGATTGACAAGACCTGGTATTGGGTAAACACCTGAATGGTGTTGAATTCCCCGTGATAGCCCACTACTATGTGTCTCTAAGAACTATACTTCAACAGCAGAACTCTAGCAGCTCTTCTCCTATAAGTCTATTTACAATAAAATCATATGTATGATTATAAATACAACTCATATTCTTTACAAATGATTGATCTAACACATCACATGCAATTCATAAATCGAGACTATGCCCGACATAGCAACATACAAATACTATTGAGTGTAACGTCTAACATAGCAACAATGAATTTATAAAATGTTCAATAGAAAAAAAGTTTGTGAATTAGCAAACCTTTTACGATACTATAGGCAGAAAACCCTTGATACTGACATGGGTAGTTCTACATCTTCTCTAGATATAGCTTCTAACTGAAGGTAAAATTGTATGTAACGATCAAGAGATGTAATGGTTGATTTGAAATCAACACTTCTCACCAAATAATAATCATAATAATAATAATCTCTTGTTTTGACCGAACCTAATGTGGTATACTCTTCACATTTTTGCATCTTATAACACAGAGTTAAATGAATACATGCATGACCTTTGTTGATTGCGAATGCCATTTATTTGCACTATTGAGTGACCGCCTGGCTTTTTTTTCTTCTTTGGGAATAACATATATAAAATGAGCTATAAAGGGTACATGAGCATTTGTCTACATTAAACTAACTTCTTGTAATGGCCAAAATTAAACTGATTGAATCTTGGCGCAGCATAAAACGTACAACCATTCGGTACAATGGTCTGAAAATCAGACTATTACTTACTGGCTCTATAGGTCCTAAGTCGATTTGACAACTAATAGACGTTATTGTCACACTTAAAGACATTTTCAAGCCCCCTTTTTTTTGGGGGGGGGGAAGTTCTAAATTAATATTATCTTTCAAATGCTGTTGGAATTTAACCTTTTCATTCTTTTGGCCTGCAAATGGGGCATAGTACCTTTAAGAAGTGGTCAAAGTCAATTTTGTATGCACTTGTGACATCACATTAACTTGATTACTGAAAGAATCATAATACCTAGTGCATTGTTGGTTTGTATCCAGACTCCTGGCATAGAGCAACATGGTTTGTAAGGCGGGTACTCTCATAGTATTCATCAAGTAGGGCTTGTTGGTTTCCAGTAGAGACCTGATTTAGGAGTAGAAGGAATAAAGATGATAAACTTCATATCAATTTTCTTCAGAAATTAGTGAGGCGTACTAGTTTAGTAGTCGCAAAGAAAAATATATCAGTCTTAAATTTGATTTTACCACTATTGTTTCTACATGAAAAAGATATGATTGGAAAGGTAAATAATTGCAGTGCAAAGAAAATATTCAACACTCTATAGGTTTGGAAGAGTTCAAAGATATCTTGACAGTTGTAAAAATAAATATATTATACATTTGTATTACAAAGCTTGTACTACTTAGCAAATTAGACAGACCAACATAAATCTTTAACAACATTTGACATAACTTTTTTTTTTCACTTAACATTTATGATAAAAATAGCTCTTTGTTACAATTCAAAGCAAAATGCCAAATACCAATTTTTATTTAACATGCCTGAGTCCCAATATCGATTCTAGTTCTACTTTATTATGCAAATCCATTCTCTGATGTGAGCGTAAATCATGAGCTTATACTTACACGTAAGAAAGAAGTTGATGTTTGGCACTCAGCGCCCCTCTCTTTCCAGTTGTTTCCTCTGGTAGCGTGTCCCCATCTGGAGGTTCCAGTACGTCAGGGTTAGTAGCAAAGATTCCAGTGGGGTGAAGAACGACAAATGGCTTGGCCTGTATGTAATGTCAATGTATTTAACAATTTATGGGTGATCCCATTGGTAGTAGCAGACTACTGTTCACCCTTTCAGGACAGGATTTATTTTTAAGGTTGAATTGTTCACATATTGAATACCTCAACATGTTGCTAATCTAAGGATTTTATAGCTTATTTTTCTTTTCAAAATCCTGGCATCAAACACAATATACTATAGTCATAAAACAAAAAATGGATGTAGTGTGTGCAGACATTTTTGCCCTTCCTACTCACACATCTGGCATATTTATTTAGGGCTGTGAATCAAAAGTAAATGAGGAATGTTAATGTGGATGATTATTGCAATTCAGGTGTTCAATGTTTTATTTAACCAAAAGGATACGATTTCATGTGCATACATAGATTTCAGCCGTTTTTTCCAGATTTTAACCCTAGGTATCTAAAATTTAACAAATATTCAGGTGGGTACAGTGAGACAAATGGCATTCATACTTGATGAATAACCTTACACTTGCCTACATACCTTTGTATGGAAGACCTGATCGGATTCCTTTCGGTACGAGTTACAGTCATCAGCAATGGCAAGTTGAGGATAAAGCCCGCTGCACAGTATCACCTTCAACAGGTTGATCTCTCGGTTCAACAGACTCCGGTTCATGTTAGACTTGGCCTAATTAAATGGGAATATGTGTAGATTTCAATTACATTGCAATGTTGCTAATGTTCCAAACTCATGAAGGTGAAGCTTTTGTATAAAGACCATGCAATTACAGTGCAGTCTGTATATCAGTGCTTTTGCTATGAATTCAACCCCCCCCCCCCCCACACACACACATGTACATAGATCAGATTTATTGAATAGCTAATTTCCCCACCCACAAATATTTGCCTCTTTCAGAACCTAATAATCAATCTCCATGAAATTATCAACACATAATCAAGAACATGTGCCTTGATCTAGCAGTACCGTCAGTGGTACATTCAGCTCCCTGCCTTGTCTTCTAACTGACGGAATCCGGATCGAAGCTGAGTCATGCCTTTGTGATGGTGACGTAAAAGGTAGGTCCCCATTGTAAAAATCATATCTGATTGACATAAATCTGTTAAGAACAAAACAATTACATACATAACTTGACAACTATTCTATGCCATTTCAATAGACCACTTTTTTAATGTAATCAAACTTTAATGCATAAACCTTTGATAAGTGCCTTGTTACAAGTTATTTTATTTACCTGATATGAATACCGGTAATTGTATTTCAATAGTCACAATGCGAATTGCAGTCATTAGTTGTTGCTAGGTAGGACAAACGTAATGGCTTGTCCTACCTAACAACACGTAAAATATGAAATTTGCATTCCGACTATTGAAATACAATCATTTGTAGCAGGTGAATGACATAATTTGTAACGAGGCACTCAAAGATTTGTGCATTAAACTTTATTACATTACGAAAATGGCTAATTGATAAACTCTGAAATCAATGTCTTCTCACCTCCATCTCTGTCACATCATGAGACAGCTTGAACTGGATATCTTGGAGCTTAGAAGCATCATCATCACTTTCTTCATCTTCATCACTGTCATCAAAATCCTGCAAATCAAAAAGATATATCATCAAAATTACTATTTTTCCCCCCTAATAATAAGCAATGCATACCTTTCTAATGAATATTAATTCTTCTACATAACTCATATTGTACACCAAGTACAGAAGTACTTGATATTTAAATCAAAGGGAAAACCAAAAAGAGAGAAAAAAAGGCTTTAAATTTTTTTCACACGAACAGAGTTTCAGGCTGACATCAATTGCTTAAAAACCAGCGACTCCATTGACTCTTTCTTCAGAATAATAATAATATTCCATTCTTGTATAGCTCATATCACATGATAACGTCCCTGTGTGCTTCCAAAGAGCTTTGGAATTATTACCTTAGCTTTAGAATCAGGAGTGTATTCTTAAAATGCAACCAAAAAAAAAGACAGACGGCAAGTGTCATCTTCAAAATGAAATTTACTCAATACACATCTTTCGATTCTAAGAAGAGCATCTAGACTGATTTAAAGTGTATGTTTTCATTGAGTATACTGTACTGTTTGGCCAACAGAGGGTGCTCACCGACTTCAAGATACCCAACAAAACACAACAACTTCATAGAAGGCTTTACATGTCTGCATCTCATAATATACAGATCATGATAAGGGGTGTATGTTCCGTGTGCACACCTACATTTTCACCTTTTTTCACCTCCACTTGTTTAACACTTGGCTTTCACACAACTATGGCCAATGAATAGTGATGTGAGAACCCTCTTTACAATTGATACCCCCCTCCCCCATCTAGAAAATGGATAGAGCCCTGTTTAGAACCTCTTCTCAAGCAATCCTATAACTTGTAGCACTCACCTCGTTCTCTAGTTTGAGAAGTTTCCTTTTTTTGGATGAATTCTGAGTCTTCCTCTTCAGCTCTCTCAACCTCTTTCTCTCTCGATTCCTAGACTGGCGCTCCAGGCTGCTGTACTCTCGCCTCGCATCTTTCATACCAAGAAGATTGTTAGTCTAGAAAAATAACAATGATACACATTTTACATATACCAAATCATTACAAGAACTACATAAAACAGTCCATTTAGGGACAATCATTCCACATTTTGTGGTTAGGATCAATAAATTTTTATTCAGAGCCCCTAATAGAGCAAAAATTTCTGCGAACACTGCATCAATTTTTCTTGCATGACAAACAGCCTTTTCACACACAGCTAAAATTCATCGTATCTAAAGATGATTAGAATCACTCAACAGTTTTAAACATGTTTATAGACAAAATTTCCCAGTGTGAACATCGTTTATACGATGTTGGGATAGATACGAAGTCGCGATCCATACGCCCCTAAAAGCAGGCTGCAGATACGAAGTTCGTATCTAGAGAGCTTGACATTTTGTGTGTGAAAGGAAATTCGTGTTTAAACGTGTTTAAACTGGATGGAGCGTGCGCTTTGATTGATATGACATGACCTTCAATGCGCAATGGCACTACTGCGCATTTTACGAGCAGTAGTTAATCACGAAACTATGAACGATCGCAACGAAATTTCTGTGTGTGAAAGGCTCGTGATTAGTTTAAACACGTTTCAAACACGTTTATACTAATCATGTTTATATAATTTTAGCTGTGTGTGAAAAGGCTGCATATTGCGTTAGATGCCAGAATTTAAAAAGGAACATAAGCTGTAAACCCTTTAAATTGGCAGCGCATTGAGTGGTTCTGAATCATTATTTTCAATAAAAATTGGCAATTTCCCCCAATTTTTTGACAGTCTGTACACAAAGATATGGTTTTTAGTGACATTACATTTTATTAGAATAATAAAATAAAAGAAAGACATTATTGTTGCCAATTTGAAGAACATGTTATCAATTTAACCCTTAAAATAAAGCCTGTCCTGGAAGGGTTTAGTAAGTAAATAAATGAGAAATCAGTTGGTAATATCAATCCATTAGCAGAGTGAGGAGAGGAAAACAATTCTTGTCATATTGAAAATACAATGACAATTTTTAAAAATATAAAAAAAATTGCATTTTTTGGAATTTTGGTATGATATGCATTCCCCCACCCCCCCCCCCCCCCCCCCCAAAAAAAAAATAATAATAATAATTAATTAATGCTACAATGTACATGTATCTTAGGCTTAGTATTTAGCATGTTCAACTACAATATTAGCAATGGTTCTTACATCTAAGAGTTCTTTGAATTGTTTCTTGAGTTTGGACATCTCATAGAACCTCTGCTCCTCTAATCCTCTCCTCTTACACCATTTACGAGATGATGAACCTCCGGATGCTTTCATCTGTAGAAGACAAATAATCAAGAAATACATCAAAGGATATTGAATAGAATTGAATTAGAATTGTCACATTTTCCAATTATAATACAGAATAGACATGTGGAATAGAGAGCAGAATAGAATATGGGGAGCAGAAACCGTGAAAGGTTGAGGTGATGAAAGGATAAACCTGTACTAACTAAACTCCTTTTTTAAAGTTTTTCAATTGACATTTGAGCATTGTTTCTATATTATCATATTTGATGTTGGTATCACTGAAAAGCCTGTTTATTCCCCTTTACAATGATATCCCATTTGAAATGATTATTTAATCATGGAATGTGCAACACATCCGAATATGAGAAAAAGTTTAAAAATGAAATGTTACAAAATGCATTCTTATTTCTTTACAACAATTAATCCTCCAGACAACTGGATAATTCCCTCTTGACAACAAAACTGCATTTTGCAACATTTTAATTGGCCTGGTTCTTGAGAAAGATGAATATGAATATATCATGGACAGAAAAGATAACAAATGAAAAAATGTTCAGAAAAACAAGTGTAAAACCATCACTCATCAACAAAAGAAGAAAGAGGCAAATGCAATGTGTTGGTCATATATACAGAAAAGGTAATCTAGGAAAATCAGTATTAACAGGAAAGATTGCTGGAAAGAGAAACAAGGAAAGGTAGCGCCTCACAAATTTGCAGAGCCTGGACACATAGGCAACCAATAATGAAATCAGCAATACCAGCTTAAGTATAGCAGATATCAGATAGAAATGGAGGACCATGACTGCACTAGATGATGATGATGATGATGATGATAAACTGATTAATTGAATTAGTTATGCTATGGTCACAAAGGTTCGTACGAACGATAATTTCGTACGAATCTCCGTTTTTCCATTGTCTTCCCGAATTTCTTCCCGAATTTCATTGTCTGAAAATCGTTCGTACACCGTTTGTAGCATAATGGCAATTGTGACCGAGGCTTAACATACCTGTATCCATTCATCATATGCATTGAGTAGAGTGAAGGGATCGCCGTGATCTGACTCTAAGGATTTTCTGGCACTCTGTTTGAAAATAAACAAAATCCCAATTATGTACAAATAATATTTTTTTCTCAATCAGAACAAATTCCTACAGCTTTTACAGATTTAGTAATATGAAGACAAGGAGTTACAATGAACTTATGATATTCTAAAGTCTCATCTACATCCATAAGCCAACACTTGGCACACATTCACTTTAGACCAAGACATCAACAAATGAGAAAATACTGTAATTTTACTTAAAATACATTTTTTAAACATTTCTCCTAGCTGGAATAAAAAAAGGCATTCTATGACCAAGCATCTACAAAAATAATTTAAAGTTAATGTCCATCATCTGTCATTTCTCTCTGGACACCATTAAGGTACAATTTACATATTAGTAATTTTTTTAATAAGATATTTGCCAAAAGGAATATGTTTCCTTTAACCGAATCGTTTACACTGACAACAGGTAATGTCTCTTTTTTTTTTAATTCACAAAAATTTAACATATTGTGAGGAAAACAAATATTTTAACAAAATCAGCATACATCAGAAGATTTTATAAAGTTTATTGATGGATTCATACTCACCATAGCATCATGATCTCTATGAGCTCTGCTTGTGAATGGGGATTGTACACTGAGAGCAGCAGCTATTGATAACACAGGATCAATCATCTGTAAGAAGAATAATGTTAATAACTATCCCTAAAACTTAAACAGTGTGCATCATCAAACAGTTTTAAGCATTTACTCTCATGCAGAAGCTTTAAATTGACTACTACACTTTTTTATGTTTGTAACTACCATTGTTTTATACATTTATTTTGTTAGTGTTTGCATTTTGTCATCTATCTATATGTTTCTGTAACTTTTTGATAATCCAACCACTCCACAATTTCCTTTAAGGAAGTTTCCATTTTATTGTCTTATCCATATTTGTAAGAAATATTTTTTTGCACTTTTTGACTTTGCACATATTTATGAAAGGGAAGAATAAATTCAATTCACTTCAATTCATTTGATAACTTGCTCCTACATAAATAATTGGAATAATTATTTAATTCCATGTTTTATCACCTGGGCCCTGTTTCATCAAACTTGTTATCAATATTAAACACGTTACAAGCTACTGTTATAAGCTACTGAAATCATGGTATCTGATTGGCTGCGAGCAAATTTGTCATAGAAATTTAGCATTTGTTATAGATAACAAGTTTTATGAAACAGGCCCCAGGTCAAGGCAGTCAACAATACACACATACACACCATTCCCAGGCATTTATAATCCCCAAAATACCTTAAAGATGGTTCCCATGATAAGCATCTTGCCGATGACGACATCCACAGGTAGCTGTGACAGCATACGACCAACAGGGGTAAGTTTCTCCTTCTCAGAAAGGGCTCCTTGCTCCTTCAGAAATGTGATTGAGTTCTCGATGCTGTTTGCAGGAGGGGCCTCGATGAATGGAAACCTGGGAAAATTGAATTTAACAAATCATTCATTATAGCAATGAGAAGAATTCAAGAGAGGTTCAAGTGTCTGCATCTCAAAGAAGGCTCCTTGCTCCTTCAAAATCATGAAGGAGTTTTCTACGACTGAGGCAGGAAGGGCCTCGATACAAGGAAACCTAGGAAAATTATATTCAACAAATTATCCATTTGGACAAAGGGATGACAAATATTTATAAAATGATTCTAATAAAGTAACTAATTTCTGTATTAAACACATTTGTTCAATTTTAGTTTTCAATATCACTTGGATGGTGAAATAAAGAAATTTCAAAAAGTAAGAAGTCTTTAAAAATGACTGACAAACTCTATAAAGTATATCTACATTTCTGTAAACTGTACAAATAGCTTAAAAACTCTAAAAAAAACTCTAAAACTTGAAAACTCTAATATAATAATTTCAAATATAACTTTTGACAACCTTCATACACTGCACAACAAATAACTTGACTCTTTCTTCAATTAAGCAAGTATCTTCTTTTTCAGTCCAAACATGGAATCATTTTCAAGTTTTTATTGAAAATACTCCTTCACTCTTCATTATTTGACACCGACCTGAATTCCTCTGTGTTTACAAATTAAGTGTTAATTTCACAGGCTACTCAGAAATACCTTACTTGTCAATTTAATCCTGCTTGAAAGTGAATTTCACTGTTTGATTGACAGGTGGAATGTGGTATTAGGATCAGCTTGTTGATTTCATGGCATTTAAATTCACTGTTTGTACTTTACACTCTGTTCTTTGTGTTTATGTACATAACAAGATTCCATCATTGTGCTGATTTTGTCCTGTCAACCCTAATACGACAAAATTTCTCTCTCTCTCTCTCTCTATCTCAAAAGCGATTTCACCCTTAACTGATTAATGTATGGATAATCTATAACTTACATATTTTTCCATGGCATGGAAAGTCAGTTGCAAAAAAAACAAACACTTAACTTGAACTCTTAAATCCTCATTGATAAAGCTAATTCATGGACAAATACCACTATAAATTACTTCTTTGGAAAAATACCCAAACGTGTAACTCGCTATCTAGGATTTTCAGATGCAGTGTCACCATCTGAAGTAGTAGAAGTGATTCAAATTTACTTTTATATAACAGATCAAGATACATACATTGCCGGTATATCTGTATGAATGACTATTTATGGGATTGATAATGAAGAATTAAAATAACTCACTCTCTAGGTCTTTTAAGACCCAATGCTACCATCTGAAGCAGAAGGGAATCTAGAGGAACTCTTTGTATCTCTGGCGTGGAGTAGGCTTGAAAAGCATCGTAGTCATCCTCGCCGTAAAGTCTGAAACACACCCCAGGTCCCGTACGCCCTAAGAAGACAAACAGGGAAAAAGATTATGATTTTAAGCAAACAATGACAAAATGGATGATTATATTAATATAATTGGGACAAATGACAGGCATGGTGAGAGAAAATCCATCATATATAGGGAGAGCCACAGTGGTGTCTATTTTCTGAGTGACATCATTTTGTATGCCGTTTGACCTTTAAATCAATACATGAAATTGGGTATTTGTTAGCAAGTATTCTTTTAACTGAGAAAGTGTCATGGGATACTGTACTCAATCTTTTGTAACATGGGCATGAGTGTGCAATATAAAAACCTTTCCTGCATGCTAAATTGCTTACAAAAGTGAATAGGACTGCGCATATTTAATGTTTGCATTGTCTTAGCCAAGCATATCTGACGCGAATGCAAGTTATCGAGAGGGCTCGACTCCAAAGGAGCAAGGAATGAGAAAGCAAATACATTGTTTAATAGTCCATGATTATTGTGCCAAAACTACGAAATTTCAAATGACTAGGAAGTGTACATTGTCTTTCACTTTCCCAGTTTTGGTATTAAAGACATTCCACATCAAATGACATACCTGCTCGACCTTTGCGCTGTTCGGAGCTGGCTCGACTGATCCAAAATTCTTGCAGCTGCTGCATCTTAGCCTGTGAGTTGTAGTTCATCTCTTTAACCTGTATCATATAGGTTAAGGGTAATTAGAGTTATAATCTGGATCTGGATTTATAGCGATAAATACGAAATACCGTCTCTAAGCGCTTTATAGATATTATAACCTTGGTTATCGAATTCATTCATGCACAATGAGCACCATCTCCACTCCCAAAGCAAATGGTACTTTTGGAGTCACCGAGGCCCAAAGGTTAACCAGTACCTCGATTAGAAGGCATGGTATATTTGTTTTATATCCTGCATCAAAAAAAAAAAAAAAAAAAAAAAAAATTAAAAATCATTTTTTGGAAGAAAAAAATTTAGAACAAAAAAATGTCAACTTTTATCTAAAAAGATTTAAAATATTTTGTTTTCATTAAATTAAGATTTGAAAAAAAAAATTGATTCAATTAAAAAAAAAATTAACATTTTTTTTTTCAACTCACAAATAGTATACCAAAATATTACTCTCATATAGTACTTTCTAAAAATAGGTCAAATATTTCTGGTCATGTGACGAGCTCTCAACCAATCAAAAGCCAACAAATTTTTGATGCAGGATATAAAAACTAATATTTGATATCTATGTAAGTGACACCTTGCAATAAATTTGTATATTAATAATGAGTATATCTACTGTGAAATTTCTGTCATAATACCACTCGAGGCACTAATACAACTCAAGGCACTAATTTTTCTATCCCGGGAAGGTACCACATCTACTTTGTGAGTTTTTTGTCCATGGATGTTAAACCCTTCAAATTCCCTGGTAAATAAAGATCCTCATCAAATATTGAATCTAGTCATTAATATTACACACGTTAAAATACAGTATAATTAGAATTCAAGCATACACTCATTATTCATATTCAAATAGTCAATGATAAATGGGAGATGTTCATTCATTCCAATATTTAATAATAACTATATAAATGCCTATTGATCAGCATATGCTACCATACAATAGGGAAGAAAATCACACAAAATGAGAAAATATAGTGAATGAAAATGGCTTGTGTGACTGTACCTTTCCTGAATCAACGATGAATCGAACGCCATCGATTGTCACAGAAGTCTCCGCAATGTTTGTTGATACGATGCACTTTCTCACTCCCTCTGGTGATATGTCAAAGGCCTAAATCAACCATATAAAACATACAATACTAACGACTAATCCACAGTAGAATCGGAATAACCTAGGAAATTAAATGCATCATGAATAAATTTCCTTGTATTGCTGTACAGATTTTCCAAGTATCTTTAACTAAATGCCTTAAGGAAAATATATTTGTACAATGCACATGCGTACATAAATTTTGATGTGCTATACAGCATTTACAAACTCGAAACAAAATTGTTGAGTTGTGCATATCTTATAGAATAGTGTCCATTCCAGAACAGAAAAAATAAGATTAGTTCACACAGGTTTCTGTTAGAAAAACTTTGTCTTTATAAATACAGTTTCTTACTATAATCTAAAAAAGGGCTTCTCAAAGTCCGGAACGTGGTCCGCATCCAAAAACTGAGTAATGTTAGTGTCATTTCCGACTTTCCAGCAATTAACAGAAATGTTAGAGGTTCTACTTCAGTTGATATATACAAATGATTGGAAGAATTTTTGCAAGGTTGGCAACCCATGTTGGAAATCACATCTGGACCTTCAAGGATAAAGTTTGAGAACCCCTGATCTAAACTGTTAAAAGTTTATTAAAACCTATAAATGTTGTCAGGGCTATATGCTTTTTGAACATTGCATGTAAATGCTGCTTTTCATCAAGTAATTCAATAATCAAGTCTACAAACTGACCTTATCTTGCTCAGCGACCGAGAGCGAGCTGTGAAGCGGAAGAACAATCCATCGGTTGGTTTGGCTGGCGTACATCTTAGCTGCCTCTACTACACTTGAGATCTCAGACACACCACTCAGAAAGACTAGTAGATCTCCCCTCTCAGAGTCTGGGTACTTGTGGTCTATGCGCTGCATGATACGGAGATAGGGTCGGGCATCCAGTCTCTCTGACTTGCTGCCCTGCTCCTGTTAACATGTCAGAAGTGTAACCAATAATTAGTTTGAATAGAAATATATATATACAGTCAAACCTGCTTTAGTGACCTGTCTACAAAGACCACATATTTTGTTTCCCTTGAAAAATGGTTTCTCATTGAAACATGTACTAAAGGAACCTGTCTCCAAAGACAGCCTGTCTACAAATACCACTTTTTATGTTTCCCTTGGGTGTTCTTTATAGACAGGTTTCACTGTATATATAAGAAAGTCTAGATTTCTGCTCAGAACTTGAGAAAGTTAGGCCATAGGGCTTTGTTAAAAAATGATTTTATTTGACTTTGTAAGGGGGAAAACATCTCCCAGTAATGCTGTGTTTATAACTTTATGACATTCTCTACACTATCAGCATCAAGCAAATTTGTAATGCAATTTTATGGCATTGATTAATCTTTGATTAAAAGGTTAATTTAATGCCTTTAATACTCTTTCATGTTATATTTCCATCGGTCTCTTTCTTTCACATCTATCACTTCTTTATAAATCTCAATTTACATGTCTTGATTATGATTTTGACATGACTTATATTGTCAACAAATATGAAATACTTACTGATTCTTTGATAGGCACATATTCAACTTGTATAGGATACAACCTTCCTGGCACCTGTGAAAATAGACAAAAACAGCAGTAAACCATTAAAATGAATGCTGCATATAAAGGTTCAATAATATATTTATCACCTCCATCCAAATCTTAGCCAACATTTAAAAGACAATCTTTCAATATATTGCACTTTCCATCTTTTTCAAAATGATCCTATGAAATATATGATAGAGCATGAAAAAATCACTACAAATACAATGACTGTCGCAAGAATAAAACTTTGTTATGACATATGGACCATAACAAAATGCCTACAAACATTTGGTGTAAGGGCCCAATTTCATCAAGGGGTTGCCGCCTCTCGCCAAAATATCAATCTTCCAGTTTCTAAATTTTGCAACCCTAACCCTTTATCTAAATCTTGACACTTCATTGACAATGTAATTGCATCATTAAAATTTGTACAAAATAATCTATGAAGAATGTAAAGAGATCTTCGCACTTCCTGGATATGAGATGGTAGCTGCTCAAACATATTGTCAGACAAAATAATTGTTGTATTGAACACCTGCATATATGCCCAAAAATTCATGTCATGATTTGTTGCATCAATAAATGTTAAGATCCCCTTTAAAATGTTGGGAGCCCAAACAATTTGATGGCAAAAATTTCACTAAAATTATATCATAATGTGGAATAGCATGTCAAATTAAGACACATTACTGCAAGAGTTTTCAAACAAACGTGTTTGAAGTTGAATATTGATGACAGAATACAAAAAAAATATTTTTTGCGTACAACAGAATACCCAATTTATGTATCCTTTTTTCAGTATCTGTCTTCAAACACATTTTTGGGTGAGAAATCTTCGTAGAAGTGTGTTTTAATTGACATGCTCTTCGACATTATGATACAATTTAAGTGAAATTTTGCCATCAATTTGTTTGCGAAAATTGGGGCTCCCAACACTTTAGAGGGGCTTTAAAGTGGAGGGAAAAAAATAAGTGGCACTTTTTAGATTAATTACCTGAATGACAGGTGCATCTTTGAAATAATTTGAGAAGAGATTGATATTGATGGTAGCCGACATGAGAACCAGCTTGAGATCATCCCTCTGCTCCATCATGCACCGGAGGACACCAAGGAGGAAGTCACCATGGAGATGACGCTCGTGGACTTCATCCAAGATGAGCACACTGTACTGTGAGAGCACCGGATCCAACTGAAGCTGACGAAGGAGGAGTCCTAGGGTTAGATGTTCAAGGAAGAGAAGTAGAAAAGCTGAACTGTTTTATTTGTTGAAAAATGAAACCCTTGACAACTAGATATGTTTGAGTCTATATCTTTGGTGCAATTTGTACTTGAGACAAAGATCAACCACGGCAGTCCACTGTTAGGTCAACGAGTTGACTAAAGCAGACAAACAGTTAACAGGAATCAGTCACCTGAAAAAATCATTTGAGTACAGCCATTTTGCAAAAAGAATTCATCTATACAAATTACCTGCCAATTCTATTTTAGGTAAGCAGTTAAGGATTCCATGAATTCACTAAAGCAGACAAAAAGTTAACAGGAACCAATCATCTGAAAAGTCATTTGAGTACAGCCATTTTTCAAAATGAATTCATCTATAACAATTACCTGCCAATTATATAGGTTATCAGCTATTCCATGAATTCACTAAAGCAGACAAAAAGTTAACAAGTATCGGTCACCTGAAAAATCATTTGAGTACAGCTATTATGCAAAAAGAATTCATCTGAAAACGATTACCTGCTATTCTATAGGTTAGCAGATGAGGAGCATGAAGAAAATTAAGGAAGTGATAAAACCCTGTGCATAGAATTAAAGTCGGTTTCCATTCCATAAGCCCTGTTCTAATCACACTTGCATTAACAAGAAATGCTTGACAAACAGGATGTCTGACATATCTTCAATAAGGAAGAGAAGTCATCTCAAATGTGATCTGGGCCCCATCTTATCAAAAGTTGCGATTAACCCAAATCAGTCGCAAGTTTGCAGTCCCCTATCTCTTATGTACATAGTTGTGATTAATATCAACTCTTTATAAGACGTGGTCCTGGTATCCAACTTCAGATTTGTACTTATAGAAGGTCCCAAAAGCAACCCTCTTCGCCTATGAGTTACGAGAAATGCTTAAAGATAAAGTTGAGTTCCGGTCATGTGATGGCATTGCGAAAGAAACGTTGTGGAATTGATCAGAAAAGATTAATCATCTAGCATATAAGTATTGGTATGTATTGCAAGGTTCTGGAATCATCAAAATGATAAGAAATTTGGCCCAGTATTGGTAAAGTTATAAGCACTGTACACAGAAAATGTATATGGGACTACACAAACATGTGGCATAAAATCTGTTCTGATGTTTATGATGTTACATGCCATATTTAGAGTATTGAGGCATTTGAAGAGCCATGCTTTTCAGGGAAAATTCCAAGAACTCTTCCCAGAACTAAACCTTGTTTTTAAAGCATCAAGACTTCAGAAGATTTAACTTACCTTCAGTGAGGAAGAGAAGTTTGGTGGCCTGAGTCTTGGTCGTCTCAAACCTAATCTGGTATCCGACCTGGGAGCCGTATTCATGGAGGGTCTCGTACCCGACCCTCTTTGCTAATGAGATACAGGCAATACGTCTGGGTTGGGTCACAGCAACAGAGTCAAAGCCTGCACTCATTAGGTACTGAGGTACCTAGTCAGTCAGGAGAAAATTCATTGAATTGATAGAATTTTGCATTTCTTTCAAAGTCATGCACAACATATATTACTGATGCAAACTATTAATAAATACAGTTCACAACTTAATTATTCATACCTCTCTTTTTTTCTTTTTTTTTTCTTTTTTGTAACTCAAGAATGAAGGGTGTACTTATGAGGGGCCTCATTTATAAGCACAAGTTGCTTGTTAGGGGTTTCTGGCCTTTGTATTCTGTATTTATGATATGTACTTGAAATTGTTATGATGCCAAACAAATTGAATTGAATTGAACTGACCTGTGTAGACTTGCCACATCCTGTGTCTCCTGCAACTATCACAACACTGTTCTTGCGGACAGCTTCAACGATTGTTTCTCTGTACTTGGCTATGGGAAGGTTACACTGATCCTTGCGTAACTTCACCACCTTGTTGAACTGAGAACAACAAAGAAACAAAAAAACATAATCGATTAAAAACTGTGTTAATAATAATAATAATACAAATACTAGTGGAATCTTGCATATTCCTCATGTCTGGCACATTGTCACTCCTGGCGCTCCATTTATTACCCCAGCTTTAGCACAGCTGCCATAACAGCACTTGAGCATCTTTGAGGAAATAATTACTGTCAGGTGCCCATTTACCTCACCTGGGTGGAGTGTGGCAAATGTAGATTAATGTCTTGCCAAAGGACGTTTAGTGAGCACTGCAACTGAGATTCAAACCCTGTACCTTGTGGTTCACAGTCCGAAGACTTGTCCACTGGATCACAACACCTCTACCTCACAACACCTCAGTGTAGCATAAATAAGCTTTCAAAGTGACTCAATACATCTGAAAACGATCAAAAATTTGTTACAGAATATATATTATAACAGATACAGGGTTAGGACTTATTCATTTAACAACTTAATTATTTATACCCCTTGTAAGTTTTTTTTTCTTCATAACTCAAGAATGATACGTGGACTTGTTGAATTAGGGCCTTTGTTGAATCCTTTTAGAATAATTTAGTTGTTAACTGAATGTTACAACACTAACAAAAAAAGCAGTAAAACACATTTGATCATAAAAAATGCTACCGGATGCCCCTTTCACATAAACCCATCATGTATGTCCAATTCTCCTCTTACCTGTTGTTTCTGATTGAAGCCCAAGTAGAGCAGAAGCACTTTCTTGAATTCCAAGACTCTTTCCGATGTCAACTCATCTTTTTCTTCTACAAACAAAATAGAGACAAAACATCATTGATGTTGTTATTGTTGCTTGATGTGCAATTTTGGATGTAGATGAGTACTTACTTAGATAAATCATTGTCAACTGTGTCCTAATAAAATAGATGTTGGTATAAAGGTATAGTTAGAATTTGAATTTCTAGATTGTAACTAAAAAGATTTCCTATTTTTGATATGCATCACCAAGACAACAAAATAAGCCACAATGTAGAACTACAATAACAAACTACAAATGTACATTCTTCAATTTTACATTCATAACATATCTACTGTTTTTGTTGATGAACATTAATTCAATTCCATCACCCTTAAGGTTTCAAACACCGAACTACAGAGAGAGCAAAATTAATTCTACAAGCCACCTACTTCTTCTACTACATCTGTCACGAGGGGTAGGGATTCTTTTTTTAAATCCCATTTGCAACAAGATGGGACTTTATATTACAGTCAAACACAAAAAGTTGTCAACGTAGACAGGTGGTCTTTCTAGACAGGTTCCTTTAGTACATGTTCCAATGAGAAACCATTTTCAAGGGAAACAAAAAATGTGGTCTTTGTAGACAGGTTCCTTTAGTACATGATTCAATGAGAAACCATTTTCAAGGGAAACTAAAAATGTTACCTTTGTAGACAGGTTCCTTTAGTACATGTTCCAATGAGAAACCATTTTCAAGGGAAACAAAAAATGTGGTCTTTGTAGACAGGTTTCTTTAGTACATGTTTCAATGAGAAGCCCTTTTCAAAGGAAACAAAAAATGTGGTCTTTGTAGACAGGTGGTCACTACAGCAGGTTTAACTGTACCTCCACTTGCTGTCACGTGACTGTAGGATTTCAAGGTGTGCTTGCTGGGGACAGTCATCTCTAGGTTGATGCTGTGTCTTTTGTCAAAGGTCCGTGGAAGTTTCAGCTTCCCAGTCTTGGCATGCTTGTCCTCTTCTGTTTTTTTGGCTATCAATGAAAAAAAATAAGTTGGATAAACTTAATATCCCACCTCATGCCCATGTCCGTACCAGCAGATTCATATGGTGATTGAAAGTTCATTTGATATCATATATATATCATTTCAGTAAATAATTTTAATTCAGATAGAAATGTTAGTATCCTGTTTATGCTCAATGGATATGAATGTAACTATAGAATTTGAAAAAGAAATTGATAATTTCTTGTTACACGGCTACAGAAATGGTAAAGTAACCCTAATAATGCTATTGGTGGTTTAAACTGTCCAAATGTTGATACCAAGTCAATTATTTTATGCTGTATTTTCTTTTTAAAACTCAAAATAAGTTCTGAAGTTCTTATATTGGAATGTTTATATCAAGATGAACAAACAAAAAGGAAAAAGAAAATAAAGGTGCCACGATTGTAATTTTCTATGAAATAATTTCTGTAATACATTTGAAATTTTTATTGTCACGGTTAAGTGTTATATTTCACATTCTAGTTAACAAGGAATATGACATGACCTCTAAAACGAATTGAAGTGATAGTTAATATGATCAATTATGAATCAGATGACTTGAACAGCTGACTTGAAAACATATTCTTTTACCTTTATGACTACCTAATCTTGCTTGTTTTTTGCTCTGGAATGACTGGTATCGCTCAAAAAAGGACCAAAAGTCACCATAATCAGAACTCCCCCTAATTTGATAATAAAAACAAACAAGCATATTTAAATATATACATTTAATAATAATAATAATAATAATAGCAAATACAAACAATGCTTATCGAACGCTTACCACCAAAGTTTTTAAGCGCTATGGTGGATTCATAAAAATATTTGGAGTCAATTAAACATTCTCTATATTGCCATATTGTATTCTTAATTTTGTTTGGAACATTTTAAGAAACAGCAGAATACACAAATATTTTTGGAAAGACTTAATCAAGGAAATACAACAAAAGTGAAGCTAATCACACCATAGCCCTTACAAAATATAGATCAGAGATTTGTTTGTGATTTGCTGGTAGACAAATTTATATTGATTTCCCTAAGAAAAGATATATACAGACACAAACATGATGAATATCAGGAATATCTACCTTTTTAGGACACCATCATCATCAAAGAAGAGTTTATCCAACTCATAGCGGTGACGATCCCAGTCGAATGACCATGCAACTGAAGAAGTCTCTGTTTCTGGCTTTCCTTGTTCCTCAGATCTCTGTTTGTCTGTTCGTTTCATCTCCTCCTGATAAGAAAGAAGTAGATTAGTTTGGGTCCAGTGGACAAGTCACCAGACTGTGGATCGTAAGGAATGGAGTTTACATCTTTTCCACAGTACTTTTATTCTATAGCTAAAAGCCAAAATCCAGTGTAAACATTTTTTAAAGGTCTTTAGAAGAGCTGCATATGGAGGTTTTACTATGTGATATGTGCTATAGAAGAAGTAATTATTATAATTTATATTTTTTTTTAATTCCATCCAATTACACTGAATCTTTATCAACAAATGACAGATTTACAATTAAAATAAATGAAATTCAAAGGAATATTTTCAAATTTTTATATGATGGATTAAATCATTCCACGAGTAAACAGGGGGCGGGGGGACAAAGCAGTATGAGGAAAACTCTTCAAAGCGCCTCAAAGCCATGTGATATATTCAGAGGTGTCAAAGAGGGATGTGTCCTAGCCCCAACCTTGTTCGGCATATATTCTTCTCCCAGCTTCTCAAATGTGCTTTTGGTCCATCAAACGGAGGACATCTATTTCCATGTAAGGTCAGATGGCCACCTGTTCAACCTCACAGACCTCAGCACTGCAGCAGCACACCATCTACACATTCCTAGAGCAATCTATCTTTGGCCTTTTCTGACTGATGGAGGCCTACCTAGCTATAAAATTTGTTTACATCTAAAGATTATAATGAAGTTCTGAATAGAATGTAAAACCTGTCTGATTGCAATTTGTAATTATTTGAATGTAGGCCTTCACAACTCTTACCCGTACCTGTGTCCGATCTTGATGTTCCAAATTCTGATTTGATGAACTGCCAGTGAAAGCAGATGACGCTCGTAAACCAGTAGAGATAACAGTACCACCACTATTAGAAGTACTTGTGTCTCTCTCCTTTTGTAATTTTTCAGCATCCTTAATATCATCTGATGTGTAACCATAGAAATTCCAAGATGGCTTCCGTACATGTAGATCCGAGAATCGACTAGGCCTTCTTTCACGGTGGCGCTCTGGACTGCTCCTGGAAGAGGATTTTATCTTGTTTCTTGTTCCATCTTCCCTCTCTTTACGATATTCATGCTTAGTGTCATCATAGCGTGAACTACTTTCATCATATCTGTGCCTGTGATTAGAGTCACGTCGTCTTGAAGAAGAGTCATGTCTTTCGTAATCCTCTCTTTGAGAACGTTCTGAATATGAACTCCTTTCTCTGTGACTCTCGTGATGCGATTTTCTTTCATCCCTCCTTTCATGATGACGGCGGGAATGATCTGATGAACGTCGGTAACGGTCCTCGTCACTTCTGTCACGTGGCATTTTACCTAAGACATTGAAAAATGATGTAGGATATCCGTTTTAAATTCATGTATGATTATTTTTTCAAACTAAGCTTCCATGGCTATGTTATTCAAATAGAAATTAAGGTGCTGTATCTAAAAAGTCAACACTCTGTTCCCTCTGCAGGCGAACCATTTACCTCAAGTTTTCAGTTTAAACTTTGTAACTTTTTCTTTTTCACTTTGGAGCAGGAATATTACTTATATTACTATTTGCAATGAGAGAACAGCATGGACTTTAAAGTTTCAACCCTGAGTAATTTCAGTGTAATTTCACACTTCTGGCCAACTTTAAAAAGAAAATTTTTCTGTTTTAACTGTTGGTTACAACTGTTAATCACATGATGAAGATACTCACAATGGTGATGCTTCTACTAAATCAAGGAGTAACAGTATTCATTTATGGAGATTATCGTTATAATTCATCAAAACCAACATCAACATCATCAACATCATCATCATCATCACCGGCTCCTCTTTTTGTCATCTTTTAACAGTTTTAAGTTCTTCAATCTTTAATGTCATAATTTTTCTTCTTTAGATGTTGTTGTTGATTACGTCAATGATATTTTGATAACTTTTCTTGACCACCCCAGCAACATGCAGTGGTCAATGCAATGCTAATGCATCATCATCATCATCATCAAGTACGGGTAGAAGGCGTTGGCCTGTAATTCCCGGTCACTGCATATCGACTCGAGATTAGAACAAACTAAACTGAAATTTGAAAATTAAACAAAAAAGGCAGCAGTCTAAACTTCAAATTAAACTCTAAAGTTATCATATTTCTTGATCTATAGGTCTACAGACTAACAGAAATAGTATATAAATTCTCTAAGAGAAGTACCGAAAATCACATCCGTCTAGAAGGGGTCAGTAGACGTATTTCTTGTTTGTTTAATAAATTGTTACATATTCAATTTGGACCCTCTGTCGCTTTTTGAAATACAAGACGCAGATCTAAACGTGTGGGACCAAAATTGAAAGCCCATTTACTTTGTAGTCGTGTTCTCCGTCTAAAATCAGGGGCTTTTGTTTCCAAAATAGCTAACATCTCCAATCACATTATAATAATGCTACATATGTACTGTATCAACACTAGTCGTCAAAATAAATAAAAATATAAGCGCTCAAAAGAAATATTTTACCTGTTTACACGCTAGTCGACTACAGTAGATAGTCTTTATGCCAGACATTCACTTGTCCACATACATATCTGTCAGTTTAACGTAGTCCTAGTGCACAATTTGAATTATAGCTCTGCAGTTTGAGGAGAAAACAACAAGCGATATCTCACAACTAGCTGCTTGTCTCAAAACTCAAATCCAAATTAAACTTAACGGTATGAGCTTTGAGACTACAAATAAGTTTCTATTCATTCTTCATCCTGAAAATTGGCAGAATATATAAAGTTATCTAATATATATCTTACACTTTATTCTCTCTCTTTTTTTTTCAGTTTAAACTTTTGTAGTTTGGTTTACAATTCATTCTAACATAAACTTTAATAAAATGATATGATTATCAATTTTTTAAATATAAGGTTTACCCATTATATTTTTACTATTCTAGCATATTTCTTTCTTCTTCAAGTTTATTTTCTTCCAACTTTATCACAGGATATAGCATCAGTCAGTCATTGACCTGAAGTAATGTCTCTAATTTTGGTGTCTTGCTACTTTCACTCTTACTTTTTACTTGAACACCCACACACATAAAGAAATAATCATAACAAGGACATATAGGTTTGTTTATTATTTATTATTTTGTATCTTCTCAAGTTATAGAAAATTAGCATATCAAGGCGTAACATTTCGAGCTGTCAAAATACAGTGAGGGAATATTAAAGCCTGATATACAGAGGAAAACACTTAATTATCAGCGTTATTATCTATACTAATAGGAAAATGGATGCGAGTTTATTTAAAGTTTCCTTCTATACTAGTCACATGCATAATATTTGAAGAACAAATACAATTAGAATTCCAACAAACTGATCCTCATCATATTTTTGCTTATCTTCTTGACTACATCCATGAGAAGAAAAGAATGTTCAATCATGGTTTAAACGTCACCATGATAATATGTAAATTATCTGTCTCTGAGAACCATAGTACACAATGGCCGTTTTTAATCATCAACATGCTGCTGGGCTATAACATTCATTGCTTTTATAAGAACGTGAAAATTATAATCTTGCAAAAACATATATTTATTTCCTTTAATATTTTACCAGTATCTTACATCAAGATGAACAACAATTTTTAAATATTAATTATTATAAAAAAAACATAAACAGGACAAAACTGTAGTGGACCACAATAGAGGCACTATTGGATATCCTTCGTCTCCCAGACTCACATCACATGAGATAATAACTGTTGAATTTCAAAGACCAGCATATTTGCTAGCTCAAATATACTGCTTTACACATGCATTCTTGGGACGAACAATAGTTATACAAAATAAAAAGCAAAATAAAGGTCACATTTGACATTCAAGTGAAGACTCTGAAATGATCCAAGTGTTTAATAGAAAAAGGTAATTATTTGCAGCATTCTTTCAAATCTTGAGCCTTGAAGATCTGAAGCAAGATGTTCTTCCTTCTAATTCTTTCTTCTCGTCCAAGTTGTCGGACTTTCTTTATGCATCTTGCCAATTTGAGGAGGAGCTGAATACTGTTGCATCATATCTCTGAGTACCTGTCTATTATCATCCCTCATCCGAGATTAATGTTCCGTCTCACAAACGTTTCTTCGTAAACATCTACCGGTATCTCTTTCTCTCAATATCTCTTCCATGCTATTTAGTGTTTAAAGAGTCTGTTCTTTATTCTTCTGCTAGCTTGCATACGCAATATAATGTGGTTGTACTTTTGCGACCTTCCGGAGTTGTTTGTCGTGTGTCTTGGGGCAGGTCATCTCACACCAACTTGTAGGAACCATAGGGACACCTGAAACAGAAGAAAAAAAGAGAGAGAAATTGAAGTGTCTTTTGCGACCTTCTTTTTTCTTTTTCTTTTTGTTTAGATTTATATTTATATTCCTTGTATGCTTTTTATTTCTTTTGTAATTTAATTCAATATTATGTTTATTTTAATAGGAGCCTCATTTTTTCAAGCACAACTTGCTTCTTAGAGGTCCTGGCCTATTATGTATTCTGTATTTATGATTTGTAATTTTATTATGATGCCAAATAAATGAATTTGAACTGAATTGCAATTGAATTGTTTTTGAATAACCAACAATAAGCAACTTTGAGATACATGTATATTCCATGCATGAGTAGACAAACTATGTTTGTACTACATTGTTATACCAACTATAAAAACAATCACATAAATCTTCATTAAATAAAAGGGGGAACAACACTAGTTATGAAGCACACCTATTGGGAATGAATATTCAAAAATACACATAGTCAGGTATCCTACTATTTTTGCAAAAACCATAACAATTGAATGCCGTAGCTATTGAAAAGGAGGTTAGAATTATAATGAAAATGTAAAACTAACCTGCTTCACTCTTGGCAAGTACAACACCAAGCTCATTCTCTGCTGTCGTCAAAAGATAGGACTGGGCATCACCCAATGATAGCTGAACATTACAAGTCAAGGAATAATAGTTAAAGGTTCTGATCTATGATGGACCAATACAACAATTTAAAAAATAAAAACTTTTATCTTGTATGAACCTACTGCAATCATTGGTGAAAAGATATTGAAGGGTTTTACATCAAGTTATTAAAATTATGTGTCTCAAAAAGAAGGAGACCTTGTTTGAATCAAACACAATACCTTTGTGAAATGCATATGAACCATATATGCTCAGGCAATTTGTTCAGTTACTGGTGTATTAAACACTGCACAATACCACAATGCTATCTTCCTTACCTTGAAAACATTTACATATATGCTCCTGCTTCATCTTTTTATAGTAAGGTACAATACAACAAAATTAAGTTCTGTCCATGTTACAGTTTAAGAAATAATCACAGAAGTTTGATTAATTAGGCGTACTAGCATTGCTTTTTTATTCTGTCTTAAATGATCAAACAGAATCATCTACAGTTAACAATTCAATACATATTCTTATTAAGTTTTAGTAATTTTTTAAGTATGTGAAAAATTGATTTGTCTTGATTTATTCTTCTTGATAATGTGGCATAATAATAAAGCTTGCATTTTAAAGTATTCAACACAGGCCCTGATTCAACCAGTCCACCTTTCATTCTTGATTTACAAAAAACACAAAAAACAATCAATTTTACAATGGGTATGAATATTTAGTTTTTAACTGTAGTTAGGATCTGTGATTGCAACTACATAATCTCTTTAGCACAGACAGTGGTGTATTTTTTTTTAATGCAAACAACAAATTTTGCAATGGTAATACTTTTTTATTAATATTTATTTCTGGTATTTATACAGGGTGGCACATATCACCAATTTGGTGGTCTTCCATGAGGCCATGTTTTGTAAGAATAAAACAAATAACAGCAGCAAAAACAAAATAGATAAATACACAAGGATATAAACAGGTAAAATACAAATTAATTTAAAGGATACAACTCTTGCAAGAACAATATCGCCAGGCCTGAAGGACTTGTACACCTCCACCTTGTCCTTCTCTGTAGCTCGGATATCTTCCTTGCGAATCATCCCTCGGAATGTCTCCGTCAATGGGACGCTCTCTACGCTCAGGATGTCACAACGGCAGAACTTTGACGTGATGCTCACCACCTGTACAAGACAGACCAAAAAGGAACGTACCATTAAAAAATTTCACTTTAATCAAAATGTCTCCATGATGCTTTCCTTTTTCAAATGTTAATGAAAAGCCAATCTCCTTTTAAGAAACTCTGAAATTACAGTAATCTGAAAAACATTTTTACAATAAGAGTTAGGACAAAGCTTTGAATTATCAAGCACAGAGTTAATAAATTATATGACACAGCAACACCAAATTTATAGTTCTTCCGCACTTGTTTCTTTGCTAGAGTAGGTTATAATCTCTCCAAATTTGAAAACTTTGAAGATCAATTTACCTTGCATGTAACTAACGATTTCTGTCTTGGTACAGTTATTTGAATTTCCTGCTGGAGTACTGTCAGTGCTGGTAACTGTTTGGAAGGGAAAAATGGATTATTGATCTTGAAAGAAATACAAGGATAAGTTCATGTATTCACCCCCATTCAGATTGGGCTTTATTTAGTGGAGAATGCCTACACTGTGAGGCCATCAATCCACTGTCATAATCATGAAAAAAACCTCTGGGCACTTTTTTATTAAAAAAGAACTTGCAATAGATTCAAATTGAATGCAACTGGATCGGAAATCTATCTAAAGACTTGGGAGGTTGCAATCAAAAGATCCCTTCAACACCTAGTGTGTAATTATAGTAGGGGAATCATGTAGTTGTCTAGGTACTAGGGCTAGATGGTGTCTCAGAGGATTTTTTTTTTTTTTTTTTTTTTTGGGGGGGGGGGGGGGGGAGGGGGTAGTAATTTTCCTTGAGAGTGGTTGTCCAAAGGTAGGTATTCCAGAGACCTCTAAGGGGGCTTTGCCTTAGGGGTTGTAATCCAAGGGGGTGATAGTCAATGGGGGTAGCTGTTCTATTCTCCCTAACCATCTTGGAGCTACCAAGACCCCTATCTCACCTCAGTCTCGACCTCTGTTCTGGAGCACAAATGTCCTGCAAGACTGGCATAGATGCTGCCATTTCTTCTGTAAGTACCAGGACCAGTATGGTATTCACTTTCAAGGCCAAGATGTTCGCCTGTTGAAAAGAAATTAAAGAGGTATAGATTAAATGGTTAGCAGTAATTCAAATGAATAAATTATGGTTTTGCCATGACCATACTGGTTTAGAACAAAAGTACAAGATGCGACACAGATGCCCATCATTTCACCTTCTTTCCAAGAACAATTCGGGCCTGGAATCTACTTACCCCCCCCCCCCCCAACATTTTAATCTTCAAAGCAATACAAAAGTTCAAAACAAAACTCTGGGATGAATTCCAAAGGGGCAATAAACATATAGTCCCTCCATGCAAATATGAATGATTATGAAGTGATAAGACTCGACTAAGAAATGCATTTAAACACATAGACTATTACACTCTCTCTCTCTCGAATGATAATGTTCTTTTGTTTATATCACTCTTTATGCAGGGATATGGGTGCCAATTAGGCTAGGTGTCGGGTGATAACAATATCATATTTCACATAATCACCTGGTCAAGTACAACATGTCGTGTATTCACATTTACAACACAAAACTTGATGCGTGGGGCAATGCTATATATCAATGCAAAGTTTAGGATAGTCAGAATTTACTTTCACGAGAATGTAAAAAAGAATATTTTACAATTTATGCTAGCTTATATCCATATCTTTAAGTTACATTGTCAAGAGATCAACATTTCTTACCAGGTACGCAGATACGATTGTGATGCTTCACATGGTCACTGTGGGCTGCCATTTTGGATTTGAGCTGATTGAACTATGATGGCGCTATAGAGCCATTACGGAGGACAGGGCCTATATTATTTATATATTTTTTTGTTTTCATAGGTTTTTATTCATTTCTCTCAAAAAGAAAATTGTACATATTTATAACATTGTATACAAACTAACAAAGTAATTTTAACATAGGTCTAAATAAATTTGCAAATGAACTTTTACACTTACAAACAAGGTTACAACTGAAGTTACACATTTACAGATGAAAAATATTCACATAAACAAAATTATATTTTCACATTTAGAACAAAAAAAATCGCAAATAAAGTTTGTCCTATTTTCTCGACCAGTTTGCTTATAAATCTCAAATAAATTCTCTTCCACAATATTTTGTTTTCCTCTTAAATTTCCTTTAGAGACAATATATATATATATATATATATATAAAGAGAAAGAGCTAGAAAACACCTACTAAGCCCCCCCCCCCCCCCCCCCCCCGCCCCACACAACATTAAAACACATAACAAGTACAACGGTCACAGAACTCTAAACGTTCTGTGACAACAATATATAAAACACACACCAACATAGAACGAACAAACAAACAAAAGAAAAAGAAAAGAAGAGAAATAAATTATTAAAAAAAGAAAGAAGGAACATAAAATAAAAAATAAAGCAAAGGTAGAGAAGAGAGGAGGGTCAGGTCGTCTGGAAGTTGTATATTGAGAAAATTAAAAACAGAAACAAATTATTCTAAACTTTCCAAGGCTTCCCATTTCCTTAAATGAATTGAAAGTGTGTCTCTTTCCAATGAAAGTATTTTCTCTTCATTTCTACTTTCGAATAATCTATATTCTATTTCTTTTGCTTCTAGAGGGTTTCCCTTCTCTCTTCTGTGGAAAATCATATATTTAATCAAAATCAAAATGTGGTTCAATAATTGCTCTGTTTTTAAAGTAGTGTCATCTATTTCTATACGAATTTATTTCCAGGATAATTTCTTCAGAATTGGTAAATTAAGTCTATCTGCACATTTCCCCCAGACTTCCTTTATATATACACATTCAAAGAATACATGTTGATAAGTTTATTCAATTTTTTTGCAAAATGAGCACAACCCATTTTCATGGAACCTGAATCTATGTAAATGATGATTTGTATATAAAATATTATGCAACATTTTGAACTGAAATTCACGCAGTTAACTACTTAAGGTACACATCCTTGGTTAAACAAAATATCTTTTCTACTTCTTTCCTTGAAATATTATAAAGTGACATTAAATTGCCGCCTGCCGAGTTTGTTTCTACATTCTTTTTAATTTGACTCTTATATATAGGCTATTTTTTGCCGTTAAATCTTCAAATGTAAACACTTTATTTGAAAACATAAATTCTAAACTAAATCCAGTGTGAATTGACTTTCTTAAAGGTTGAATATTTTGTTTCCATTCATCAGGGCCTACTTTATAAATGTTATTTACTTTATCAATTTCCACTTTGCTCAAACCTAACATTGAGCTTCAGGTTTCAATTGTCCATTTACATCACTAATGTGATGAAGTCGATAAACATTTTTTTTAAAAACAAAGTTTCCTCAATAAGGTTTGACCTTCTAGTTGAATAAAATTATTATTTTACAATATTTCATTCCCTCTGTATCTCTCTTTGGCTCTGACGTATTGTCCTATCGATTATCTTACGATAGAGAGCGCGCGATATGCGCTAACGCCGGCCCTTAAAAAAAAAACACTTTAGAATGAATATAATTGAATATCCTTTTTTCTTCTTTTTTTCCTTCATAATTACACCTTTTCAATTCAATTAAATTCGAATATTTTTTTTTTCGTAACTCATGATCAAAACATAAAGAAAAAAGTGCTTACATAAAAAAAATATGGAAGACATTCGCAATATAACAAAGAAAATTAAACTTATTTATTATTATTAACTAAATGTCGAGAAGACTAGTGATCAAACATTTTTTCAATACAAAACATATAATATAAGCCTGTCATAAATTAAGACAAATTTTGGAGGAAAAGTGTGTCCACTAAATAAAAGAAAGCTTGTATTTGTGGGGATTAATTCTATTTAAAAAAAGTTGGGGGAAGGAAGAGAAAAGGAATGAGAAAAGGATATTAAAATAAAGAAAGAAAAGGTGAAAAACATGAAAGATAATGCTGAGAGGGAGATAGAGAGACTACAGAGAGAGAGAGAGAGAGAGAGAGAGAGAGAGAGACTGAGAGAGGGAGAGAGGGAGGGGGAGAGAGAGAGGGAGAGAGAGAGAGAGAGAGAGAGAGAGAGAGAGAGGGAGAGAGAGACCGAGGCGTTGCCGGGAAGATTGAGGGGGGGGGGGAGGGGTCGATATGGTACTGATCACTCCGTGTATATTAGATTGACATTGATTCTTCTGAAGGAGTCTATGAGGTAAAGCGAAAGAATTCTAAAGAATACAATTAAGCTTTAAATCAAAGAAAATGTGAAATAAAAAATATTTGCAAAGAATAATAAAATGTATGAAATATAAAATGTATTATAGAGAAGAAAATAATTATGTAACTTATACTTATGACTAGACAATCCCTTTCTCGTTTTATTCCTACTCACAGTCCCCAAGCTGTGCATAGTGGGCCGCGACCCCCCCCCCCCCCCTTCTCCTGAGCCTATATACCTCGCTATGAATTCAAAGTATTGCCTCCCAATCCTTTTGAAAAACTGACGCTATATTCGAGTGGTGATTGGTTAGTGATCAAGAGGAATAGCGTTGTAGGCTAGGCATTTTATGGCTTCTTCGGCTTCGGGCTTTGACAACATTTCTGTTTGAGAAACAAGAAATAATTAACCCTGAAAACAAAAAGAGTATAATTCGTGCCTCTCTCTCTTTCTCTCTCTCTCTCTCTCTCTCTCTCTCTCTCTCTCTCTCTCTCTCTATCTATCTCTCTCTCTCTCTCTCTCTCTCTCTCTCTCTCTCTCTCTCTCTCTCTCTCTCTCTCTCTCTCTCTCTCTCTCTCACGCTATAAACCTAATAGAACAAACAGTTCAATTGGGAAATCCGTCCGTCGCAGTATAGAAATAGTAATTAAAAAAAGTTGGAATGCAGTAAGGCAATGCAGGTCCTTGAGAGTTTCAAATCACTATTACAGGTTTCAAATCATTTCAGCAATTTAAAATTACAAATTACACGCAAGTGCAACGAACTGTATTTAGAAAATGCGTACACGCATCATAGCCTACTCCGCAAAAATAGAGGAGGGAGGGGGAATTGGACACTATTAAATAAAGGGAGGGGGGGGTCTTAGGGTTGCCACTTTTTGAACTAGAGGTGAGAGTGAGACATTGCGAGGGTAAGGAGCTCTTAATTTGTTAATTCGTGAGAATAAGCAGGGGGGGGGGGGATTGAGTATTTGGGACTGGCCATTCAAATGGTGATGAGCATTGGAGGTATAGGCCACGAGTTTAGGTGAAAAGGAAGTGTTTGTCAAACCATGCAGTCATGGGACTACAGTTTGACATCCAGAGCTCAATCATGGAGTTACTCCATGGTCGTACTCATTGTTTCTCATTTTTTGTTTTCATTGTTCCCTTTACCACAAATACTGCATATACTTCTTGTCACTTATGGTACTCTTAACTTTATGTTTCATAATATAGGCCTACTCTTCATAATTATAATACGTCTTACATATAATGTTCATTTACATTATTTTGAATGGCTACTTGCTTAACCTCAGAATATTAGAGGTCGAAACTTGATCTTCATTGATGTCGGAAACTACTTGGTAAAGCATTAACTTTGTAATATATTTTACTATATTTGATTGAAAGTTTATATGAACATTACGAACAAAAGAGTGTCCAATTTCTTCTTTTACCCCTTTTTTTCCTGAGTGTATAGAACTGGCCCACCCCCGGCCCCACCCCCGGCCCCCCCCCCCCCACTCAGGTTTCGAAATGACCGCATGCGTGTTGCCAAAATGTCCGGTAAAGGGGTACTTTTTGTGCGACAAAGTCCGGCCCGAGAATTGTAAAAAAAGGGGTGTATTTGACTTTTCACCCGGAGATTTCTTTAAAAAGGGGGTGTTTTTTTTTTTTCTCTCATCTCTTTGGAATCCTGAGAAATTATTCCGAATTTAGGGGGGTACATTGAGCATTTTTCCCGATTTAGGGGGGGTCTCCAAGGCAAGAAAAGCCCGCGAAAAGTCCGCGAAAGGGGGGTTCGGAAATGTTGGCAGTCCTCAGATAGGGGGTGCTTTCAAAAAGAGGGAACGAGCATATGCGTACCCTAAATAACACTGAGTGGGGGGGGGCCGGGGCCCCACCCCCTTCCTCACACCACCCCTAAAATGAAACCAATGCATATAGGCTAAGTGAAAACTGTCGATTTGTGTCACGGTAATGACAATCAAAATCGTCTGAAAACAGTCACCTAATCAATAACTATTCTCGGTATATTTTCCTCAAAAAATTGAAGTCGCGGAAATCCATGTCAGCATAGACCCTATAGGCATATCACGTCACATGACAGATTCCGTTTGATTGTGTGTTAATACGTCGCAATCTCTGCACTGCCACTGGCCGTCTTTACTTGATTAATAAATTGTCACAGTCAAAATATTACTTGTTGGCAGCATAATGAACTTGAAGGGAAAACACCTTATTCTGTGGTACTAGCATACTAGCAACATTTATTTTATCCACGAACGTGAACCGAGTTATTTCAAGCGACATCGACCAACATCACCGTACTCTTCCAGCAGTCGAGCTTGCGACTGCGAGTGGAAGTCTGGGCGGCTCGCGTAGGCGTTGCGTGTACTGAAGTCGCGGACATGTAAATCACGGGCACTGGTTGGTTTGTGGCAGGCAGTGCAGTGACTTCTCTGTAAGAAGTTGCCTTTTGACAATGAATTACTACTTATTCACATTGAATATTTCTGCGACTGTTTGATTAACGTATGGACAACAACAATGGATTACCTGGTGGAAATATGCCAATCTTTTTTTAATCACAGACTTGTTCCAAGTTCAATGTCTGTGAGGACTGTCTTTTTGACATTAACAATGTCAATATTTTTGATAGGTAAGGTTCGAATTTATTAGTTTCTCTTCTCGTAAATCCTGATTGAGTGCGAGTGAAAGTGAAACTGTGGTTAAGCAGTGTTTACGGCTTACGTTTGTCTATATTTTGTAGTCATATAAAGATTCTTGTAAAGTTGTAAAGCAAAGTCAAGTGTAAAGACTGTAATTAATGTACTAAGTAATTCAATAGACCTAGTTTAGTGTAAACTAGTAGTACTGTATTAAGTCTTGAAACATAAAATGGATTAGCTTTGAGGGTTTACATTATCACCTAGACCGAAAGCTTCAGTCTCTATACCGTCGGTTGTTCCACTGAGACTACGTCTGGCTCCACTAGACCTCCGGTTATAGAGGTCTAGTGGAGCCAAACGTAGTCTCAGTGGAACAACCGACGGTATAGAGACTGAAGCTTTCGGTCTAATTATCACCTAGCCCTCAAGGCTATTATGGATAGCATATCATTATATAGGCCCTCTAGAAAGAAAATAACCTTCCGAGTCATACACTGTATTGAAAAATTGACAATTTACTAATTTAGTAATTTTGCGTGTTGAAACAATTAAGTACTTGGAAAGTCAAAGTTGTCTGGCACTTTGTCACTGTGATATTACAGATGCAGCCAGTTTGAAGTGCCCATAATGTACATGTACTTTACTGGGCTATATGCATTTATAAAGTTGTATAGTAATTACAACTTTCGAAAATGCATAATTTTGTTCGATTTCATTCTAACTTTCATCAGTCTTCTTTTTTCTATTTCTGGTTCCTAAAGACTAGTTGTCTATTAAGATTGTTTCTATTCTTTTAAAGCTTAGCTTAGGCTGCCTCAAATTCACATGTTGTAGCAATCATTTGCATCTGCTTACTTACCTTGTTAAAGTAAATCATCCTTTTCCAATTTTTCCTAGATTAATTTTTGATGCCTTTTAACAAAATTGTTAAACCAAGTCTTAATTTCCAATGAAGGGTCTGATTTCCATTAAGTAGAAAGCATCAGGAAAGGAATGTTGTAAATCTTTTCTCTTTTCTTCTTCTATTTCTACAATAATAGGGAAATTAATTGCATTTTCAAATGTAGATCTACTGATCTACATGTATTGTTGATCTGCCATACATTTGCTTGTCTATAAGCATTCGTTTCTGCACCTCAGTCGCATCATTTAAGAGAAATCTAAAAACTCATTTGTTTTCTTTGTAATTGTTATTTTTTTAGAGTGTAATGCACTTGGAGAGCATATCATTATTCTGTTTTTATTTTAAAATGTAAAGCGCTTTGAGCAAGTTTATGTAAAGGCGCTATATAAATATTTACATACAATATGTATGTATGTACATGTATACAGCTTGATCTTCATGTGTATTGCGTAAAGTCATTGTTACAGTAGTAGAGAAATGGAACAATTTATTTTTTTATTATTATTTTTTTTTTTTGGGGGGGGGGGGGGGGGGGTAATTGTATTCAAATTGAAATTTTTCACTTTTCAATGAAAAAGCTGAATTAATTATGAAATGAAATGAATAGCAAAATAAAGTAAATCCCCATTGTCCATATTAATTATTCAGGTACTCCTTCCGATTGTATCTCCTGGAAGTCTTGGTTCATGGAAGACAGGTTAAGCAGAAGCATCCACAATTCTGATAGCTTTCTCTTCCTAGACTTCAACTGCTCTTCGTTTGATTTAGAATGCTCTGCTTGTGATGCTGGAAGCTTTGCCAATTTAAGTAAGTCTCGAGGGAGAATTACATAGAGCATTATCTGCCACATTTACCTGCATGCAACAGTAGTTTATTGATTTCTTATGCATTTTATTTAATTAAAGCTTATCTGCTGTAGTTTACAGGAGGGATTAGACTGCTCTGCAAGGTCACTGGACAGGTGGTTATCTCATCAACTCGGCTCTCAGTTAACATAAGAAAAGAGGATCATGGGGACCAATGGTCACCGATTAGGCATTGTTTGTTATATAGAGGGCTCAAGTAGCTACCAGTAGTGCAGTGGGCCTTTAAAACATTTTTTTTAAAGACAACAAATTGTAAAGATCTACAATCTTTATTTTTTTCCCCGTTCAAATACATATTTTTGAGGAAGATGTACATACAGTGTACAGTGTATAACCAGTTATAAGTTGAATGCTTTAAAATATTTCTGAAATGTTTTTGAATGCATCGGTCTTTTCCTGCACAAGTCTCTTCATAATCGATATCCATGGCCCCATATACTGTACCTACATGTACATCTACATGTAGTACCTATTCCATAATCAATTAATGACTACAGTTGAGTTCTTGAAAAGTCAACATTTGTTAATGTCACAGACATTGAATTCGTTTGTGTTAAGATAGTGTACACATTAATTTATTTGTTTAGCCTTACAGTGCAGCAAACATGTATTTTTTTAAATAACTTCTGTAGTATGTACTACTGTCGGCCACACTAATGTATATGAACATTGAAATGTACACACACACAATTTATGAAAAATGGTAATCTGTAAACAAAAAATAGAATGTAGACCGAGATTTTGGCAATCTGACTCTCATACTTAGAAGGTAAAATCGGATTGCTGCTCCAAATAGTGATCTTTGACCTATCACAATAAATCTGGATTTGATAAAGGCTAGTTTGTGTATGACTTTGCTGATCGAGCGCTCAGCAAACAGTCCCATACAATATAGCCATGCAATTGTGAAGTGATATCCACCTCAAGCTCTAGATTGTTTACATAAAAAAGGCAGACAAATATGGCCTGTAATGTGTTATCTCTGAACACCGTGACTAGTACATGTATGTTATCCTGGTTACAGCTAGTTTCCTCCCCGGCCCCCCCCCCCCCTTCTCCACACACACATACATACTTTTTATAATGCATAATATCTTTAGACCAAGACCAGCATGTTTTTTCTTCCTGAAATTTAAAACAGGAAACTGGAAGAATGACTTGTGGTGTATCATACCTCATGTAGATCAATGTATGTATTCAGGAGAACGATGTTGCACTGGAAAATGATTAACAATTTCCTTACAAAAGAACTTTGTGGTACATACTGTACACGTGTTAGCTTGAGGGCACCATATTAACCTTGATTAAAGATGTAGTGGTAAGCATATTTGTGAACTACAAATAAATGAACATACACATACGTTAACTTTATCAGAAGGGTATCTACATGTGAATATATGAAAAAACTACTACAATGTAGTACTGTGGCTTTGAGAAAGGAATTGAGGGCATACATGATTAAGATTATATCACTCATTCTCTTTTAGTCATTCAGTTGTCTGTATGTGTTGCATGGTGGGGGGGGGGGGGGGTAGTGGTGTTTTTGGTTGGATGGGGTTATTTGTTTTATGTTGCAACTGATTTCATTTTTTTCTTCATCAATCGTACAATCTATGTAATGAAAATATTTTGAATCATGTCAAGATGAAAAACAACTGTACTATGTTTCTAAGATTGATTTGTATTGTTTGGAATCAATAAAAAATACTGTTGGAAAAAAAAAAAGTTAAACATTGGAATACTGACTTTTACATACCGTAATAATAATGATACATGTACACTGTACATGTAGGTAGGCTTGTATCAGAATGAGAAATTTCAATCAGGAAATGGGATGTCATTTTGTAACCCATTAAGTAAAATTTAAATCTATATTTGAGTTTCCCATGTTTTTAAACAAGAAATGTCTTCAGTCTTTAATAGGCACACTACATTCAACTCGGAAATATAACCAATTTTCTCAATGGATTTCTCCAAATTTTCTTCCTTTGACAGCAAACAAAGACTGCGCCTGTTGCGACCTCAACGGCGAGTGCGCCCGTAAGAAGCTGTGCGTTGATTGCATCGAGGGAGAATACCAACCCGAACCGGGCCAAATTGAGTGCCTTCTGTGCCCAAACGGGACCATATCGAACACCACATCGGCGGAACAGTGCATGCCTTGCGCCAAAGGAACTGTCCAGCCCGTAGAAGGCGAGACGGTGTGTGAGGACTGTGAACCTGGCTATTTCGCAAACAAGACCGGGTTGTTGAACTGTTATACCTGCCCTAATGGGACGTTTTCCAACACCACCGCCAGTCACAACTGCACAAAGTGCCCGCCGGGACATTTTCAGCCGGATGGCGGGGCAACGGGGTGTGAGATTTGCGAGCCAGGATCAGCAGCATTGTGCGTTGAGATACATGTACTGTTATACAGTCAAACCTGCTTTAGTGACCCCCTGTCTACAAAGACCACCTGTCTATAAAGACCACATTTTTTGTTTCCTTGAAAATGGTTTCTCATTGAAACAGGTTTCTCATTGAAACATGTATCAAAGGAACCTATCTACAAAGACCACCTGTCTACAAAGGCCACTGTTTGTGTTTCCCTTGGGCGGTCACTATAGAGAGGTTTGAATGTAAAACCATAGTTACACTAACGAGACCAACATCAGGGCTCTGTTGAAGCTTGTAATCAATAACAAATTACAATGACTGTTATAAGCTACTGAAATTTTGGCATTTGATTGGCTGAGAAATAATTTGTCATAGAAATTTAGCCTTTGTTATTGATAACAAGTTTTATGAAACAACAGGGCCCAGACCGACAACAAACCCCAAAAATTACATTGCTCTGAATGGTCAAGAATTGGTCGATTTGGAGTCTGTTTTTACTCTGTCTGGCAGTGTAGCTTGGGAATTAATCTGTTTGTGGTGAATAAAACCACAGCATCATTGCATACTTCTTTCTTAGAAAGTTCAGTCAATAATAACTAATGATTGAAAATTTGTTTGTTTAATCAAACAGTCAGAATTGCATGTAGAGATACAAAACTATAAATGTAATAACTACAGTTACGCATATATACATTGTACGGGTAGATTGTTAATATCCTGTCGTGGTATTAAAAGGAGGAAAGTTGTTTACAGCCATGTGTTATTGATCATATTAAAGTGTTTGTGCAATATGGCCTTCAATTGGTGGATTTTGTTGGATTACATTTTTGATAAAAATCTTCATATCAATCACACTAAAACGTTTGTGATAATAATCGTATGCCACATCTCTTTTTATTTTTCATTTTTCTATTTTTGTAATATGATGGTAACTATAATCTCTCTTTCATGCTGGATTCATGAATTGGGTGTATGTTTTTGTTTGTTTTTTTTGATTTGAAGAAAATGATACTTTTCTTTACCAAACTTTTACATGTAAAAATAATCATCACTGAAGAACAGCAGCATACAGTGTACATGTACATGTACATTTAGCATATTTTTACTTCCCTTCTTCAGAAATTTTTCAAAAGGCAGAATATTTCACAATGGGCCTAAAATTAAAAAAAAGATGTTCTATTGCCCTTTAGGTGCCAAAATGTTTGTTTTTTTTACTCCCTCTTCAGGCTGATATTTCTCAGTTTTTAATGGTTTAATACGTTTAATAAGTTTTTCTACAAAAAAAATGGTTAATTTTTTTAATTTTTTTTTAAAACCGACCATAGATTTCAAGATTTTTTGGGTCGGTCCGAAAGGGCAATACAATATACAATTTTTTAGGCCTTAGCATAGTTCATTCCACATTAAAAAAGATATTGCAGTTTGTATGTGATTACAGAGCTGATCAGTCTGAAAGTGCATGTACATGTTTTATGTTTCTATTTTGCCCTGCAGATCTGCTGGAAGTCTGAAATGTGAATTTTGCAAAACAGGCTTCTTTTCCAATAAATCTGGAAGCACTTACTGTTTTCCATGTCCCCCAGGTAAGTGAATATTTTCTGTCTTGTCCATTGATTAATTAAAAAAAAAAAAAAATTATTTATTTATTTTTCAGTTTCAATATGAGCATATTAGCCGTACATAGTGATTCCATAATTGACATATCCGTACTACAAAGTAATTAACCCGTCAAATTTATACAGATCAATTTTTAAAAAAATATTAGCTGAAAACGATCAAAGAGACATGTCAAGATTTGAGAAACTTTGGACAAAGTACTTGCAAGTTCTGAACTTTGAAAGAGAGGAAAAATATTTTAATCCTACATAAGCAACAAATCGGTCATGTAGTTAGAACAAGTATTGATGAATGTGAACATACTGTATCTAACGAACATACTTGACGGTTCAATGAGCAAGTGCAGTGCAAGTGCGTTATCGATATCGCACTGACTAAACTGAGTGCACTGAAACTACCCTAGCACACGAGCGAAACAGTGCATTATTTCAACGATATATTGCAGCCCCATGCATAGAGTCTACCTTACATTTATGGATTCATCTTTATTCATTTTCAATGTACCTTACAGGAAAAATTGCAGACGAGCCTGGCTTGGTGAATTGTACGAACTGTCCCATTGGTCATTTTCAACCCTCAGCCGGTGAATCAGGGTGCATGGAATGTATGCAAGGGGCCTACTGCAACCATACAGGATGCTCTGTGTAAGTCTTCATCTACAAAACTATCATTTGGACTTTTTAAAATTTTATTTGTGAGTGCTACTTTTAAGGCATGCAATTTCATGAAATTTGAAGCTAATCACAGCAAATTCTTTCTTTTTTAAAGACAGACAGTTATTTCACGTTTTCAATTGCTAAAGTTTGAGTTTTTCCTATGCATGTGGTTTTTAGCAAGTTTTTTTCTTTCCAAATTATTTGTAGACCATCTTCAAACAATGTTATGATACAAGACATTTTGTAAATGAATAGTATCTCTTGAAATGAATCTTTAATAGTTTTGAGCATTTTCTGGTGCCATTATCCTGAATGTGGCTTTAAAGTGACTTGGTAACATTGTTGAATGTTGATGAAAAAATTGCTTAATTTTTGTATAAAATGCTACTTACTCTATTCCTTCTACTGTACTAACCCTCTGACATGCAAAAAATCCTGAAAAAATTCTCAAACTACAAAGATATCTATGGTTTTCTTTGAAGGAGTCGATGTATGACACCCTCTAACAGTGATTAACAGTAAATTCTCCAAACCATTTTTGAATATTCCCAACCGCTTTTCCATGAAAAAAAGACATAAAACAGGCTATAAAAATCTGTCAACACTTAAATTTCTGGAATGGAATGTAGAGCCATTTTATTGCTTTGTGACGATTTCCATTCACCTAAAATGTAATTAAATTGTAATAATATAGTTGGGAGAATTAAGGAATCGATCAGATCAGTTTTTCTCAATTTGTACCATGAATAATGGCCCGTTTTCACTAAAATTTTCAGATTATCTTTAATTGTATATCTAGCATTGAAGTCACTACCTTAGCATCACAATCTCTCATCTGAACAATGTTACCAAGTCCCTTTAATTTCACCAAATGATTTCTTGAATTACTTTAATATAGATTTACAAATGAAAAGAAAAGAGTTAGTATATCTATAGTCACAAAGTCATAGAGAATTTACTCTAGTGCAAAGCTTATGCTTATAGATATAATACCAGTATCTTGATATACATGTACATGTAGCCCCCAAAAAAAGGAAGCAAATTTTTAAAAAGGATGGATGTCATCTTGAAGTTGAAAAGAAAGAAGAAATTTTGATGTGTGAATTATGGTGTCTGGACAGGAAAACAAACAATGTATTTGTCAGGCACATGATAAATTGACAGGAAAATGAGGAAATCTCTCAAAGTTGTTCACTCATTGTCTAGTTAGTAGCTGCTAATTTTCAATAACAATCATTAAAGATGCATGTATTCCATAAAAATGCTATTTCTATCATAATTATAAAAAAAAATCATAATTTTGTTAAAATGTTTAAATCAACAATAATGCCCTTTACAAGAGACGGACTTGAATCTGGCATGATTTTTTTTTAAACAAGATAACTACAGCATCAAGCTAAAATGTATTTTGAGTCTTGTCCAAATCAGCAGTATGGTCCTGCAAGTCGCCGCTTCCTTAGCTGCGCTGTTTGTTCTTGCATCAAGTCCTCTGTTTGCGAAGTGGACATTAGGTAGTGGGTTACGGTCAGTTGATGAGAAGGGACATACCAATGTATTTTGAAACAGCTGAATGATGAATGACTGGCATGATGATGTCACAAAAGTCATTTGCTTTTGGAGGATTTTTTAGTGGTGAAGCTTAGCATGTAGATCAAAAGTAATAGAAAAAATAGTATAAAATATATGACATGAATGTACATTAAAAAGTCAAAAGATATGTGATGTATACATTATTACAGATCAACACAAGTCAACACGAATTTGTAGTTTAGTCACCCTTTAAGCTGTTTTGTGATTGCTGTGATGTACACTCCAATTTCACTTTTATGCTTCCTTTGTATGCAAATTATGGGATCAGGAAGTTGGCAAGCTTAACGAATGAAAACCAAAAAAGAAAGAACAAATGTTTTTGAAAGGATTTCTAAAGTAAATACGTTGTACAGGAATTCGTGAAAGAATATGGTTTTATGTCAGTGTTTTGGCTTCATACTCACATTTTGAAGATAAAAATCAAAATGGCTAAGAATGACAGTACGGTAGATATTTCTAACTAGCATTTAAAAATATGTTTCATTAGTCAACTGAAGCAGATTAAAGGGAAATCTAAACCTTGATAGCAGAGGAAAGCAGAAAAATCAGAGAAGCACACTGGTGAAAGTTTGAACAAAATCAGAAAAAAGAATTAGAAAGTTGTTAATATTTTAAAGTTGTAATCACTATAGGTTTGGGCTTTTTGAATTGGTTGAATCGGTAACTGTTTGTGGTGTAGTGGCATACAACTTTCCCATTTGTTTCAACACACAAAATGATTAAAATTTCAATTTGTCAAAAATATATGACTCAGGAGGATCTTTTCTCTTTAGAGGACCTATAATATTATGCTGTCCATAATATATAGGAGAAAAACAGAAATTAATGAAATTTTTGTACCACAAACAGAAGAGTTATCTGCAACTACCTCACAATCCACTGACCAAACCTGCCAATTTGAGATTTGCATAAAATTAGTGATCTTATATTCAAAACTTTTATAATCTTCATTATTGGTCCGATTTATTTAAAACTTACGCCATTCTGATTATCTAAATGTTCTGCTTTCATACAAATGAACTTATCCTTGTAATAAGTTTATTTGTAAGAAAGCAGAAAAATATGAGGGTTGGATTGCCCTTTTTTAGGACTGAGTAACTTTGTCTCAGATTCTGAAAAAAATCCTGGATTTAGCTCATGCTGCAATGATAATTATAAACCTTTAGGTCAGTCAGGAACCCCATGACTTTTAGAAGCCGATCGCCTGTCTGATTATCAAGATATTTATGATTGGAAATCAAAATCAAATTTTGCGTTTCCAAACGGTTTTCATAACATTGGGGAAATGAGTACGGTATTGTAAAACCGGTCACTCAAAGGCTTTTACTTCTTTGAGGCACTTCGTGGTCATTTTGAAGCAAAATTTATTCAGGACTTCAATATTACACCATATCACATACACTGATAACACGTAGGACCAAGCATCTCAGATTTAACATTGTTAAATGATGCCTGTTTATGTTCTCCAGAAAGCTTGTCTAAGAATCTTCTCCTTCGATGTTCCCAAGCATACAGGAGCTGACAATCGTACTCTCCGCGATCCAGGTTTCAGTAGAAAGCTCTCTCTAACAATTCTCTCTCTCTCTGTCTCTTTGTCTGTCTGTCTCTCTCTCTCTCTCTCTCTCACTCTCTCTCTATCTCTCTCTCACTCTCTCTCTCTTTGTCTCTCTCTCTCTCTCTCTCTCTCTCTCTCGACGCTTCCAGGTGCGAGGAGTGTCCGGGCGGAATGGAAGCCAAGCGTACAGGAGCCGACAACTGCACCCTCTGCGACCCAGGTTTCAGTAAGGCCAGTGCCTCCACCTCCCTCTGTGCTCAGTGTGCTGAAGGGTACTACCAGACCAAGCGGGGACAGGCCTCTTGCAACGTATGCCCCGAAGGATTCTATTGCACTGTAAGCATCTGATGTATTTATTCCCCCTACCTGTTGTTTTCATTGCAGACAGCCTGGTGAATTTACTTACATAGTTTGGCAATTTTGTTGACAGAATTATTGAGAATACAATGTTGACTGCTTGGAGGGACACGGTTAAAACTATTGCCCAAGGTGATCTTGAAACTGTACTGTGTCCCGAGATGGCGTCGAGTATTTTTTATATGCTGGTGGTCCTTATGCCCATGTTCCCTTAGTACACATTTTAATGAGAAATACTATTCAAGGGGGGGAAATGTGGTCTTTATTGACAGGCGGTCCTTCTATTCAGGTGGTCACTAAGGCATTTTTTTATGTATATCTTGATACCTGAAGTACTGTAAATGGAAAGGCTATGAAAGGATGAAAGTTACCAAAGTTTTCAATTTTTAATCTGGTATGTCATTAAAAATACTAAGAAGGATCAACAGGTCAATTTACTTCTTTTTTTTTTTTTTAATAGGATGCGAAGATTAAAAAAAAAAATTCTTCATGGGATACAAATAGAGGAAATACATATAAAGCATGTAAATGCAGGTCAGCAGCTAGTTGAGTGATCTATGGCTTTCAGTCCTATCCAAGGGACTTCCTAGTCTCATTGTTCCTTTGTATCAATATGTCTTGCAGTGCTTCTCATGTGACCCTGTGCCTTGCCCAGTAGAAGCCTCCTGCCCACAAGGGAGCTACGTACCTGCGTACCTGACCTGCCTACCTCTTTTCAAAAAGAATGATAAGGTGAGACTTGTTAAAGGTATAGACCAGTTTTGGAAACGCCCCCTTCTCAAAAAATGAAATGGAAGCTCTTATTACCAATCATGTGAAAAAATATGTGTTGACTAATACGTGAAATTATCATATCGATCCGGCCTGGATAGATATCATGTAGTCCCATATACTGTACATCTTTCTGTGCACAGTGCTTGTAACTTTTTAATAACCAAGACTGGGCAAAAATTCTTATCATTTTTATGATTCCAGAACCTTGCAGTACCCACCAATACTTATATGCTAGATGATCAACCTTTTCTGATCGATTCCACACCGTTTCTTTCACAATGCAATCGCATGACCAGAACTCAACTTTATCTTTAAGCAGATAAAGAATTAAAGAAAAGTAACAGCTTCTTTCTTCTTCTTTTTCTTCAATCACAACAACAGTCCTGCGTACCCACTAATGGTTTCTACGCCTTGGTGTCACTCGCTGGAGTTGTATGTTTATTGTCCATCGTCTGCCTGCTGGGTCGGTACCGAGCCAGGCAGAGGTATTTCTCCATCAGAGTAGCAGAGTCAGACTCGCTCCTCACCTATTCCAACGAATCGCCAAAGGAACCCATCTACCAAGGATTCTAGAGGAGTGGAGCTGGGACATGGAACTGTGTTTAATAATAATAATAATATTGGATATCTGCTAGGCAGCCGATTTCAGCGCTCACAGCATTCAAGGAATTCCTTCCTACCGGTACCCATTTAACACCTGGGTGGAGAGTGGCAAATGTAGATTAATATCTTGCCAAAGGACATTAGTGCCGTGGTGGGACTCGAACCGCGGACCCTGTGATCCACAGTCCAACGCCTTATCCACTAGACCACAACACCTTTAGGCAGCGGTACTTCCATCAAAGTGTGAGGGGATCGGAAAGGCTCTTGTTCTGTTCCGAACCTTTTACAAATCTACAGAGGAATTGTCTAGGAAGTGAAGAAATCTAGAAAAGCTAACTTGGATATGATGCATCACGTATATCGAGACCCTACAGGCAGAGGTACTGTACCTGTATTGTATCAAACAAGCTCATGTGCTATCCTGGGGGGCGTTTCACAAAACTTGTCATCAGTGACAAATGGCAGTTGTTGTTATAAGCTACTGAAAGCCATGCTTCTGATTGGTCATCAGCAGATTTGTCACTGATATTCGCTATTTGTCATTGAAAAAAGGCTTTGTGTAACGGGTCCCAGGACCTGCTCCATATGAACAGAAGAACCTGTCTTACAAAGGATTCTAGAATAATTGGTGTGGCCCTTGATGTACTTATCCTACAAAGAGGTCTATTATTTTGTGATTTAATCGGACTAGCTCCTGTGCTGTTCTGGAGCTATAACAGTACAATCATTCACAGAGAATTGTAAAATAGTGTCATTTGGATGAAGGCTCTATATGGAGACTTCACAGTCAGACAGGTTTTTCACTTATTCCAAGGGAACTTGTTTCTGAAAGGTAGTAGGCTAGTGCAACTTCGCTACGACCCTGTGTTTAGACAAAGCACTGCCTGCAAAGCTCAATACACTTCATGAGGCCACAGACAAGACTTGACTATAAATGATCCTTCTGAATTATCCAGTGGGGAACAACATTTTGAGCAATATCTTCCCTGAAAGACCCATTTTGTGGGGAGTGTTTTTACCTTCTAGTTTTATAGTAAATATTCAGATTGCCATCAAATAGTGCATTTTTGCAAATAGAACATGCTGTTAAATGTCCATTGAGTAAAGGCCACAAGCACTTCTGCTAGAGCAACCCGAGGAATGCTTTGTTGATGAACTCTTAAAATGGATGATATTTTTAAGGATATTTCTACCAGGTCCTTTTCACAATATTTCTATATTTCTGCAACGGAATGTGAATAGCGGTTGACAATCCGTTTACATAGTAATCGGATATAGAATGCTGGAATTCATTGACATGTATAAACAATTTTATAGAGAAATCTTGGTATGCTAGATATTCAGAAATACATGGATCACGCACAAATGATATTACAATGAGCAAAATGTGCATGATAGAAATTCATCTCTCATTTGGGGGCAAAAAAGTGTTTTCTTTAGAGACTACAGTGTTTAATATATCTTATGTCTATTATCTTCTAATATATCAAAGCTATTATACGAATACAAATGTTTATTTTTCTATCAAATTGGTTCCAGTCAAGGAAGATGTTGATTATCATGTTATCTCCTTTGTATATATCAGGGCTCTGTTTCATAAAAATTTTAAACTCAAAATTCTATGACAAATAGCTGTAAGCCAATCAGATGCCACGATTTTAGTAGCTTATCACAGTAATTTTTTTTAACTTCCTATTGATAACAAGTTTTTTATGAAACAGGGCCTTGTATTTCATTGGCTACCTGCAAGAAGGCCATATAGTGCTCTGTATCTTTAATGGTGGTAAACAGCCTTTTTGCGGGCCCCCGATGATCTTCTTTCTGTAATGTGCTTGATTGCTTCTTCATTTTTATTCCACTTCTTTCTTTACCTTTGAGTCTGTCCCTCCATCGCCCACTCCTTCATTTACTGCAAAGGTAGATTTTCTTCTTCCCTCTTTCTTCTTTTTACCCCTGTTTACCTCTTTTTATTCCTGTCACACTCTTTCTTTAAAGTCTGTCTGCACTAGTTTGGCCAGGAGGGATTAGACCTCCCTGCATGGTCACTGACAGGTGGTTATCTCATCAAATCAGCTCTTAATTAACATAAGAAAAGGGGGACCATGAGGGACAAATGGTCACCAATTAGGCATTGTTTGCTATATAGAGGGTGCAAGTAGCTAATAGCTATAAGTAGTGTAGTGGGGCTTTAATATTCACTATGCTTTAATATCTCTTTCATTGTACAGCCACTGCTAACCTTAGGACCTCATAATCATTGGGATTGCAAGATGTTTTTATAGGATTAACTACATGTAGATGTAAAATTTGAATTGTCGATTCTCTCGGATTGAGGTGCAGAATCGTCTTTAAATAGTCATGTTGAAGTTTTTAGAATTGTTATAATATTTTATGCCTCAAGTTGAAGATATATATTTACATTACCGGTATAGATATGTTTGAAAATCAGGTAATTGAAAAGACTTTTAGCTTCATGTTTGTATTTTTGCATGTAAACTGTGTTGAATAATGGTGCAATTCTTATATCATCGGTACATATATAGTCTTTGACTTTAATGCAAGACAAATAAAAGATTGTAGTTTATATGTATATACTGCCAATTTTTAGAATTTTATGAAATGTACATTAGAATCTATGAGGGTAGAACAGTACTAATGAGTAATTCATTTGATTTATCTGTGATTGTATTTTTAAAATATTCAATATTTTTCATTCCAAGATGATTTTAAGGATGATAAAGATAGCATCTATGGAAATAGTTAGACTTTTTATGTAATTATTGTTGTGTATAGTTATGTGTGCTTTAAAGTACGCATCATTTGTGTATATTTCTTATTACATCCATACCTTAACTCTTCTTATATGTATAGTGTTACAAGCATAACAAGGTTTATTATTCCATTTTTTGTCATGTGCACGCTACAATGTTCTTTGATAATTATGCAAAATCAGTGAAATGTACTGCCCTCAGTTAACAATGAGTCACAAAGAGCGTAAAAATTAACTTGGCAATGTAGAATACCAAGTAACTTCCACCCTTACATGTATGTACTTACAGTTGAACTACTGCATATTTCCATTTCATCTTTTACATATGCTTTTCAAATGTCTTCCATGAATATCATATCAAGTGTACTTTTTTGCTCCATGATGCAAATTTTTCAAGGTTTGTCTCCTCGAGGACACAACTGCAGGAGTCCTTAACTTGTGACATATTTTGTTTAGAGCCATAAATTAATTCATATAGAATTAGAATTGAGCCTAAAAAAAGAAAGATGTTGTATTGCCCTTTAGGTGCCAAAACATTGGTCAGTCAGTCATATTTCTTTTTTATTTTTTTTTTACTCCCTCTTTTGGCTGATATTTTTCAGTTTTAATGCTTTACCGGTAATACATTTTTTTCTCTAAAAAAACGGTTAAAATTTTTTTTTTTAAATAAAAGCCGACCGTAGATTTCAAGAATTTCAGGTCGGTCGCAAAGGGCATTACATCATCTTTTTTGTTAGGCCTTACACAGAATTAATGCCCTTTTAGACCTCAACATATGATGCAAAAAAACTTGCTGTTATGTTTACGGCAAGTTTAAAAACAGTACAAAATTGTGACTCGACTACTAGGTAATGAAGCCGAATAGTGTGCTAGGTGATTATCAAAATGTAAATATCAGGTCTATTTTTCTTTGTCTTTGAATATAGCTTTACAATTCTGTACATTTGTTGAAAGATGGAATGAATTGATTACTGCAAATGATATTTATACGATTGATATATGCCATTTCTTATATGTAAATCTGTTTATTTGATTGTCTAAAGTTGCTACCTTGCTATACTTTTTAGGTACTTACTCAAAGGTTTATGATTAATTTGCAGGTTTACAGATCATTTTAATCTTTATTTGTGTTAATTGTATATACTCTGATGAATCGGTAATAACTTATATATCCCCACATCTCTCTCTCTCTCTCTCTCTCTCTCTCTCTCTCTCTCTCTCTCTCTTTTTTTCTCTTTCTCTCTCCATCATCTTGAAAATGTGTATAATGCCATGACACTGAACATGAGTATCAAAGTAGCCAAGCACTTCAAAGCATATGTATAGATCCAAACCATTACAAAACCTGGAAGAAAGAAATATTTGTTTACACACCTCACAGTACCTTAGAAAACTAAGAGAACTACTTGTGCATTTTTGTATTGTTATCATACATTTATCCATTTTATCATATCGTGTAACAGTTTACTGGTTCAGGGGAGAGAATGCACCCCAATATCCCATACCAGTTCGAATGTAGGGGAAAGGCGGGGGGGGGGGGGGGGGGGGGGGGGGGGGGAGGGGGAGGGGGGGGAGGGGGGGAGGGGGGGAGGGGGGGAGGGGGGGGGGGGGGGGGGAGGGGGAGGGGGGGGGGGGGGGGGGGGGTATCAGACCACATTTTCTGACAAGTTGCCCGATTTTGTTGTAACAAGCAAAAAATATATATATATAGACAAAGTATTCAATTTTGCCTACAGGTGTTACAAAAGTTATACCATAGGATATTTCATTTCTAACATTTTTAACAAATAGGTAATTGCAATTTTAAAGTGAGAGAAATGTGATAAAATCTAAATATGGCAACTAAAATGTTAAATGGGAGGTTGGGAGCGGTCACACTCCGTCTAGTAATTCCCGTCTTCAGTCAGAATTAAAGAGTTTTTTGTGTTCAATGCTATGGGGGGGGTATCAGACCACATTTTCTGACAAGTTGCCCGATTTTGTTGTAACAAGCAAAAAATATATATATATAGACAAAGTATTCAATTTTGCCTACAGGTGTTACAAAAGTTATACCATAGGATATTTCATTTCTAACATTTTTAACAAATAGGTAATTGCAATTTTAAAGTGAGAGAAATGTGATAAAATCTAAATATGGCAACTAAAATGTTAAATGGGAGGTTGGGAGCGGTCACACTCCGTCTAGTAATTCCCGTCTTCAGTCAGAATTAAAGAGTTTTTTGTGTTCAATGCTATGTAAATGCAAACAAAAAAGCTACTGTCTAATTCACTAGTAATTTATTCATGAATGAATTACATGAATGAACAGGTGTGTATTCTGTAATGGTTAATATGCAAAAATGTTGGACAGGGTCAAAGGTATCTGAAATTTTGTGTGGGCTTCAGTTTAAACCGAGGGGTCACATGTAAATGTTCATGTATGTTGGTCTTATTGCCATATCAATATCAATGTTTGTGAATTAATTGAAATGTGTGGTAGCTTTCTACCAATTTTAACATCTGTCTATGTAATTCACCTCAAGACTTCGCAATTCCATTTATATTTTCTAAATAAAAAAAGATGATTAAATCAAACAAAAGATGTTTTTGATGTGGTGTTATTGTATCACTTGTCATTTCAACCATAGTTTCAGCCCCAATCTCGTGCAATTCTTCCTCTTTTTCATAATTTGTTCACTTTTGCCTCGTCTTTTTACACAATCATTTCAATTCCACACAAGTACAAATAAAAATTAACATGCACATGATTTACATTATCATATCATTTATTTTTAAATATCACGAATATTTGCTTCCACACAGTAATATAAAACTCTGATATGTATACATGTTTATCCACAGACAAAACAGTCTCTATTATAGAGTTGTCTTGGAAAATGAAGCCCGATTGACTACCGTATTCAAGATAAATTACAAAGATTTCTAGTTTTTCTACGCTTACAAACTTTCCTTAACCAAAACAAGTATTAGGGCAACTTCTTTCAAAGTAAATATTTTGCTACTATACAATTCCATAACACTGCCAACTCTATGAAGATTATCAAGTCATTAAAGAATTTTGCATTTTGCCTATCCATGCATCTTGTGAATGCTAATTTCTGTTTATTTTGTAAAATATTGAATGAACAATGATACACACTAAACATTCCAGATTCTTTTTTGTCATCAACACTATCAGTAAATTCATGAATATGAATTTATTTTCAGAGATGTGCAACTTTCAATTAATTTGATAATTGTATCATCTATTGGGAGAATCATAGCTGTTAAAAAGCTATTTCATCGCTATTTCATTAACAGTGATGAGAAATTGAAAATTAACACATTTCAATAGTTTCAGGAGCTTGGTAAAACATCTTATGATAAAGTCTATCAGAAATATAAATCAAATATCCTGGAGCTACCATTTGTAATTCATATATCTCCCTATAAATCTCCCTCACACAACAGATACAAATAATTGGATCTACTGCTACCTGAGCTGTTTTTAATGCAAATAAAGACAGCAATATTGAAAGAAATCTGAACTTTTATTCCATAAGAATATTTGTTCCTCCCTCCTTTAACATCCTTTCTTATTGAAACATACACTACTTATTGATGCATTCTCAACAGATCATTAAAACCTCTGTAGAGAGTTGAGCTAAGCTGTTTTTAATGCTACTAAAGACGAGCAATATCAAAAGAAATATGAATAATTTTAGATCATCAAAACCTCTGTGTTATAGGAGCCAGTAGGGCCTCAAATTTGCATAAATGATATGAGTTAATGCCCTTCTCATCACGATTGAGGAGCAGATAAAGGGGGAAAAGTGCATTTTAAAAACAGAACGCAAATGATGGTTGGGCCATACATGGGGCAAAGACACACAGTGAGCATCTACTTCACTGAATAGCAAAATTTTAACTTAAACATAGCAACTTCTCATGTCTTAACCAATTTCTTATTTGCAAGCATGGCAAGTACCCGTCAATGCTAACATTGGTCACAGCTGATATTTATGCATTCAACTAATAAATTCAAATCTTCATAGCTAATTTACAACTTACAACATACAAATATTTCAGTCCTTTTACCTAAACAGAATACAAGGTATGTGGCAAAATAGTTGTTTTTCATATTTTCTATGAAATAAAGATGAATAGCCCTCTTTTCATTAAAATTAAAAGAGGAAATGATTATTATTTTAATAGCAAACAAACAATTTCAATGTATGCTGTAGTAACCTTAAACTGATGTGGAATTTAGAATGCAGATATTCAAGTCAAAACATCTGTAGCCAGTTAGAAAATTAAATGTTTTTATTCTAAAGCATAAAGCAGAAAGATAGCAAGTATGTAAAGAAAGGAAAAATTTGTTTCACACAGATTAAAGCAAAAAATGAAAACAAATAAAGGTAACTATTGAAACCCATTAACAAATCAAATAACAATCCATCTGAATATCTATTAAATATTTACAAGGTAATACTATCATATCACCATTTAAATTAGCTGCAAGAATGAATATTTAATAGTTTATATTTCATTTGAAAAATCATTTTGCAGCATTATTATCAAGCATGTGGCATTTGGATTTAATTGCTTTCAAACTCGTCTATCATACACATAATAAGAAATGATAATATGCAAATCATAAAATCATTCATTTATACACAGCTCCTCATAACAACATGCACACATGCTGAAATCTCAGGCTTCACAAATCATTTTATGGCGACTGATTTCAAATTCACAAACGTTATTCTCCATGCGAAGCAAGAAAGACATATCTGAACATACTGTACTATTGTGTGACTTATTCCTTCTTTTGCTTTGCATCACAGAAATACAAAATCAACAAAAATATTCCAGTTAAAATGTCATCTTGAAAGATTAGCATAAATCAAAACAGCTCAAAGTAGAATATCTCAACCAGAAAACATATTATAAACATGTACTTGCTGGTAATCTTGAAAACTAGAAGGAAAGAAAAGGCAACATTTTCATTGCCCTTATAATAAGTTATTATATATTATAAGTAGTCTAAATAGTATTAGACTTGATTGTTACCATGTTTACCCTGTACCCAAGGGGTAGTCGATCAGACCTAGAGGTTCTTAAGTGATACTTGTATTTTCCATACCCAAATTAGTTTTAATGTTTCTTTAAAACATGACGCTTTTAATAATAGAATAAATCAATGTATGGAAACGTAAGAATAATTTATTGGTGATTAAACAACAATTTTTCCCATGCCACTATAAATATCATTAATTGCAAAAATTGTCATATATCCAAAATATGCAGAATCTTTCCTATTTTTTTCTTCATTTATGTCACATCAATGTCATATCCCATATCCCATCAAGGCTTTCTGTCCTCGAAGGCTGATATTTTTTGTTTCTCTTTCTGGCAAAATGCAATTTTCACTTTTAATCACTAATCACCGTTTTGTATCTTTACACCATCACTCTTACACTTACAAAACCCACACAAAAAGATGCGATTATGAAACACATATCATGCATAGGTAGAGACATAAAGGGTTCTTTAAAACTTCAATTTTCTTTGATACAACTTTTGCTGTTCTAAGAACAAATTCACTGGGTGAAAAGTTAGATTTGCAATACTCAAGCATCACAATTATTTTAATCTATAAATTTGCTATCGATACGATTTAATAAATTTACAGGCTCTGACCTTTTAAAAGAACAATTTCATCCTTCAATTTTCTATCAATAAGACTGCATGGGAAATGGTTCTTTATAAGTTCTGACAATTTCCATTACTATATACACATCAGCACCAACAAACGAAATCCTTGATATATTTCAACTGTAAGGGATCTAGGAGGGAACTTCAAATATGAGGTACTTTGTTTTTCTTTAACTCACTGATTGCAAAGGGGAAGGGAGAGGATATTGAAATGATTGACTAATATATATACATGCTAGAAATATTTCACATTTTGAAGTCCTAATCTGTATTTCATCAATGTATATATTTTATTCTATGAATAACAAGCTAATATCTATCAAGGTCCTAAACAGAGATCCTCTTTTTTCTAGTACCGGTAGAACACAAGGCGTCATTAAGACTCCACTATTACCTGTGCTTATCGCAACTGATTCAGTTTGCCTTCAGGTCAGATGCGCGAAGCTAAGACAATGGAAACAACGCGCAGGGAAGACAGGTGCGCCGTCCAATTCACTTCCGTACGCGTTCAACGTGCAATAAAGGTTGTTATATTGCACGAATCTCATCTTCCCTCCACACATCTTTCTCCAGCTCCATCTCCAGTGCTCCTGCTCCATTTTTTCTTCTCCTTCTTGAAGCTCTCTGCCACTCTCCTTCTCCAGCTCCACCATAAATACCTCTGAGGCTCCTGCTCCCTTCTGGTCTTAGTCTCCTCTGCCTTCTTGGGGGTCTCTACAAAGAACCCCCTCTTCTATCTCACACACCCCTTCTATAGCTTCTCCCCCATAACCTCCATGGCTCCTGCTCCCTCCATCTTACTTCTTCTCTACTTCCTTGGCACTGTCTAAAAGAATCTCCTTCTCCTCCCGCTCCACGTCTTTTTCCAGCTCCTCCATAATCTCCTCCTTTGATAACAGATCCATCACCTCTCCAATCTGCTTGGTGTTGAGAGCTATCTCCTCCTTAGCCATCGTCTCAATCACCTTGACAACAAACAAAGAGAATGAAATTTACATTCACAAATACAATCATCTTAAAATGAGATTACAAATGCAGACAACAAAGAATATGTATTCAGCAACTGTCTCAGTTTTCAATTACAAGATCTAGGACCTGATCTTTTTTTTTATGGGTGCAAGCCCCTAGAATTCTTTACAAAAAAGAAATATGTAATCAAGATTCCGAATATAGCCAATTTAAATACTAATATATTCAAGTTCATGCATACTTCTGAAGCAAACTTCTTATGAACATCATTACATATTGCCAGAGCTGTAGCTGACCTAGCAACAATTGTATAACAGAGTAATGGTAAAAGGCAGTACATACGCATCTCGCACAATTCATATGTCTCTAGGTTTTCTAGGATGAAATGTCCATATATTCATATTCGTCTGTAAGTAAATTTGTCTTGGACCCCTTCAGTGCTACCAAAGGTGTCACAATTGAACTTTCAAGAGTGATATTTTGACCAACAATGCTTTGCATCCTTTTACAACAGAAAGTATATTTCACAGATATGTTTAAAACCAAAAAAAAATCACAATGAAGGTATCTGTATCTATTTCAGGAAGAAAATAAGGACAACATATAAATTCTTTGGTAGAGTTTGTTGCTTCTGACACAACAACTGTGGGATGAACTAAATGTTCACTGTGGGATGAACTAATTGGGAGATCATGTAAGTACAAGGATCCTGTTTCATAAAACTTGTTATCAATAACAAGTTACAAGCTACTGTTATAAGCTACTGAAATCATGGCATCTGATTGGCTGAGAGCAAATTTGTCATAGAAGTTTAGCAGTTGTTATAGATAACAAGTTTTATGAAACAGGCCCCAGATGAAAGAGGGAGAAAACTTGTAGAGAGAGAGAGAGCATCTTCCTTACCCTGAGTACTTCTTGAACTTGTATAGCACCATCATGATCCTCATCCAGCACATCGGCAATACGCTGTAGCTTATCCTCGTCAGACACCTTGCCAAACTTGCGCATGGCATCGATCAGCTCATTCACGCTAATTAGATTCTTCCTGCGATACAAAGTGAGAATGACAGAGAATGTGAAGAACACCACTTTAAAACGTCAAATATAAAACCAATTGGATTGTCAAATTTTAAATAAACTATTGTAAAAATTTACTTTTCATACTTATGCCCTTCACTATGTTGAAGGATACACAGAAAGACAACCTCTGAAACACATTCTTCCAACCCAGCCCTTGTTGGTGAAGGACTACAGATGAGTCGATGAGTCGATGCGTCATACGTTAATACCCTGCATGGATAAGTTGTGAAACGATTCTTACTCTGTGTTCGAGTAGGTAAGTTGGTTCAATGATAGGTACATGTAGATGGGTTGGGGTTGGAATGGTCAGTAAACAGTTTTCACTAGTATTAGGTACTTGTTCTCACCAAGGCCCCCCCCCCCCCCCCCCCCCCCCCCCCTCCCCCACGAGACCTGACTCCGGTATCCTTCCCCCAAATTATGTTCATGCACTGCTGGACATGATGCCATAAGCATCAGGTTTTCTGAGGTCCTTACTTTTTCTTGGTGACCCTCTGCTTGAGTTGCTCCCAGGCCTCCTGCTCCTCCTCTGACTTCTCTCCTTCATCCATCTCCTTCCTCCTGGTCTCCATGCTCTCCTTCATCTCTGCATGCTCCTCTTGGAGGGAGGTCCTCTTGTCATCCAGCTCCGTCACAATCTTCTCCAGCCTGCCCATCATACGGTCAACCTACACAGGGAGGGAGGATTCACACAAGTGAGTACAAAATACAACTTGATCTGGGGGTTGTTTCACAAAGATCCTTAGTTGAACTTATCTCCAAGTTTGTCTTATGGATAGCCATTAGCATCTTTGAAAATATTTTGTAAAAGTTATTTTAAAAGGCATAAAACATGGATTCAAATCATTCATATTTTCTATTAATCAAGGAGATTTCATGTTTTTGATGTGGAATTTATGAAAAGTCTAAAATACTTGAATTTTGCTTTTGATTATATTTTATTTTAAGGCTACAAATGGCTCTCAATATTGTTTAAGTCCAACTTAGAGAACTAAGTTCCACTTAGGATCTTTGTGAAACACCCCCCTGACTTATCTAGAGGAGTCAATGATAATTTTTTTTTTCTGACGATAGCTCCTACCATTATTGTCATTCCATGACAAATTAACCCATAGTGCATGGGTTAAATACTATTCCATTCAAATTGGCCTCAATGTGGTATATGGGGTAAGTGAAGATTCTTACAGCTGAAATTTTAAGTTTTAATCCAACCAACATGCATTTCTCACATTTATTGGCTAAAAATATCAGTAGGCACTCTTTAAATGTTCAAATATAGTTTTGATTTCACATTCGATAGAAAGGGAGCTAAATAAAAGTGTCATTTAATTTGAGGAAATTTGACTTACCTGCTTTCCTAACCTGACAGATGACTTAGACTCAGTCATGTCTGGCATGTCGACATCCTTTGTTTCCCTTCTCAAATCCTCCAGATCCTATAGAAATCAATGGAAAAAAGGGTAAACGATCAAACTATTTTGACATAATCATCATAATCTAGTGTATTGCAATGACGACCATGCAAATATTAATTACTAGCTTACAAAGTTTCTGGAAATATCTTAAAGATGCATGATACATGACACCCAGATGAACCCCAATCCCTCTGTACTCTACCACATCCCCTTGAAACCCCTTATTACATGAATACACACCCCTTTACACCTCCTCCCTTTAATACACCCTTTAACTTTATCACAACAATCTGAAACCTCCTCTCCTTTCCCCTCATACTCCAGTTCAACCCTTGAAACCCTCTCTCACACTTAGTACTCTACTAAAGAACCTTGAAACATCATTGTACTCCAACTCTTTGAACCCAACACATAGCCCTAGGAAACCTGTCTTACCCCCGTCTACTCCACCATATACCCCCTTGAAACCTGTCTTACCCCTTTCTACTCCACTACACCCCCAAATACCACTCTCTTACCCCCTTTTACTCCACCACACCCATTTGAAACCCCCTTCTCTTACCTCCTTGTAATCCACCACATATAATTTAATACCTACGTCTTACCCCCTCCACTCCACCACACCCCCCCCCCCCCCCCTGCAGTTCACTCCCTTACCCCCCTACACCCCACCACACCCATTGGAATCCCTTCTCTTACCCCCTATACTCAATCACACCCATTTGAAATCCCTTCTCTTACCCCCCCCCCCCCCCCTTTACTTCACCACACCCATTGGAATCCCTTCTCTTGCCCCCTATACTCCATCCCCCCCATTGGAATCCCATCTCTTACCTCCTTGTACTCCATCACATACCCTATTGGAACATATGTCTTACCCCCTCCACTCCACCACATCCCCTTGCAGACCACTATCTTACCCCCTATACTCCACCAAATTCATTGGAATCCCTTCTCTTACCCCCTTTACTCCACCACACCCATTTGAAATCCCTTCTCTTACCCCCTACTCCACCACACACCCCTGCAGATCACCCCTTACCCCCTATACTCCACCACACCCATTGGAATCCCATCTCTTACCTCCTTGTACTCCTCGACATCCTCTTTGAGTTCCTCTAGAGTTCCCTTCTCTTCAAACAGAGCATCCTTCTCCTTGGCTATCTCCACCAGGACCTCGCTCAGCTCTGTCAGATCTTTCTGTGTCACCTGAGATATCAAAAAACAAAAGATGGACATTTGTACACACCTCGATATACAGGTACCAAACAGACACATAAATGTTGTTTCCCCATTTCCTAGGAATAAATATTGGCCTATATACATTACAGGTAATAATTAACTAACTTCAAATATTGTTTGACATTGTCATGTACCTGATTATGCAGCCAGTGATTTAAAGGCTTCAAATCCAAAGAGACAGAACACAAACAAAAGTAAGCAAACTCCTGTTAAACCCTTAGTGTTACTGTCTTCCATAAAGCTTTATTTCTATTCTCAAAAACTGTTTTCAAAAAAGGGTAGCAGATACCATAGTTACTTTCTCTCCAAGACTACAAGCATATGCTTCCTTTTGGGTGTCAAGTACAACATGGAAGAGACAACCCTTATATCGTAACACCCATTCTGAACAGAACACCTGTCCATAAAGTGGGTGAGCCTTGTGAGTAGCCCTTATAGTCTTACCTGTTCCCCATCCGCAATGACCGTTGCTGTCTCCTGGAGGATTGGTGCCTTGTCTACAAGCACCTCACCCATTACAAGTGCCTCTGCATCCAACTGCTCCACCTAGGAGTTAATAATAATAATAATAATAATGGATTTTTATATAGCGCACATTTCCACCATGCATGGTGCTCAAGACGCTTCAACTATTACCCCGGCTCTGCTAGGTAGCCGTTTTGGCACTCACAGCATTCAAGAAAATCCTTCCTACCGGTACCCATTTAACACCTGGGTGGAGAGTGGCAAATGTAGATTAGTATCTTGCCAAAGGACATTAATGCCGTGGCGGGACTAGAACCGCGGACCCTGTGATCCACAGTCCAACGCCTTATCCACTAGACCACAATACCTCTACATCATACAGACTTTTAAATCAATATCAAATAAAAGGTGCTATTCTCAACAATAGACAACATAGATGGTGACCTAACAAGAACGGTTGTGTGAGTAGTGATTGTCCGACAGAGGAATATAACCCTGGGATACTGTCTGGTGGGTAACCAACCTACACAGGGTCTTGCCATCTTGGTGTGATAGTTATGATGGTAGGTAAGTATCCTAGGGGGTAATAAACCAAGGGGAATTTTTTTTCCAAATACGAAAATGTATGGATAAATCCGGTAAATAGGTAAAGCGGTCAAGACAAAAACCAAATTTTTTTGAGAAACAAAAGCAAAAAAAAGTAATTTAATCACAATTTTTCAAGAATATGAAAGGACCTATGCATGCAGAATATGGCTATTATATTCCTAAGAGAAGCAATCAATAAATTTGTTAGCTAACAAATGTAACCTTTCTTTTTAAGGGTCAGTATGACGCATCCAATTGTTGGTAAATCAGGTTTCGGCAAAGTTCTTTTAGGAACTTCTCTCCAGTGCCGGTAAATGCCCAGCGCTACATCAGCTCTTTGAGGAAAAGACACATTACGACCCCAACACCAAATCATACAAATCATAAAGGTCATGACCATTCTTACCTTCTTCTTCTCAAGATCCAGAAGCTCTTGCTCCTCCCTGAGTTTCTTCTCTTCCTTCTCCTTCTTGATTTGTTCTTCCTCCTTCTTGGCAATCTTGAGCCTCTCTGTGTTGTCCACCTTGACGCCTTCCAGCTCAGCCAGTTTCAACTTAGCTTCGTCAGCCTGTAATTAAAGTAGAAGATAAAGGGGGAGGGGTGGGATAAGTCATGCCACTAGGTTAATTCCTTGGAATTATTGATCAACAACAAAGGTATCATGTTGTGCCTCATGTGGAATATTTGCTTAAGCCACAGCAAAAGTATAGTACATTTAATCTCGGTCAGTTTGACATTTAAGCTTCATCAGCCTTTAACCATGGTAGAAAACTTTTTTTATTGGAGGAGGATATTAAAGTCATTGCTCAATAAAAGAGGTATTATTTTGTGCGTCATATGCTATAGCCCAAGCAATAGTATAATCCTTTGATGGTGACTGCTTTCCTGCTTTGAGATATTTCAAGTATGTGCGCTTTGCAAAAGGAGGGATGAAGTGCACATAAAGAACAGAATATTATTAATATTATCTTCATATAAATGGCAAAAAAATTGGCAATGCAATCTGTTGGATATTATAAGCACGTATTCCTAGCAGAAGGGAGCTACAAAGGGCACACAAAGAAAATAATATTAATATTATCATCATATGTAATGCAATTCATGAAGATATATATACGCAAAGCAGTATGAGTCTTTCTTGATAATAATATCTCAATTACATCTTGGGATTCCTCAGTTTGTTAAATATTGAATTCAGTGCAACTTTCTTACTGTGAACATTACTTCAACATGTCGGAAACCATGACATTTAAAAATAAATTTGACCGTTTCTTCCACTGATTAAATGGCTTCAAGGCATGTGAATTGCAGATGCTGATGGATTATAAGAGGATTTGACATCTTACCGTTTCTGGGGGCAGGGATGCGATAGTGGCGATGAGTTGGTCTCCAGTAGACAAATGTTCAGGCAGGTAGAGTGCCCTAGACAGAAGCAGGAGGGATGTCGGGATCTGTTCATCAATGTGAAGCTCAAGCCACTGATTCATATATATAGAGAGAGAGAAACAGATGCAAAAATACAATCATGTGGTTTATTAAGGAGTCTGGCTAACTCGGACCCGGGGACAAATACTCCGCCTGCTGCAAAAACCGTCATTTTTTGCAGATTTAGGGTTAGGATTAGGCCTAAAAACAGAAGATGTTGTATTGCCCTTTGCGACCGACCCAAAAATCTTAAAATCTACGGTCAGCTTTTAAAAAAGAATGTATTAAAGCATTCAAAACTGAGAAATATCAGCCAGAACAGCGAGTAAAAAAAACCCAAAGATTTCCAACCGACCAACCCATGTTTTGGCACCCAAAGGGCAATACAACATCTTCTCTTTTTATTAATGCCTTAGGGTAAAATGACAAAAAAATGACTGTTTTTTGCAGCGGGGCCGAGTTGTCCCAGGGTCCGAGTTAGCCCGGATCCGTTTATTAATACCATGTTTGCGATCTTTTACCATAATTTGCAATCTTTCTTTCTAAAACCAGTCGAAAAAAAGTTTGGACACTCAAGTCCGATTGATTATATCACTCTAGATATGACATTGACAATATTGAATAGACCTTTAAAGCACTATTCCATCAAAAAATCTAAGTACTTTATTAGAGATTAGAACACCTGTCTTACCTGTGATAGCTGTGATTTGAGTCTCTCTAAGGGTACACCCATTGCTCTCATACCCCTGGCTTGGCAGGCCGATTGCAGCTCACTCTGTGACAAGGATTCTACACCTTCCTTCTTGATCATCTGTACAAACAAACATTGAGTATTGCCATATTTATTTAGTGTTTGTGGTGGAATGATCTACATAAATGATCTATAAATGCATTGCTATGCTCGTCCAAATTTTTTTTAAACAGTTCTTTATGGACAGTGTCTCTTGGAGGCATTTACATTGCAGGCAAAAACCATTGGTTTCTCTTATATTCTGGATTTCAAAATACTGAGAATTATTTCAGTTTTTGCTCATCTGACTGTCCTCAGTTCCATGCTATTGCATGCACAGCAGTGACGAGAGGCACATGCACACAACTCACACAAACAAGGAAAAAACAAAATAAGAGTTTTCTATCCTTTTATCTAAATATCCTTCTCTGAATCATATAAAAGCTTATAATTATAAATACATCATTATGGATTTCCTTTTCAAAGAGCCCAAAAATGGGATGATGAAAACAAAAAACAATTCACATGACCTGTTCACATTTACATTAGTATGAAATGCTCCCTACCGGTAAAACACTTGTTCTACGTATTAGAAATATCTGATTTTATCAAATTTGTGTATCATTTCATTTGTACTCATACATCAAAGAATCGTCACAAATATTTAATGCTTATTCATGACAAGAAAGGAACATACTTTATCATCCGCCATCAATGTCCTGAGTTGCATCCTAAGTTGAAATCTGAGAATGTTGTTCGTCCCGATGGTGTTCAACTGCAGCAACCTGCTTAGCGCCCTCAGCTGTTCGTGGGAGAGGTTGTCCAGGGTTAGCTCGTCTTCAAAGAGTTTGGAGTACTTCAGGATCTCCTCGTTACTGGCCTGTTCTCCTGTCTCTAGGATCTATCACGGAAGTATCAATTAATGAGAATATCAATGACAATTAGAACCAAATAAAGTATCTAATGGGCATAACATGAAAAGGTTCACTTCAAAGTACCCTTTAGCGTTGGGCATTATCAAACTGATGTTAGAAAATCACCTAAAAAAAAGAAATGTAGTAGCATAAAACATGTGAAGAGGCAATGTTATTGGGTTAGAAATGAAAATATGAAATAGCTGAGCACATAAGCCTATATGACATACAAATATGTCAGCTGTAGCATTTTTTTTTAGCTCATCCTCTAATTGTATGAATGGGTTTTAACTGCTTATGTGGAACTAGGATTGCAAGAATTTATCTTAATTAATTAACTTTCAAAATTTATAAAAATAAATTTGTTGGGCCTTAGAACGTTATGGTTAAATGTGGCTTGAAGTATCGTTTATTCTTTGGAGGACCTACATAATACACATGCACATGAACCCATTTTTACTTCAGGATCAAACAACCTAACTTGTAACTATTGATTTGCCACTTAACACATTGAAGAGGTTCAGTTATCAAAGCCACTACTGCGATTGCGTTTGTATTACATCTGAGTCAGATGTAACTTCATTACCTTATCCATGAAGGTTTTAAACTGAAGGGCACTCTCTTGTGAAGAGGATCCCTTCTTTGACTGGAGTGCCGTCTCCTCGATGGTATCCTGCAAGAACTTGGCCATCTGGAGCTTCAGCTTCAGTTCCTTCGTCAATCGCTTTTCCTGCAGCCAATAAAAGGCATTCAAGTTAAAGGAGAGGGCATCAACAAGCTTTTGTAAGAGCAAGGGGTGTGCACTAAAAAAAAATAGGTCGAGTAAAAAATAATAAAAAAGGATTCGTTGGAAAGAAAATGGCATCTAACAACATTCCCCCCCCCCCTCCCCCTTTTGAGTAAGTAAATTTGGGGAAAATAGGGTAAAATCTGGAAAAAAGGGAAAATAAGGGAAAATAGCCCTGGGTAAAATCTGGAGAAATTAAAATTGGGTAATTATCAGGTATGAAGAGAGTGCACTGGCAAAATCTTAAATTCCATATTGTACGAAACATAAAAAAGATTTGTATGATTTGTTTTAAGCTTACAAAAGGGCATACAATTGTCCATATCCCGACGATGCTCCAGACTTAACTCTCACACAATGTACTTTTTTTTTTGGGGGGGGGGTGGGTGTTGTCCTACAGTTGTTGTCAGATGGTAGTTCTGAAGATTTGCAACCACATTTCTCTAATGCATAATCTGTGCATTTAGTTAGTTAATAAAACAATTCTAAAATCATAAACATTAGACTTTAAGTCACAGAGATCATCACTTGATGTTGTTGCTTATAAGCTATACAGTAGATTAGAATGGATCCGGGTTAACTCGGACCAAAGACAGCTCGTTCCAGCTGCAAAAACGGTCACTTGTTGTTATTTTACCCTAAACCTAACTCTAACCCTAACCCTAAACCTGCAGAAACTGACCGTTTTTGCAGCTGGGCCGAGTTGTCTTTGGTCCCAGTTAGCCTGACTCCATTAGAACACATTGGCCTATTCAAGATGGAATTGATGCACATATAGTTTACAAGCTTGCAATCTACAATGACCAAGGCTACTACTGGACACTGAGACAACTTCTACATGCATACCCCTCCAACACCAACTGGTACATTACCTTCTTGGATGCAGTTTCAAATTGGCTGGGCAGCATGCCCGGGAAGAGCTTCAGGGCCACAGGAAGAAGGAACTCCATGAACGGTACGATGATGAAGACGGAGAAAGGAACAAGTCGGAACAGATCTGAGGCTGTACGTGTAAACTGCATCAGGGAAAGAACGAGGTATATAGTTATGATATCGTTCATTGATAGGGACACTTGACCAACTGAACCTTTGAATACATGGAACAGCCCTATACCACTGTAGCTCACACTGTAACAATCCTCAAAAATAAGACTTTGTATTACATTGCTTGTCTCACCTGTCTGTACTCTCTCCTTGTCAAACTACCACCATTCAGCAGTGCCCACAAGTGACGCGTTGCAATCTTGAGTTCGATCCCAAACAGCCGGAAGCCATTGACATAATGCATCACCTCGTCCTTAATCCGTATAATGATAGATTTCTTGGGCACCATGATCACTTCCGGTTGCGAAGGCGGCACCCCCATATCATCCAGCTTGGCTTCCCTTGTAATATCAACATCTACCTTCTCCACTTGTCTCTCCTTCTCCTTCTTCTTATCCTTCAAGGCCTTCACCGTCTTCTCGACCTTTGACTCTGGGTCCGCCAGGTCGTACGATCGAGAGGACACGTGTAAGTTTCGTATACTGATAACTTGTGCATACACATGATGAGGTTCTAAGAGTGTTGGACCATGTACAACAGAGTCTGGACGGAAACTTGAGTTATTTATGTGCGATAAATGGAATGGTGCTATAGTCCTAGGAACTCTAGATGATAGATAACTTTGTGCTAGGTGATCCCTGGAAGCCCATTTATTGGAACTACTCGATGATTGCCTACAAAGGAAAGGAAAGAAAACAAAAGCAAAGAATCAAGGTTAATTCTTCTATAGATATTAACTTAGTGAATGTGTAACAGTGCGATTTCATAATAAGGAGTATGAGCCTTCAAGGAGTATGAGCCTTCAAGTAGTAAATAGCTCATAACATGATATTTGTGTTCATAACTTTCCAAGAATGGCAACCCTGTTCAAATTTTGAAATACAATCGTGAAATATATTGTTTTAAGGAAATGTTAGAAGAGTTACTGCAACAACAAAAAAACTTATAATGTTCAACTTTACAAAGTGAAAACTACGGTGTGTGTGTGTGTGTGTAATTGGGTTTTTACAGACGTGTATCAATCAGATATGACTATTTACGTCTGGGGGCCAACCTTTAATGTCACCATCCGAAAGACCCGACTCAGTTTAGAACCTGCATCCTCGGCTGAATCAGTTTGTCACTTCCATTGTTAGCTGGATTACAGGCGCATGCCACAACGCCCCGTTATGCAATATACATGTAGATAATAAATATAAATACCTGTTAGAACAATGCAAGCATTGTCTGCTATTCCCTCTGTTTGAGAGAACATGATCCTGATGAGATGTCAAAATCGACCCTTGATAAAAGAGAAAAGAAGAGATTGAATTATTACATAAATATTTAGTTCTATAGACCCTATATCACGTTTTATCTGACAAGAATTAGCCAAACTATCAAACTCAAAGTAAAAATGTGACTCATTACTTTGGTTGTTTTACTGGTTATCATGGTTATAAAGTATTCAGTGCTTCATTATTCATAATCATGACTTAAAAATCTTTATAACAGTTCGGTGCTACAGGTCAGTGCTTTATAAGTAACGTTTTTATTATTATTATTACACATGTATTAAGTTGTTGTTGCTCCTCTTCCTTCTTCTCCTCCATTATCATGATCAACATGATCAGCATCAACATTTATCATTAATATAGTAAATCCCTGTATGTTTCGAACTGCGGCTACATCTGTGTGGGTGGGCCATTGTTTTAAACAAAAATAAAAACGTGCTCAATCAGTCAATGATTATTTAATTCTATCTTAATTTGTTTGTTTGATGGGATACTGATCCAGGATAATCATAAAATTAATGTCATAGACATGTATTATGTAACTTAACTGCTTAAGGTTAGCAACTATGCTATCCACTACTACAAAATAGAGTAAAAATGTATATTATTACCTGATGCAATATCTCCTCGAAGTGCGACACCGACAGCTGACCGAGAAACTCTGCTTGGCAGAATCAACAACCTGCAAATCCCCGACATTTTAGCCTATTTAAAACAGGCTCTTCTACATATGGATTTATCCTGCAACTTCTCTACATCAACAAATTGATCGTTACTTCACACCAGTTCAACTAATAATTATAATTTTCTAGTCAACACAGTTTGATTCTTCGTAAGAACTTGAGCTGCGAACGCGAACCTCGTCTGTAGTTCTGTTCCACGCCTGCGCGTGCGGGCTGCACTGTACTGTGTGTCCAGTGTCGAGATGCCGGTGTTCCGTAATCGGTGAAAATACTGAAACAAAATCGATCATAGGGCAGAATTTGGTTTTAAATTCGTTGTATTCTTAGTACAAATATGACTCCACTTAAGATAATATTACCGTCGATGAATAAAAGGAAAAAATTGACGTCTAACTTGAAACGAAGCCTTTTCCGGTCGCCGGGTCAGTCATCAGTGCAGAATCGAACGGGAATTACATAGTCATAGCATGTGCATCGTGAATGATAGGAAACCTTCGACCTTATTTTGTAGTCTTGGATTTCATACTCAGTTGTGACGTAATATGTAATGTCAGTCTTTTAATTTGTTATTAATATTAATATTATCGAAAATGAGTTAGATATGATAAAAAAAAGTACTCAAATTTCGGAATTTCTACTTTGTAACTCTAATATTAATCCAAAACAGGTTAAATCAAGTAAAGTCAAGTTATAAAATTTCATAATTTGTATGGAATAATAGACTACGATGTACACAAAAGGCCATGGACAAGGTCATGAATATGGGTCATGCCATGCTAAACTGTATCAACGGCCGCGAACTACGGACTACGTCACTCACGCACACACGGCCACTGCATTCGGACGTCACGAAGCCATGCAGATAAAGGGGTGGAGGGGCGAGGAAGGGGAGGGGCAAACACATTATCGAGCTTTATGCGGTGTCAGTAGCTAGGAGAGAGGCAAACAAAATAATAATGCCCCTCCCGTGATGGAAATCAAGTTCTGTTTAGGTAAATTGACCTAATTAATTAACCCTCCATAAAAATTAAAAAAGTGTGCCCTAATTATATGTGTGCCATGATCCATGTGTTTTTTTTGCTTTTCGCCTACAGCAAATGTTCAAATAAACCAATAAAAAATAATTCAAAAATGGGTGGGAGTCTCCTTTATTCAGACGATAAGTGCATTTCCTTTCCAAAGACTGAGTCAAATCTTGTAAATATGTGATTATCATGACTCGGACGTATGCAAAAATAAAAATACCAGAAAAAAAAATGTATTAATCTAAACACTGCACTCTTTGGGCACTCCAGAGCCTAAAAGTGTGTTGCAATCTTTAGTCAGTATTTTCTATAACAATTTGTTTGCTCTTTTTCAAATTTTCTGGAGGGACGACCCCCCCCCCCCCTAAAAAAATTGAGGGGGACGTCCCCCCCCCCCCCCTGTTCCCCGGGATCACCGCCCCTGCTTTTGCCTATACTGCAAAGTGATTACTTGCAATCAAGTCTTGCTATGTCCCGATGCAGAGGAAAGCCCCTTTGCTTAGGCTGGGTTCTAAAGTACAGTCTAAAAAAAGAATGCTTCTTTTTATATGCGAGATAGCAACCGTGTGAGAAAAGATAGATTTAGATTCTGAATGTCGAAACTCTATAGACAGTATTATGGAAAAATAGAAAATAATCTCTCCCATGGTTGTAGGCCTACTGCAAAACGTGTGATGTCATAAACTCATAATCATTTTTTTGTCTCGCAAGAGGGCGGGAAAAACTTTTTTTTTTTAAATAGTTGCCCTCTCTATTCTAGAGTTTAAAAGAGCCCTGCACCAATCGCCTCCCCCCCCCCCCCCCCCTCTCCCCCGATTTGGCGCCTTTTGATCTAGGGTTTGTAGAGTACACGAAACAAAAAACTATATTCAATGATTTGCAAGGGAGCATGGCGACAGAGCAAGGACATAGCAAACAAGTAAATAGAGATCATTGTTAGTTAAAAATCTAGATGGATTTTCATACAGGAATCTGAAAGCTAATTGTTGTACTGCAAAATTATCGGCTTTTAAAAGGGGGTAAAACGATTTAGCCACCACCTCCCCCCCCCCCCCCCCTTGATAGACGAAAACATATGCCCCCTCGCTTTTAGCGTCTCTGAAGAATGATATTTCTACGGTCTGAGGTAACGCCGCATATATAGTTACAAGTGAGGGAGTTTAGCGACCGAGTGTGGATATTTTATTTATACATTATTTTTAAACTCAATTCTTAGAGCATTAGAAATATTTTCTAAGGTTATACTGCGAACTGATTTACGTATTCCTAAATACATAATTGTCTCCATGGTTTGGACAAGAACAAAAACCACGAAATGTCCTTTATTCTTGTAGAGATATACTTATGTAAAGAGAGAGGGGGAACTATGTGCACCTCTGGGAGACTGCAGTAGCATCACTTCTTTTATATTGGTTAAACTCACATGCATTGAAACAAACATGTGAATTTGTATTGTGTGGTTCCAAGACTCAGTCAATTAAGATATTTATATTACTTCAATTATCCTTGCTTGCCGTGAGATTGCTGAATCTTATGTATTTCGTAACCTCGGTGTGTGTTTTTTTTTTTACTCAAACACGACAATGTCTCCATAAATTCAATACGTCTCTAAATCGTTCCGGGATCGGTTGCGTCAAGGAGCCCTTTAAATCTCCTTTGTTGCGTAATTTGATTACTCATTATTCCTAAGTGGTATCATTTGAGGTGTTCACACTTGTACAAGCATTGCCTTTTAGTGGACCCCTCTGTTTCCAACATGTATTTATTACATCCCCTCCCAGAACAGACGGACCCCATACGTGTTACCAAAATGTCCGGTAAAGGGGTACTTTTCGTGCGACAAAGTCCGGCCCGAGAAATGTAAAAAAAAAAGGGGGTGTACTAACTTTTCACCCTGAGATTTCTTTAAAAAGGGGGTGTTTTTTCTTTTTTTCTGTCATCTCTTTGGACTCCTGAGAAATTATTCCAAATTTAGGGGGGGTACATTGAGCATTTTTCATGAATTAGGGGGGTCTCCAAGGCAGGAAAAGCCCGCGAAATGCCCGCGAAAGGGGGGTTAGGAAATGTTGGCAGTCCTCAGATAGGGAGTGCTTTCAAATAGAGGGAACAAGCAAACGCGTACCCTAAATAACACTGAGTGGGAGGGGGGCGGGATAACATTGTTTTAAAGGCTTATAATTGATTTGTAATGGTTTTTTTGGAAACATGAATAAACTTGAAATTGAAAATTGAAATTGAACTTAGGATTCATACGTAAATACCTAACCCCCAATGTCACAGATGACATTACCCCAAATATTACCTATATGCTTTGATTTCATTTTGTTCAACTCACCTAAAAATCAGCTTGTACGATTACAAAAATTACAGAATGCTGTTGCTCGCATAGTGTGCCTCTCCAACATACACATTCACATCTTCTCAAACAACCCCATTGGTTGCCCAAGAGTGAACGCACAATTTTCAAATCCTTTTGCTTTTATTTTATTGTGTGCATGGCTCTGATCCACAGTACAATATTACCATGGAGCTATATAGCTCCATGATATTACTTTGACAATTAATCTTTATATTCCCTCCGGATCTTTACACTCTCAAAACTCCGGATTTTCTTGTTCTTCATAAACTCAATACAGTGTGGGGGGAAGGGAGAGGGAGAACCTTTGCTCATGCAGGGCCTTCGCTCTTTACTGCTCTCCCTCGAGATATTCGTAATTAGCCGATCAGTTGAAGTGTTTAAAATGAATCTTTAAAAGTATATATTTAATTCGGCATATAATTATTTTTTTCTTCTTTTTTTCCTTATGTTCCTACTTAACCCCGTATTTTATTTACAATGCAAATGATTTTAATTGATCATTTGCTCTCAAGTGGATTCGGTACCTTTTTCAAGTTTAATTTATTATCATTAGGCTTTTATCATTATTATCAATATTATTATATAGGCCTTTGTATGCGTAAGGTAACGTACTGAACAAGTGAGACATTTAGGTATTCAGGATTATTGGAATGTTAAAACTCTTACATTTTTCGTTTTACTGTTGGAGGGGGAGGGGGGGGGGGGGGGGGGGGAGGGACTAATCTAAACATAATGGACAAGTCCCCTTAGCATTAAAGCGAACCAAATTTTAACCGCTGTGGCTACTTTTACACATTAATGTCTGACATTTTTGGTAGGGGTGGGGGAAAGTGCCCCCGTTACACCCCGCCCCATTAAACAGCATTATTTACCAAGACTGCACACTCAAAACCAAAGTCTTGCAAGTGTGGAGGTAGGGACCTTCCTGTATAAAGGGGGGGGGGGTGGGGGGCGCAAACAAATTTTGTTCTCCCGTAATGCCTGCCTGGTGTAAAGCAAAGCAAAGCAACAAAAAAAAAAGTTTTGTCTAGTAATAAGAGAATCCCTGACATTTGTGTTCCCTTTAGTTAGAAATAGAAATCCACCACTGCACTTTATGATAATGTTACGCGTGCTTTGCGCAAATACAACGTAATAATAAAGGTAAGCGTAGACAAGATATACGCGAAGGCATTGTGTCGTCATGGTCATGTGATCGAAAACCTCGTTGCTGATTGGTTGTAAGTTTAGCTGCGTCATGTCTTTTCCCCTTAGAAACCACGCTTATTGCTAAGATCTTATAACCACAACAAACCATTCACTTTCTGATTTATCGTGCAGTGGAGAACACGTAGTATATCTTCCTTCGAGTTTCCGAAAGCGAATTTGAAGCAATTTTTGCTAGAAATTCTCTACTCTCTTGAACTTTACCAACTATACTCCGCTTAATAGATCTTTAAGGTGAGTTTAAGAATAAGATATTTAAAAATAACAATAAATATCACATGTAAAATCATACCCCAGACCCAGTATCATTATAATGCAAGTGTATACACTCACGCGCATTACTATTATAGCAATATTACATTGACTCCCGAAATAAAAGAAAATGAATCAAGAGGTTGGTTGGATGTATATGTATTAGGTGTAGGCCCAGAAGGACGTAGTACTTTTCTAGTATTTAGGAAAATCTTACGATTCAGTCACATAATCTATTAACAATTTTTAATATTGAGCTTTAATATGAAAAGGAATAACACCACTGCCAGACAGTCACTTGGTGATATTACACTATTTGATTCATCTTGTTTTCCCATCTTGGTCTTTAGAGATGCAGACGTATAAATATAATGATTTGGATTTAAAGTATATCTTAAATATACGAGATAGAATAGACTTCATTTTGAAGGAGATTTATTATATTTTTATTTAAAATCTTCTACATGCAGCATGATGATTATCACGACTCCCACAGACATTGAAATGTCAGGTCAGAGACATCGCCGGGCAAGACGCATGAACGGTCGCCGCCAACGACTTGCTCTCGGATCGGTTGTCGACCACGGAGCTGAAATCAACACGGCCCTCGACATGGCCCAACTTTTCTCGTCCAGCAGTACTCCTCTTCAAGCTGATCAAAACATGGACATGTCAGCTCAGAGGCAGAGACGGACACAGCGAATGGCCACAAGACGTCAGCGTCTTAACCTGGGTTCAGCGTCTGATCACGCGGTAGAAATTGCACAAGTCATCCATGACTTTTCTACCGCGTGTTCTACAGACGAAGTAGCCCTCGAAGTGGGTAGCGATCAAGTTACCTTAGAGCATGGACCTACTAAGAACCTAGTAGGTCCATGCTTAGAGACAACCGAGGCCAAGTTTGCCAAAGAAAACATGGCTCACTCTCTTGCCCTCCTCAAAGCGCGTTTCGGGCTCATGCCACACAAACTGGCAACAAAAATGAGGAAGTGGTTCGCTAGACAACGAGACTAATTTTGTTCAAAGAACCTTTTTGTATATATGTAATGTATATAGTCTTTATTTTTATTTTAAACAAAACTACCAACAACAAAAACCACCCAAAAAACAACCTCCCAAATCAAAACAAAAATGGGAATCAGGAGCCTCGTTGATAAATCATGAATATACGATAGGGAGGGGGTGTATTTTGACCTAATTTGCCTACAACTTACCAACATTTATTCATCATGCATTTTGTTTTCCTTTCTTTTTACAGGCTTGGACGAGCATCGTCTGATCACGTAGAAGAAATTCATTCATGACTTTTTGCAAGGTTCAGCCCTCGAAAAAGGACGAGGGGAGGGGGGGGGGGGGGGCAACAGACATGAACTTGCTAATATCGATGCCATATTCACCAAAGACAACAAAGCTACCCCTTTGTTACAATGAAAAAACAATTTGCTTCTGCATATGGGTAATTCAATAAATTAGGGACCCACTGTGTGATATTTTGGGTATCCCAGGTATAATTATATGGAACCCACACTTATTTTGTGGCTCTGATTAAAGATTTAAATAGTGGAGATTGTAAAGTGATTTCCAAGCATAATATTGCATCCTCATACCTAGAATCACAGGCTATTTAAGTCTTTACTCAGAGCCACAAATACGTGTGGGTTCCTTATATAACTGGGACACCAAAAAAGTGGGTCCCTCATTAATATTCTATGAACCGAACAACACCAAAAATGTAAATAAAACCACACCTTTTTACTTTTGTATAAAATAATAATGGATTTGTATAGACTTTTCTGTTTGTTTGTTGTTTACGAGAATGATAAAAGTCAAATTGTCATTACGGCGATGGTGATAATTTCTGTTTAAATCATGACTTGTTATGATTATGATCATGACAGAAGGTGATGGTGATGATTATGTTGATGATGATGCTAATGATGATGCCGATGATAATGATGATGATAGTGGTGGTGATGATGTTGATGATTACTATGATGATAATTTTTAAGAAGATTATGATGATTATTAAGATTATGATGACTAAGAAGATTATGATTATTAAGATTATAATCATGATTATGATGTTGATGATTATGATGATGATTGGGGGATGGGCAATGAGTCATCATCTGCCATCTTGCTTTTGATGCCTCTGTGAAACAGGGTTTCTACCGTCTTAACATACACTGGTTCTTTGAGCAAATCCTTTCCACACAAATTAAACACCTTTCTGGCTCTCAACAGGCAAATAATATCGTCAGTACGAAGCCAGAAGGGCATTAACTCTATGTATCAGTATAGGAATTAAATAAGACATGTCAAGCAAATTTTAGAGAAAAGAGTAAGACAAAAGAAAGTTGAATACATTTCACATAAAAACATATTTTTAATTTCTTTACAAAAAACAAAAACAGAGATACTTGTGTGCACATAATTGTTCATGTTCATTTCATCACAAGTTACATACAATCATTTGATATAGAAATTTGCACAATATTTTATCAATAAAAATGAGACGCATATTCATGTTTCCGTGTCAGCATCACAGATTCATGAACACTTTCTTTCAGCGGAAAACAATGCCTCATTGCACTCACAGTAATATCTTCCGACACCCAATGAAATCATATACATGCTCATTACTTTGAACTATATATATGTTTTGTTTGTCACATGTCTGTTTGTTTGTTTGTTTAGCACACAAATGGTATCTTTAAAAAATAATATTTTGTGCTATTGGTTGGCAAAATGTAGAAACTAGATGAATATAAAGTAATGCTTGCATCATGCAGACTATTTTTTCAATGACTTTTTAAAAATAGTTTAGCATGACTGATTTTTGAAGTACACTGTCACGTGTGTCAAACTGCTCTGTAAGTAATACAAAGTAAAGATAACGAAAATGGACATAATCTGATTAAATTTAAATCTCCTTGTACAATTACATCTGCAACACATATTTGTAAAATTTCTTCTCATCCACACTGAAGTACAAACTAAAATAAAAACTAAAATAACAAGTTGAAGACCAAAAAACAAAATTACAGCAAAGCTCTGGGACGATTATCAAAGTAAAAAGAGAGAACTATGATTTCTCCTAATATCTTTCTATGCATAATTGTATTCACACAATGTCTATTTAGGAATGCAATCGCATAAACTAGTATGACTGCAACGTCAAAACAACATTAAGATCATTTATCGTCAAAACATTCATGGCATTTAAATTACAGCTGTCTTTCTTTTCAAGGAAAAATGCAAAAATAAATCTATATAGCTATATTACATTAAAAACCTCTGTCCATTTGACTTCACTCTTAAATACATTTGTCAATTCAGGCATTTGTTACAATTTATTCACATAGATTATTCAATCAACTGCTGTGCAACCAACAGAAATAATGTGTAAAAAAAATAAGAAGAAAGAAACAAGAAAATTAGAGATATCAATGTGATATTTTCAAAAAATGCGATCTGCACAAAGTTGTTTGTTTGGAGCCAGAAGGACGTTAACTTTGTGTTTGAAGATTTTGACTTTACTCCCTTCTGGCTCTTTAATTAGCGAACAAAATATTACAAATAAAAAAATTGTGAAATGCTGAATCTACAGTCATTAAAACTAAAAATCTAGTAAGTCCAATTGTTTTTTAGGCAACACTTCATGACCATAAAGCTGTCCACAGTGCACATGACTTTCAAATTAAGATATTGATATCTTAAGATAGATTAAGACTTTCTAATTTGACTCTAACAAACTACAATGAACTGGCTGTTGACATCTAATGGATTTTCAAATGAAAAAACAAGGGTTTTGTACCAAAGAAATAAAAAAAAAATTAAAATGAAAAAAAATATCTGAAAATGCATCTTCCTCTGAAATGCCTAGCATAGTACATGTGTACAATACTCATTGGAAAATAAAATGATTTATGTATTAAACATACATAAACTCACCCATTCAAGACACATAAACCTAAATAAGCCAAAGCCCTTACCTATTACAAAGATTATTAGAAATGTGAAAATATTAATTGAAGTTCACATAAATGAAACATCTTCATCAAATCGAAACCCCTCATCCCCAACAACTTTAATTCAAAGATTATTACAGAAATGAAAAGTTTATGAAATTCACATAAATGCATACCCTCATGCAAGTTACAGCCCTCACATATAGCAAAGCTTCTTGAAGAAACATTTCAGCAACTTAAATGTCGCAGAAGACACAGCAATATAACACATTTCTCACCAAAATACAAGTTCATTTCGCCTAAGTCATCAACAAAAAGTAAATACACAAATTCAAAATAACTCTAGAGGTGGGAATTGATATCAGCAACTTTAAAAGGATGATGATAAATGATAATCAAGATTTGGGAATGCATAAAGTTATTGGTCAATCAACAAAAAAGCAAACATAGAGGAGGGGTGGGCGTTAAAATGTATATTAAATCTTTTCCGTCGATCAGACATGAATGGATGTAGGTAGCTGTTCATATAAGATATTTTGGTGGGTTGATTATTACATTAAACAACACCAGATAGAACTAAAATACAAATACAGAAACAAAAATCAACAAGATGACTGAATGTAAGAAGAAAAATTAAAGATGGAGAGATTTCCAACTTTTTAAATTAAAGACTGAAGCATTTTGTAAATTAGCACTTTCAATTTCCTACTGACGACTTTTTAATTAGGCATGTTAGACCATTCAGTTATCTTTTGGGCTTGAAGAAGCCCAATCTTAACCGAGTTATAGCCCAATGCATTCATCATACAGCAAGACAGTTCTCAATCACAATCAAATTTTCAGGCTCCACTAAACTGTAACTGCTGTTTATACAGCACCAAAATGAAATAACAGATAAGCTTGGTATACATTTTGTCTAAAGCTAATTTTAATTAAATTGAATAATTCATTCTACTCTAAAATTGTCAATACTGATATATATCAAAGAAAATGAGGCTCTACTAAACCACTGCTTAATTTGGCAAGCTTACTAATAAAATGACACACACTTTTGTCCAAAACACTCACGCAGACACCCACAAACATACACCAACACACACACAAACATACTGTCTTGATCCAACTTAGAGCAAGATTAGGAAACCAACAAATAATGTATATTCACAGACGATAAAAACACATAAATCCCGCGGACAGAGAAAAATAAAGTACTTTACATCACATAGAACTGAAACAAGCACGAGATAGAATTGCTGCATAGACAGGAAAAAAATTGCGCAAAGCAAAAAAGAAAAAAGAGCTGAGCTACATAATAATCTTGTACAATGTATTTAAAAAAATGATGTTATATCACCGCTATTTGTATACCTTAACTTACGCAATCTGTCAGGCAAGGTCTACTCAACCCCAAGCTTAATCTCAAATACAAACTGAAATAAGGGCCTGGAAAAAAGCGCATCGACAACAAATCTAAAATGTATTTGACCTACACTTAATCTTGCCTACAATCTAAATCTACATACCAATGGTGTTTAATAAAGACAGGTGAAAAAAAGTTTGCTTTGTCCAATATATAAAACTAAACAAAATAGTTGAAGTCAGATGCTTGTAATGCTTAAATTAATTAAGTAAACTTCAGGTGCAGAACAGTTTTGCATAGAAAAGAAATATGTCCAACAAAAAAGAGGCAACAAGAACAGGTTAAGTTCAATATCCACATTCTAGCTTATGTAATTAATTGACATGATTTATCAGTTTTTACGTTCTACAAAAATGCAAACATTTGATTGGTGGGAGACGAGCAAATGAAATAGAAACATACTAGATGAAATAGTTACATGTGTGTGTCTATTAAGTCATTCAAATATAAAACAATTTAATTTGAAACAAATTAAAAAGCAATGTTACATACTAGGTAATTAATACCTCTTTATATGTTAATAACATAGGCTTGATATCAGGTGGCTTTCTGGCTTTATAATAAAATTATGATATATAATTTTAATAAAAAATTAAACAAGAAAAAGGGCAAGAGAGAAAGAGACAGAGGTGTTTTTTGTTGAAGGGGGGGGGGGTGATAAAAGGATGATGTTTCACATTCAGATACACTTGAAAGAACATGTCAAATTAAATCATTCCAAATTCAAATGAAATGCAGAATTACATTTGAATATAAACTAGGGCAGAATTACTGCAATTTTTTTCAGAATGAGAGAAAATAGGGACTTTTAGATTCGCACAAAGACAATGTGGATTGCTACGATCGACGTCCTTTTAATGCACTGCCTTGAATGGACGTCACACGTATCAGTCCACGCAAATCTAAAAGTCCCTAACAATACAAACTGACTCTCAACATTTTTTGTTCTTCAAAGAATTGACAAAAGAGAGAGGGAAGTTGGAAGTTTAAAGAATTTCAAATGTGAGAACAAATAAGTGATATACAAAGAATAATATTCTTTCTTATCTAAGCCAGATAGAGCAACATAATTCCAATGGAGTTTCCAAGATTTACTATAAGAAAAGTTACTTCATTCATGTATCAATACTGTAAGTTAAAGGTAGAGAAAAATATCGGTTAATACTGAATAAATTAATAATGGCGGAACGGTAGGATAAATATACTTATGTCCATATCTTATTAAAAAATATATACCCTTTAACACTACTTAACCAAAACATACAACTACAAGTATATAATGTAATATGTTATATTTCATAGAATATGAACTGAATTTTATTATTAAAAGTTGTACGATTTGACTTTTGGTGCAGTGCTTTACATCAAGACTTGCTCTATTCTTTGTACATCTCAAATTTGATAAAAAAGATAAATACGTCAGCCGTCGTGTCACAGGAAAGACTGAATAGAATTTATAAAGGAACTCTTCTGAGTTTTCAAGAAAAATACTTGAACCCTTCGGAGATACTTATCTCAACAGGTATAGCTAGTTTGAAGAGTAGGTTGAGTTCTGGGAAAGGTGATATATCATTTGTGAGCTTTTATCATTCTTTTGTGTTAGTGTGGAAGCATATCACAGTAATAGAAATGTTACCTGAAAAGGATGGCTCTTCAAATGGCTAAAGATTGTGGACAACACTTTCATGCCACATGCTTGTGTAGTCCCACATATACATTTCTGTGTACAATGCATGTGATCTTAAGCAAGACAGGGCCACTTTATCATTTTGATGATTCCAAAATACACCAATATTTATGTGCTATATATTATCACCCTTTCCCAAACGCTTCCATGTAGTTTCTTTCACAATCCAATTGTATGATCAGAACTCAAATTTATCTTTAAGGGATAACTTGACATCAAATATGATATCAAACTTGACATTGGACATTGACAAAGATAACCATTAATGCAACATGCTTTATAATCAACTGTTGTATCTTTACACAGGCAGTAACTGCCATCATGAATAGACAAGGCTATGTTTCACACTGAATATTCATATAATTAATCACTTAGATTTCCATTATGGGTCCATATATATGCAACTAATACTTTTCTTTAATTTCACTCTTTGGACAACAAAGGTTTAACAACACATATCATTCTTTTACAGCCAGTAGGGAATTAACTCTGTCACCACACAGAAGATACACCAGTGATGTTTAAATGTTTATTAAAACTTATATGTAAAAGATTGTTCATCCAGTGATACCCCCGACTATACTGAAGCATAAACTCGCAAGGTATTAGCGATAAAATGATTCTAACTACATTTAATAATAAAATCTGTAACTTCCTACTCGAGAGAGTAGGTACTAAATCGGCTGGTCACTTTTCTTTCAAGATAACTATTATCTACTATAACTGCGATGTTCTGTCATCATTGTCAAATTCTGTCCAATACTGTCCAATCGGTGGATGCGCAATGTGTAGGGCAACATGGACCTGCCGAGCACTGATACTGTTCTCTGACAGCCTGGAGACATCCGTTGCTTCCGTCAGCATCACAGAACGTACCACACAAAAATTATCAATTATACTGCATTCTACATTGCTTGGGGAGTCTGTATCGTGCTTGTATCGTAGTACAAATAACAAGTCCAGTCCCGCAAGTGGATTAAGCACACAGCGAAGGATTTCATCGGCGGTTTGTAACATCGTAGAGCTTCTTCTTTGATGAAAAAATATAAGAGCACCACCACATTTGACAGCTTTCAAGTTTCAACGGCTGAATTTTTTCAGTCCAGTTGCAATTGAGGATAAAGGGGATCTGGTCCTATGGGGGTTTAGGCCTGGGCTAGCTGCTGGCGGATAGTACAAACATTGAATAGACCAGGAACTGTATGAAGGTGACGACGACAAGGAATGTAGCAAAAGACTTTACTCCGTGACTCTTACGTTTGACGATGCGGAGGGGGACGAGAACCCTGTGGGGAGAATAAGAAGCAGATGAAGAAATTGTTTCTGCAAATTGATCTTAAACATATGAAAAGCCTGCCTCTTAAATTCAATAGTGCATTTTATGTATTATACATGTATACACATATTTAAACAATTCTAGTCATGCAGTGATCAATTATTTAAATGCTGGTTCATTTCCAAAAAGAATAAAGACCCAACAGACTATCTGAAATCAATCCTCTCTCTGTAACTTTGACATTTCACAAGGAAAGGTTATAAGACATACATTTTATAAAGCATTACACTTGAAAGAAACCATTTTCAAATAGCAAAGTTACAGAATTTCTCTTCATATCATTTTGTAACTCCCTCTTACTGGCCCTCAATATAGAACAACAGCACTGGAAAATTGTTAAAATTATTCTCATCATCACTTTGACTCATCGAATGAGGGGAAAGGATTTATACAAAAAGAAAATGTAATCTGTGTCAGTAACTTACCCTTTAACAAGTATAAAGACAATGATAGAAATGAAGACAAACTCCACGAAAGTAAGAGCAAATGATTGATTTTTCCTGTGAACGAAAATGTGAGATAAAGAGAAAACAAAAAAGAAGGGTAAATACATGCTTGATCCAACAAAAATCTGCTCTGTGATGCAAAAAAGGTTCTGAATAAAATAGAATATCTGTCAAAAGTTTGAAAAGCAGTAGGAAATGAAATTTTGGGTGCAAAATCGAAGAAGAAGAAAAAAAAAAGAGTGAATGTTGATTTTAAAATCTATCTGCGAGATGAAGATTCAGCCGATGAGATTTATAGGACATCTGATATAAAAAGAAGATGAGGTGCGGAGAATCTTCCATTGACAGGAAAGATGGAGGGATAGAGAATAAGAGGAAGACAGAGAGTACTATCATGGGGTAGTCTGCAGAGGTGGCTTGAGGGGAGAGTGCAGAGTGAAAGACTACGGAATGGAGCTCATGCTGGAGCCTAGAAACACAAAATTGTGGAATAAAACAATTGCCAAAGTCATTAGAACCATGTATGGCATCTAGAGAGAGAGAGGGAAAGAGTTAATGTAACATGAAAAGCAACAAATCCGCAATCAATTTCACCATGATTTGAAATAGAATTTGAAAAAGTGCTCCAAAATACCAATACTTTAAAGAAACTTATCTTCCAAAATGATCCGTCGTCTAAGCTCAGGTATATAGCATTGATTTTCAGTTGGGTTATGGTTATGAGAAATTGATGCACATTGGAAATTTGGGGTATTCTGTAAAATCATAAAGAGAGTAAATTCACAGTTCCAAGTTAGTATATTTGGTTAATTTTCCATTTTATCGAACTAGCTACATGTTAGTAATGAGATTAGTGTTAAATAATTTTAAAAATGACAAAGTGAGTGAAGAACGGGTGACTTACAGCCATGCGGGTAAGCTTTCGTCCCTTATCTGAGCAGCGTTGAGACTTGCATCATTATGACCTTTGACTTTTCGGAAGCCTCCATCCTCTCTCCTGTTGCCGCTGAGTCTCAGGGTATCCCTGAAGTCCCTCCCCGTCTCCTCTCGCTTGAGTCGATCCATGTTGTGGACCCCGTCGTCGTTCCTGCCCGCCTCCTCGTCCCTCAGGATGGGCAGCTTCCGGTGCGCCTCGAGCTTCAGACGATTGGGGTCGACCCGGAGATGCCCGTTGACGCGCTCCTTCCGTCTGGCATCGCTGCTACTGTCATCCTCGGCCTCTTCGTCCTCCTCATGAAAGCTCTGCTTGTCCTCACCACCGCCGGGATCGACCCTCGCTTTTTTCCTGATCGCCGTCTCGCCGACGTAGTTACCGCCCTCATCGTCTTCCTCATCATCCTCCTCCTCTTCCTCCTCCTCCATGGCGCGGTTGGCTTGCTCCTCCTCTCGTTGTTGCCATGGTTGTCGGGGTTGGTTGGAAAGCTTGTGGGCTAAGAAGGGGTACTCTTCTTCTCCCAGCTCTCTGATCAGTTCAATGGCCCATAGATTGTGCAGTTCATCACCTGCGGTGTAAGAAACGAAGCAAATAGTTCAAAGCTTCACATTCAATATTGATTTCAAAATCGAGCACACATAAAAAGGATGATAACATTGCCCCATGCAAGATGTGTGAAATTAGTTGAAAACCATTTATTTTCTTAATCTTCCATGACAAATGGTCCTCTGTCATATTTATATTATCAGTCTATGGGCATACAAAGAGATTTTAATGGAATGAACTGATAAGATTTATGTTTATTTATAAAGGAGACATTTCTAGGAATCACTTTTTCAAAAATGCAGAAATGGGACTGTGATATGAACCATGTAGGATGGAAATCTGAACAATTATACAATAAAAAATGGCTATTGACTAGTCTAATATATCCCTACTTAACCACATTTCCAAGTCTTGTTGTTCTTGTTTTATTGGGGGGGGGGGGGGAATATCCAAACCTAAAAAAAATAAAATCTAATTCTATGTGAATGCTCTTATTATTAATAAAAGATCACATTATCTTTCTCACCATGAGAAGTAAAGTCCAGCCAGCCTCTGGGTCTCTCTGGGGTGAGGAAGATCTGGATGGTGTAAGGGAACGGTTCTCGGACCCCACGCTCAAACAGGACCAGGGTCCATAGTCCCGGCTCCATGTTACCACACATTAGGGTGTTGATGAAACGGACGGTATCAGACTATGAAGAAAAGGAGGAACAATCACAGGATTCCTTATCGACTGAGACCAACAATACTTAAAACCTGTCTGCACTAGTTTGACCAGGAGGGATTAAACCTCTCTACATGGTCACCGACAGGTGGTTATTTCATCAAATCAGCTCTTAATTAACATAAGAAAAAGGGGATCATGGGGGACTGAGCACTGTTTGCTATATAGAGGGCGCAAGTAGCTACAAGTAGTGCAGTACCGCTTTAATTTAAACTTGTTTGAAATGGAAGTTTTTACAATCATGAAACAGTCTTGTGGCAGCTTAAAAGAATCGGTGAGCTCCAGCTATTACTATTCTCAGAAAATATGGGATATCACCTTCAAAGTTATTGTAGCTTTAGCCCAAATGTCTCATAGAATTCCATGTCTATTTGGCTAATTACTCTCAAATGACATTTCTCTTATCATAATTATTTGGCAGATACTATATATTCATACCTCTTAAACATTTGTTCAGATTTTTTGTTCAGGAAGGAATTATTTGAAAGCTTTCAGCACCAACATCGGGAGCTTAGCCAGAGCCTGTGTAATATTGGGGTACCTTGAACACCCTATGTGGTGGATATAAGCGCTTTAAAAATATCCAATATTATCATGATTATTATTCTAGTGTTACTGGTGTTGATCCGTGGCTAATGGATGCTTGTTAACTACAGACCAAGCCTTCGCTTACCTTTTGGACGGAAGGATGCGCTTTCTTGAAGGTGATGATGACGTCGATGAAGCATCTCACCTCCCCCTCGGGGTTGATGAGACTGGCGTTGAAGTGGACGGCGTGGTTCTCGGCTGTCCTCTCATCGCCGAAGGTGGTGAAGGAGAAACTGTCTGGGGATCTCCCGTCGTAGCTATCGTCTGTGAGGATTCATAACATAGAATCTATAATAAATATCGCTCAATGTTTGCATGACAGATTGCAAGTATACAGTAGGCTTACAGCTACACCATGTGAGAGAGGGGGGAGGATTGGGGAGTCCTGAAAAGGACTAATGATAGTCCTGAAAAAGACTGTTGGTTATCTTTCTTAGCTTATAGTTCTAAGGAGAAATATAGCGCCGGTTGGCTATCCATCGTCAGGAGTGCAAGTAGTAAAAAAAATGCTTTCTAAGCTCCTTGGGGATTACTTTGTTAAAGGCAGATTGTAAAACGAAGGAAGGAAGTATTACAGGAATACATCAATACAGGACTCGGATTGTAGAACTGTTCAGTAAGTTACACAATAGGATTTCCTTGTATTGCCTTGTCAATGACGCTGTATGACACTGTAAAATGTATCTAAAATGCTAAAATACCAACTAAATTGCACATTGGGAACATTGGTTATATTCCTAGCAAAAATTTGTGCACATTGTACAAATTTCAGTGGTGTAGTATCTACATGTACTATAAAGCATAAACCATTGTGAATTTTGACCATATCCTGAATCTAGGAATGTGTGTGCATTCTTTTTATTTATTTATTTATTTTTTTTAATTTTTGGGGGGAGTTTTTATTTCACAGGAAGCACAGTTTTTTAACACATACAGGGTTCATGCAAGAGCATATTAAAACACCCTTGCAGCTTTGGTTGAGGACAAACCATCCCCTAGGAGGCTCTAATTCTTTCAATTTGAATCAACGGTAAACAGATATCTGCCGAGAAGCATGCATGCACTTACCAGGGAGATTGTCAACCTCGTTGCACTCCGGGGCTGGTAGCATATTATCACTGAGGTTGATATAGGATGCCAGGTAGAGTGTGGACCCTCCGGCCGACTCAGTCGGGATAGGAGAGCTCGGCTGAACCTGGGTTTTCCTGGAGAAACGAAAAGCAGACGGTGCAATTTAAGTAGTATTGCTATTACAGTGGAACTGTTTATAAAGACTACTCGAAGAGAACAAGAAACGTGGTCTTTATAGGCAGGTGGTCTTTATGTGCAGGTTCCTTTAGCACTTGTTTCATTGAGAAACCATTTTCAAGGGAAACAAAAAATGCAGTCTTTGTAGGTAGGTGGTCTTTCTATACAGGTGGTCAGTGGTCACCAAAGCAGGTTTGACTGTACTATAAATCAAACTAGGCTTATGAATGTAATTTTCATAAATTGACCTATTCACTGTTGACCTTGACCTACTTACTCCAAAATGTAATCACAACGTTTGAAGTTCATACATGAAACGGTTCTTGGTATTAACAAGATAGGGGGGAGACAGACAACAAACATTATGGCTTCGGCAGGCAGAGGCATACAAAATACTATAAATGAAGAAAAAGCTTTCACTTTCAATATATTTTGCTAGGATAGATATCTTACTTGTCTTTGGCATGTTTTGTAGTCAAGTAGAACCCTTTGATCTGTCCCCTTGTAAAGCACTGATGTCTGCTCTGTGGTATCTGTATACGGAAGAAGAAAGTGATCAACAAGTTTGTTTACTATAATGTCATAAGTTTTTTTTCTTCTCCATTTTTATACAGAGAGTTTCTCCAGATATGAATGTTAAACCTACTGTTTTAGGTACTACATGTACATGTACAAGTTTTGATATACCGATATGAATAAATTGTGTATTCATATTGCTTTTATTTTAAACAAAACTTATCACCTATCAAAACCATATTTGTAAATTATATGACCAGGTTTCTTTGTAACTAACAGTATATACATCTTTTCTAAGCCACAATAAACTACCTACAAGATCTAAGTTGTTTAATCACTTATTTAAGTTGACTTAATCATTTGTTGAAAAAAAAAAACTGAATGAGAAATCATCAAACAAGGGCCAAAGATTAAACATATAAAAAATAGCCTCCATGGAAAGTTTTTAGTGAGGATACTAATTTTATAACCCCATAAATATTCAAGGCATTGCTTGAAGAAGAAAAAGAGGGTAATATGAACTTGGATAATAAGGTTAAAATTGATATTCAAAAATTGTCTTTTGTAATCATTCATCATAGAAATCTCAGTATAACAGTTATGTGATATTGTTCAATGAAAAGTACTACAAACTCTGATATATGTACAGACATATTCCTGGGGTTGTTATTCTAGATTCTCTTTTCCCGCACTTCTAAAGAGGAGGCATCTGAATACTTACAAAAGATGTGCGCAGAGCTCTCTGTTCTCCACTTCCTGTTTCAGCCTGGGGATAAAACACAAAATGAAAAGAAATGAGTGTACCGTCTCCACATTAACTTAAACAAAATATTCTATCCTAGAAGAATATAAAATAAGAAGAATATAGAATAAGATAAAAAACAAGTAAAACAAGTCAGAATTTGGTTCTGTTAGTGTTCTATTCTCTCTACTTACGAGTCACTTTTCTTGTTAATTTTTTGTTTGTTTCATTGATTTTGTTTGAGACTAGTGTATTAAACTTGCAATATCTCTTGATAGAAGTAACATTTGGAGCTCATATTTTGAATGAAGTATAGCAAACTGAAAACCTTTTATTAACATATAGAGCAAAAGCTTTTGTTTGCGTTTGGTTGGTATACTTTAATACGTCCTCATGTTCCGTCACGTAGTACACATCAAACATATGGGTGTGACCAAACATCACATGCTCCCTAATGAGACTCCCACTTGTTTTTACTTCTTAACTGTAATGGTTGTCTGGGAAAACACACCAAGGTAATGGATATCTTATCTTCCTGAAATCTAATACTGCACTTGGGTAGGAGTAATAGTAAAGATGAAAAATGTGTAGCCTGTTTCTGACTAAGATGATCATTGTCAGATTTTTAAGATAGATTCTTATGATAAACATTTCAATGAAGAGCATATAACCTTTTGCTTCAAGACTTGTCTGAATTTGGTATGATCAAAGAACCCTTTATTAACCATCACGGGGTATTATTCTTCTCCCCCCCCCCCCATCTTATTCACTAACACCTTAACACATCCTATTACACTATCAAATTGAAGGTATTAAGATACATATAGGGGGTGCCAGTTATCTGTTTAACATGATATAAGGGGGAGGGGAGGATGGCTCAGTTATTTATAACATATCGGTATCTTCTGGACCACTTTATATCAATGAGGACATTAGGCTGAGATTGGAACCCATGACCTTCTAGAAAAAAGCGTAAACACTGCACCACATCACATTTCCACTTAGCAGCAACACAGTCTTCACTCACGAAGAAAGCACCCTATCAACCAAGAAGGAGCTAGTGTACATCTATTTCCAGACGCGTTCTTAACAAACTATTACACCCAATCACGACTGTGACAGCCCAGCTGTTCGCACTCATAAATGAAGATTGGCTCACTTATAGGGGGAGACAACTCCTTATTATTAGCATCTAATTTTTCCATCATACGCAAAAATGTGACACATGGATGGAATCTTCTTTGATTTCCTGGTAGCATTTTGCAAGCTCTGTGGGAGGTAGAAATAATTTGACATTTAGTTCTGATTGCGGATGACATTTCCTTTTGGTAAAAAGGAGAATGTCACTAAAACGTCTTGAATGTGCTTCCCTAAATATGGGGGCAATTTTGTTTTTACAGAGCATGTTTTCAATCTTTTTCTAAACTTTTAATCCAGATTTATTGGAGGTACTACAATAGCAGGGATGCCAGTTGGAATTGATCAGAGGGCCTTGAAAATCACCTAGAATGAGCTATTTTGTACACAAAAAGCCTAAACTATGGTCTGAAAATAACTTACCAGGGCCTGAATTCAGGCTATTGCCTGAAAACTGGCATCCCTGCAATAGCTATAACAAGCAATATATAATCTTTTAATTTGATATTGTGTACAAGATAATGTTCTGAAAAGAGTCCAGAAAAAAGAAAGAAAAAAAATCCTTATTCATCCCTAGTACAATAGTACATAATATTGGATGATGAGACCCCAAAAGGCATTAGCTAAATAAGAGTTTATACATGTATTGATAACATTTTGCAGTTTTTCATTCTATTTTGGGTCTCAAAAGAGCTCCAACTCGGGGACTTTAGAACATGGGGTATTTCTACCCAAACTATAATAGCAAAAAAAAAAAAAAAATCTTTTTATGAAATAGAATCACTATATATGAGTTCGGGTGCTTTCTAGCGCTCAACAGCAAAATGCAATCATAACACTACCACCTACCACAAGGGAATCAATCCAGTATCTATAAAAATCAACAAAGTGAGTTCACAGCCCTTGCAAATCTCATTAGAAATAACAATTGTAAAACTCCAGCAAGATACTACAAGCAAATCATCCAGTATCTATAATTATCAAAATAAGTTTCCAGCAGTTCTAGCTCTCCATAGAAACTGTGATTGTAACACTTCCGTACCACAAGAAAATCGATCCAGTATCTGGTGTCCTTGAACATCTGGTGCTTGGTATGGTAGATGGGCATACAGCAAGGATCGATGGGTAAGAGCATGGGCAGTGCCCGGAGCTTGAGGACCTCCATCACCTGGACCTCCTCCTCCCAGCTGTCTCCGTACTCGGTCTGGAGCGCAAGCTTGATCAGTTGCCTGGTGGGGAGGGAAGATGGAGAGAAGATATATTGAGATGGGTTATCAGGATGATGGAGAGGAGAATATTGAGATGGGCTATCAGGATTAAAGGATTGTGAATTATTTTTGGATGGGTTTTAAATTTGAATGGTATTGCTTGATAAAGGAACATGTAGTTTATAAGAATATCCATCACCATACCATCATCACTGTCCTTCTCCCCCTCATCATTAAAATCAGTAGCAGCATCATTATCAGCATCATCATCATCATAATTATCATCATTACCACCACCACCATTACTATCCATCCTTATATATCACTACCAACATCACCATCATCATCATCATCATCATCATCATCATCATCATCATCATCATCATCATCATCATCATCATCATCATCATCATCATCATCATCATCATCATCATCATCATCATCATCATCATCATCATCATCATCATCATCATCATCATCATCATCATCATCATCATCATCATCATCATCATCACCATCATCTGTCTCTCTAACTCTCTTTGTCTCTCTAATTCTCTTTGTCTCTCTCTCTTTCCATCTCTCTCTTTCGTCCCCCTTCTCTCCCTCTCTTTCTCTCTCTTTTTTTCTCTCTTTCTTTCTCTCTTTGTTATCACTCCAAATTTGAATTGATCAATGATTTTTTATGAAATGTCTACATTTTTTTATTTATGTCATATTTTGTGTTATTTCAATTTGAATTGCAATTGTATTTTATCTTTGTGAAATGGATCGCAATTCAGCCATTGGCTGCGATGATCTTTTTAATAAAAACCATTTCTATCTTTCCATCATCATCATCATCATCATCATCAGCATCAGCATCATCATCATCATCATCATCATCATCACCATCACCATCACCAATAGCATCTTTCTCCTCCGACACGCTCACCACCACAAGCATAGAATATCCTTACAACCACCAGCATCCTCACACCAAATTTAGACTGTCCTCGTAAGTCGTAACAAACCTTAGCATCTCTTCGGAGATGAAGTTCTTCCTCAAGAACTCGTAGTACTGCCCCGACACCTGGTTGAGAGCAAACAACCTCGCTGGATTCTCTGGGTCACCGTCAAACTTGCGGGCGAAGAACAGCTGGTTGGCAATACTCTCCATGATCTCGGTGTCTTTCGTCTCAAATATACCCGGCCCCTGCAATGACAAATTGACATCTCTATGAAAACTACTATTTTCTTTTGAAATAGGTACATGAATTTGAAAAGATCCCCAGCTTAGTTCTGGAGGTAAAAAGAAGTGATCTTATTTTCTTTTTTAAATAAGACTTTCACAATGACATTAGCAGACAATTTAAAATCAATTGTATTTATATTCTATACATGAAATACACAAAATATCCAGCATTATTTTGAAAGAAAACCTTGACTGAAAGAAAACCTTGACTGAAATTAAAGTTTTTAAAACAAGTCATAGTTAATAACGTCATCTTGAAAGTAATCTCAAGTTAAAAAAAAAAGGTAGTAGTGCAATTTTTTTGGGGGGAAACAACTGAAATCCACATGTATATTTTTGTTAATCCAGCATTCCAGGTAAACAACAAAGCAAACAACTAAACAAAATGATACACCACTACCATCAGCAACATCAAAACAACTTTCTATACTGAAGATTGCCTTCCTATTTTTTAGTACTATAAAAAAGGCGATGAAAAAAAAACTAGGTTTTGATCAATATTTACAAAATCTCATATGGAAGTGTACCATGTCTGGCACATTTTTCAGCCCCAAGATTTTTGAAGGAAGGCACAGGGAACCTCTTTTTCAATACATGTACAGGGGAAATTAGATCAACATAAGTGTTCCATTGCAAAGGTAAGAAGCAAAACAATCAATATATCTCAGGGGTATACAGGTTTCCATGACAACCTACTCCCCTTTCATCCTGTCTAACATGGTGTCTCTTACTGCCTCATCAATAGCTGTTTTGATACCAGAGCTAGTTCACACTGCCACCTATACTGCATTGTCCACACAGAAAAAGCAGTCATAAGATCTTCATATACGTCATAAGAGACGTATACAACTAGGTGGGTCACAGAGGGTACTATACATGTATGTTATCAGGTATATACAGGTATAATTAAGTTATTGACATGTAGTGATATAGGTCCCTGTCACAATCTACTGACAAAATTGCCAACTTGAAATTCGCATAGCTATAGTGATGTCATATTTCAAACATTCATAACTTGATTATTATTGGTTCAATTTATTTCAAACTTTCGCCATTCTGTTTCTCAGATTATTCCGCTTTCATACAAATGAACTTGTAACAAGGGATGGATTGCCCTTTAATACCCAGCCTATATCTCATTCTACCATTAGTATACATGTAGTAATTAATCATAAAGAGAAAGCAACAGAAAAGAAGTGTCTATGTAAACTAGATGGAACTTTGACTGCGCGCAGTCGAAATGATGCCTCCGTCATAGAGCAATTTACAAACCAAAACAGAAGAAATTTTTCAAATTCAAGTTCAATTGTAATCCATTAACAGGTTCTCAGAATATTGTGATTACAAGCAATTTCTCATATACATATATGACCCTTTGATCTTTGACCTCATGACCCTAACATTTACTCAGTTCATTGGCTCTGCAAGATGTCCCGAGTTAAATAGTAATCCATCTGTCAGTTCTAATGAGAATGTGTTCACAAGCTATTTGTGCATACATAATGAGCCCATGACCTTTGACCTTAGACCTCATGACCAAAGAATCTACTCAGTTCATTGGCTCTGCAAGATGCATACATGATCTAAGTTTGGCAGGAATCCATCAATCTGTTCTAATGATAATGCGATCACAAGCTATTTTTGCATACATAATGAGCCGCATGACCTTTGACCTTGACCTCATGACCCCAAAATCTAATCAGTTCATCGGCTTCGCAAGATACTTACATGACCAAAGTTTGGCAGGAATCCATCAATCGGTTCTTCAGATAACGCGATCACGAGAACGGGACGTACGGACGTACGGACGGACGGACGGACAACCAGAAAACATAATGCCTCCGGCTACTTCGTAACGGAGGCATAAAAACCTTAAAAATGGGAACAGGCCTAATTAGTCATGAGACTAGTCCATCTATTGACATTCTTGCCATTAGTAAAATTCACTGAGAACACCATCTCCATGGTAACTAAAACATCGCAAATGTAATAATCATATCCTGTCTTGTAATGTCATCTCTAAGATTGGCTTTTAAAGGACAGTGGAGTGATGAAATGATAAAAAAAATTCTTCTTGTGAAAGACGTTTTCAAAATGTCCTGCATTTGTGGAGCTGGCTCTCCATGTCTTATACCAGGGAACTGTCAAAGGGCGCGTTCATGCTTGATTTTGACGGCCAGAATCAGGCATCTGTTACGCGTTTAGTTTAAAACACGATTGCGTTCATGCTCACTTTTGTAGAATCACCGAAAAACGGCGATCACGATAGCCGATCGTAAACTCACAAAAAGATGCGTTTACAATTTGTAAACGCGTTTAAATGGGGTCAACGCACTGACCTCTAGTGGATCTACGTAGCATGCGCACACAGGTTTGCGAATCCAGCTGAAGGCCACCCAAGGAGAATTGCCTGGAGAAGTGAGCATGAACAGTGCACCGTGGAACTGCGATTACGATGAGCGTTTACGATGAGCGTTACAAATCGCTCATTCTGCCTTCAAAATCAAGCATGAACGCGCCCCAAGAGAAATGTCCCTGGTCTTGAAAAAGACCTATAAGATTCAAATGCGCTAGCATTCCCATGTACAAAATCTTGGGCTTACTTCAAATCATTGGGTAATCGCGTTCTATCGGGTTGTATAGCGTTACACAAGCTTTCATGATTCGGAAATGCAAGATCATGTGAAGATGCACTTTAAGGACACAACCTTTCGTAGGGTTTTCACAAAGTGTCTGGTAAATTGGACCAGACCATTTGTAGATGAGAGGGGTTTATTCACAAAGATTTCCCCTGACATTTCGTGTCTTTCGTGAATAAAGGGGCATGTTTTCACAAAAAAGGTTGGGTAACCCAACCACCTGACCTGACGCAATGACCTAATGATTCGAAGTAAGCCAAATTTTGTGGAATTGCATGAACTTCAATCTACCAATAGTCTCAACCAAGCCCGATCTCAAAATAAATTCCCTTAACCAACAACAAAGTCGACAAGGGATCCACTGGTTTGTTTCCTCTGCAAGTTTTCAGGAAATTCAACATGTCAGGTGGAAGTCTGCGAACCAAACTAGATCTGACATGCCACAGAGCTACAGGAATTGATGAATAATATACTCAAAACATCAAAGTCAACCCAGATATCTACAGTGTACAATGTGTATGAATAGAAATTAAGAACTTGGCTACCAGTGTACCACATGCCCAGTTACCGTATCAACTAAATTAGTTATACCCCTTGTAAATTTGATGTTTTGGGGGGTCTTTGGTGGACCAGTTGAATTAAGGATTTTGCTGAATACTCTTCGGTGTAAGCTGTGGCATGTCATATTCCCAAGAAAAATATCAAATTGGGACAAATCTTGTTTTCACATACCTAAAATATTACAAAACTTAGTAAGGGTATGAATGACGGTTGTTAACTGTACGTGCAGTATACAGTACGTCTCAGAAAAAACGAAACCGAGAAGTATCGATGTTTTATCATAACTTAATCACAACCGTAATTAATGAATGATACATATTTGGAAAGGTTAGAGTCTCCTCTTTCAGTTGATGCTACTCAGATGATGCATATTTCACGCATGAATGATTAAAAGCAATTTGAAGGAAGGAAACCAAAAAGACATTTGGCGGGCGGTATCTGAATTTCGAAGAAAAATTCACATTTCTAGAAAGTTGAGTTTCTGCCCTTTCATATGACACCTCAATCAGGAAAAATGAGCGAGGAATGACAAAGTTCCGTTTGTTTAAAATAGCCCTTACATTTTCATAATTTTTACAAACGAATACGTTTTCACTGGGTGCCTGCCGTAGCAAAAAGCAGATTTGACAAAAGACTTAACTCCGTTTCGTTGACAATCAGCCATGCATGAAGACTCTCGTCTACGGCACTGTATAGACTTGATTGCCAAAACTGCTTAAAAATGTTTATCCATAAAAATATACACAATTTGTCTTGAGATGATAATTGAATTCTTAGTCCTGGTTGGTATCTTTTATACATGTTTCAAGGGCAATTAAGTTACAATAGCTTTTATAAGCAACTGAAATTGTTGAAGGGAATGCAGTTTTTCCTTTATTGTCACTTATAATGTTAACATTAATTTAAATACATGCAAGAAATGAAATACATTAATTCAACAAAACGGCTCATGAACTTTGATAATGAAGCACCGGTATGGTGTCCCATTACTCACAAAGGCACAATTTACATCCAAAATAACCTTGTTTGCGGGGAATTTTGGAGCAATCGAATATCAATCGTCACTGCCTCTAGGTCATAGTCGGTACGAGTAACTGATATCAAACAATCGTTAACATGAACAGCGAGCGAGCGGGAGTATCGCCTGACAGAATGTATCCTGAATGTTAAAGGGATCCGGTAACTTTGTCTCAGATTCTGAAACAAAATTCTGGATTTAGCTCATGATGCAATGATAATTATAAACCTTTAGGTCAGTCAGGAACCCCATGACTTTTACAAGCTGATCGCCTGTCTGATTATCAAGATATTTATGATTGGAATTACAAATTTTAAAAACCGTTCACCTGACGGTTTTCATAACACTACAGTCTATTGGGGAAAACGAGTATGGTAAAACCGGTCACTCAAAGTTTTTTACTTTTTTGAGGCACTTCTTGATCATTTTGAAGCGCAATTTTTTTAGGGCTTCAATATTACACCATATCACAGACACTGATAACACGTAGGGCCGTCCGTGTATCTCAGATTTAACATTGTTAAACGATCCCTTTAAGAGGACATTCTTAACCTACAGGAGTTCAGAGCTTTCTAGAGGTCTAAACGAATCTGCTCTTCAAATTGGCAACAATTATGCACCAGTTATTTGTATTTTATTCTTTGAGTCAGGTGTATCATTAGCATTATCACAACGAATTAGCAACAAACAAATATATGAATATATGGTGATAGAGGCCCTGACTTTAAACTGTATGGGCTTTT